AACAGTTGCTTTGAGTTGTAGATGTTCTTCGGTTTTAAATATACTGCTCTTGCTTTACCGATCCGCGCCTTCGCATCTGCATCAAATCTACCGTGCTCGTCAATGATGCTGCTCACATATGTAAAATTTTCTATATCTTCCAAGGCTTCTCCGTCAATTGTGATTCGATTGATGCATGCCGTGTTGTATCGGAGAATCTTGCTTTTCCCTTTGTGTATATTAAGACCTACTGCTGCTGAGGCTGCTGCTGCACTGGTCGTCTTCTCCTGCATTTGTTGTTGTGTGTGCGATAGAAGAGCCAGATCATCTGCGAAGTCTAAATCGTCCACCTGCATCCTAGATGTCCACTGTATCCCATGCTTCCCCTCAGATGTTGAAGTCTTCATGATCCAGTCGATCACCAGGAGAAAGAGATAGGGTGAGGTTAAGCAACCTTACCTGACACTGGTCTTCACTTCGAACGACTTTGTCAACTGTCCTCCATGCACGATTTTGCAGTGTAATCCACCATATAAACTCTGTATGATATTGACTATCTTCTGAGGCACGCCGTAGTGTCGAAGAAGTTTCCATAGTGTTGTTCTGTCCACGCTATCAAATGCCTTTTCGTAGTCAATGAAGCTGAAGTAGAGTGATGAATTCCATTCAATTGATTGTTTCGCAATCATCTGTAGTGTTGCGATTTGATCTGTACACGATCTATCCTTACGGAATCCCGCCTGTTGGTCACGAAGTTGGGCGTCCTGTTTAACAATACCCTGTTGAAGACTTTTTCCGGTATTGAGAGAAGAGTGATGCCCCTGTAGTTATCACACTTGCTGAGATCGCCTTTCTTCGGTATTTTGATCAGAAGTCCTTCTTTCCAGTCTTTTGGTACTTGTTCCTCATTCCAAATCTTATTGAAGAGAATGTGGAGTATCCTTGCAGTTGCCGCTACGTCTGCTTTTAGTGCCTCTGCTGGGATGTTGTCCGGTCCTGCTGCTTTGCCACTCTTGATTTGTCTGATGGCCATGCTGATTTCTTCAATTGTTGGTGGGCCAACATCGATTGGGAGGTCCGTGGGTGCTGCTTCGATGTTGGGTGGGTTCAGTGGAGCTGGTCGATTCAAGAGTTCTTTGAAGTGTTCTACCCACCTGTTTTGTTGCTCTTCAATGTTGGTGATTACCTTGCCTTCCTTGCTTTTCACTGGTCGTTCTGGTTTGCGGCGATTTCCAGAGAGTTTCTTTGTCGTGTCATACATTTGTCTCATGTTTCCTTCTCTTGCAGCCTTTTCCGCCGTCGTTGCTAAATCTTCCACATATTTACGTTTGTCGGTTCTGATGCTCCTCTTCACTTGTTTGTTTACTTCTGTGTATTCAGCTTGTGCCTTGGCTTTTTCTGCTCTTGTTCGACTGGTATTGATTGCTGCATTCTTGTTCCTCTTTCTTGAATCTTATCCAGTGTATCAACAGTGGTCCATTCCTTGTGATGGTCCTTCTTGTTTCTCAGAACATCATGACATGTCGAAGTTGTAGTGGCATTGGACAATAACCGCACAATCCACAAAGCTGAACACGAGACTACTCAGAAAACAGATATTCAATATTTAACGCGGATAAACACCTAACGATGGAGAAGGCGCGAACAATGAATTGAATGAATTAGAGTGATCGAATAGCATGGCTCGGCCATGCAGGCGTGGTCTCTGCTGAATGTTACCTTATGTCTTCTATTTATAATTAATATATTGTTCTTTCACTAGCCTAACCTTGTTCTACATCATGTATTGGTAATTGATACGATACAGTGAGTTGGTGTAGTCGATGGTGTGACTTCCACGTAAGATCTTATAGATTAGGCAGTTATATCATGACAAATCTACAAATTTAGGATTAGGTCTATTATTAGAGCAGTACCTAATATCCTAGTAGGCCATAATTCCACAAAGTAATTGCCTCTTTTATCCCTTTCCAGTTGCTCTCCATAGTAGTTTCCTCTCAACTGAGTAGATCGTGAAAGACCTGGAACCGATTGTTTAAGGCTGTCTTGGATTTGTTAAGTTTGTCAGTATCCCGAAGAAAAGCCGTATTAAACTTTTGTGATGTCGTCCGCCCCAATGTCCAGTGCTTCTTGAGTTTCAATATCATCTTAGCAACCAGCAAGTGATGAGCTGATGCTATGTCAGCTCCTCTCTTGGTTCTCACATCTTCCATCGTCCTCCTGAACTTTTTTGATGCAGATATGGTCGACTTCATTTTGCGTAGTGTGATCCGGTGAAGTCCATGTGGTTTTGTGTATGCGTTTATGTGAGAATATAGTGCATCCTATGACCAGTTTATTGAAGGCACATAGGTTAGCAAATCTCTCGCCACTCTCATTCCTTTCTCCCAGTCCCTGTCGTTTCATGATGTCTTCATATCCGGTGTTGTTCATTCCAACCTTGGCATTTGGGTCTCCATCAGAATGGTTAAGTCCTTTGTTGGGCACTTCTCGACGATTAATTGCAGTTTATCGTAGAATTGACCTTCATGGTCTTTATTGTAGTCGTTGGTCGACTCACAGCATTGGATGTCGTTCATTGCGATTCCCTCTTACTTTGTTTTGATGATCCTTGGTCCATGAGATCCTATAAGTGCGTTTTTTGCTTGTTTGGATAGTATCAATGCAAATCCTTTTGTATGTGGGGCATTTTCTTCTTCACAACCGGAATATAAAGAAGCTTCCCTGAAGCTAGTCGTTGTTGTCCAACCCGCATCCAATGTGTTTCACTGATTCCAAGCACCTCCAGCTTGTACCTCTTTATTTCTGCAGCGGTTTGGAAGAATCTTCCATACTGTACGAGCATTCTGTGTACCTAAATTAATGGTTGCTCTGGTTTTCAGAAGAGGCATCAGCTTAGTGACTTCTGAATGAACTCGGTTTTCATCATGAGGTGTCATAACTCTTCTGATTAAAGAACTTCTAACTCTCAGGGACGAGTTAAAATGGTTTGAATTTTTTTCTGTTAAGCGTTTTTTCAGCGAGTTAGTTATTTACAAGATTAGGTTGAACAGTTTTTGGTATCAATCAAGGTAGTAAGCTCACTATTTTTACTAGTAAATATTACATAAGACATTACATGCAAGCATCAGTCAACAGACTAATAGAATAGTGATTTATCGTAAGTATAAAAAGATCGATAAAGTTAAAGTTAATATGAGAGATAACAACAGGCCGCGTTTCTTTAGTCGTTCTCACTAATGTTAAACTATAGCGGAGATAAATATTGGTACGCTGAAAAGACTTGTTGAGAAAAGTCAATTAGTCGTTTTATGCGAAATTACACAGTGCTCTTGTAAAATATGAAAATCGTGTAATAAACGCCTGATCTGCCCATCTTTCTGGAGTTGTCTTTTACATAATGCATGTCTCTTCAAATCCTGTTGTTATTCCGGTCGCTCTATATTTCTATCCACTTTCCTTAATTTTAATCTTCTGCGGGTTGACATTCCACTTCCAATCGCCGCTACATTTCACTTGTGTCTGTCCGTCCGGATGTCCATACTGACTCACCTTACGTGACATTCAGAAGTTGTGTCTAAGGAATCCTGAAGAACACACTTAGGATGAGGGTAGAGTAACATTTCTAGTCTAACAAAACATGAGGCTTCAAAGAGTGATCACACTGGTATGGCCAAGCAACGTCCTTTCGATTCTTTCCTACTGCGTTCACTACATCTATCCTTCTCTTTCCGTGTCACTGTTTTACTCCTTGATTCGGCTATCATCAGGGAGTATAAGTTACTTTTTTTATTTGAAGGAAAAGAGTGTTGCTGTTGTAAATTTTGCTTCCTCATCGCTTGAGTAGATCGAACTGATATAATCTTTGTAAGCTTTCCCTTATAGACAGGATAACGTTTGTGCACTTTTAAGTCAGCGCACTTACCTGAATTTTTTAGACTTAACTGTACGTATACTCACTTAACAACGTTTTGCACTGTATGGCATGAGCTTTATTTTTCTATGTAATTTGTGTACTTTGTACCTACTATCAGAACCATGCCGAGCCCATCCATTACACATTGATCTAACCACAGCGGAAGGATAAGTGTCTAACGTTTAGATAGACGGAAAACGGAATAGAAACTGTATCAGTTTAGAAGTCACACCAAGTATGGCAAAAATTGCAAATAGTTTTAAAAGTAAATATTCCATAGGTACCTAGAGCTTGAAAACTCTGCTGTCTGTAACGCCTCTTTAAGCGAGGATCTTACGGCCAGTCAGAAGGGATGTCAAAAACAAAGAGGTCTGAAAATATATTTGGAAATTGGTCGACATGTTTCGACAGATTATTACAAACTGACCAGTTGTTGTAATAAATGTGCTACAAACATTTAGGTTATAAAAACTACATCCTGACTACGTACATCCGTTCTGTTACTCAGTTATCAAGAGTTGGGAAAGTACCACGCTATCACATGAAATACACGCAAACGGCTTAGTCTAACGCACTAGTCTCTCCTTAAATTAATCATTTAGTAAAGTTCATCTCTTGTTTGGTTTGTGCCTAGACTAAGGATGCGCTGCATGCTAGGCGGTTTAAATAGTTACCATGTATGAGAGAATGGGAAAAAGAAAAGAGACAATATAAAACTCCATCCGATGACTCATTAAGCTTGTGAAATACACTAGTGCTCAGTGATGAAAGTAGTCAAAAACAATTAACTGTGTAACAATCGCGAGATGACGACGACCTAATACCCGGAACAGAAAATTTGTCTTAAGGAGTTATGTGGCCGAGTTTCAGAGAGACTTCAAAGAGTTAGTTACTACCTCAATTATTTGTTACTACATAGTAGGTAAATCTGTGTGATCTGACAGAAACCACTTTATGATACAAATAGAGTTCTAACAACAGGCAAAAGCTATCAGGAAGCAAGATAAGCGATTCCGTTATTCTTTTTACAACCATAACATTTCATAACGATGATTGTGACAGTCCAAGAGATGATTGGTTTATATTGTCTAAATATTCAAATATTGGCTTTGGAAACTAGGAGCGCTGTTTGAAATGAAGGTTGTCCTGTCGATTATTGCGTTTGCAATATTTGTTCATCAAGGACATGCCTTAAAGCCTGTTAGTTGTTTGTTTTTATATAACTTAAGTGTTTTTAGTTGGGTTGTATGCAAAAGGGTTAAAAATAAAGGTAACAGTGATCAAGTATGAGATATAAGAAACTTGGTATGGTTATATGCCCATATCGGTGTATCCATACCAATATGCGTATGTATATACATTTCCAGAAATTTTCAAGGTTGATGATATACAGGTTCACCATTTGCGAGCACAACAAAGACATCTTGAGGCAAATGTATCTCAACGTTTGTTTTTAACACAAGTTCTATCTCTTGATGCCTCAAACAACCAATAAAAAGAAAATTCAAGCCAAAAAATGGATAATAAAAAAGAATTTCTGTTTAAAAGTAAGGTAGGATTCCAAAGTGCAACGCATCAAATAGTCGTTTCCGCCTGTCATTGGGAAATAATGCGAGATTCTTCCTCTATGTCGCTTTATGTTCGAACTGTCATCAAGTTGTTTATTTTCCGCCTTAATTCATTCAGAATCGTCTTCTTGTTTGGCTCCAAATGTCCTGTGTTTGCTTTTATTTTCATTACTAAACACGACGACTACAACTAACTACATTAAAAAACTATGCGTGGTTAAAGACACTTATCAACAAGAAATAACATCATAGTGTACAAGGAAACAGATGCTCGATCACAGATCTCTGCGTATTTTCATTGTAATTGCAACACTCTGGTGTCATTTAGAAGATCTGCAATGTAAGTTACATGTAAGGGATTATTATATAATATCATATATCAATCATATCTATAAACAATTCAGCGTGTATTCAGGCGAGAAGTAGACGATTTATTGACAATCAAACATGAGGCAACAAAATTGGTAAATTTTGCATTATTTCCCCATGACGTTAAAAAAGAGACGTTTTGTTGCATTTCACTTTTATTTCCTCTTTACTTTCTAACAGAATGTCCCCTTTGTTGGTTGCTTTGTAGTTCAACCCCTTTGATTAGTTTTTGTTGGTAAATTATCATGATAATATATTTCTTTGTATTTCATACTTAAGAGATTTCAGATTTCCTCAATACAAAGTATGAATTCTGTCCTCAGTGCCAATTAGTATTTTCCTTATGTGCCCGTAAAATTTTAATGTCCGGTTGTCTTAGTCGTTAATTAGTTAGTGAAAATGCGTAGGTTTTATCGATCACGCCTTTTGATCCTTTTTATAATAACCTTGGAGATAGTTTCAAAGTTATGACAAAGCTTACACATTTTAAGACTCAAATCCCTATATATGATACAAAGTGTCAATACTATATCGCTTCACAGCTAGCAAATGGGGCTAAAGATTTAACTGCTTTGTTTCCTGTTCACTCCAAAGTTTGGAAAGGTCTATTACAAACTTAGTACATACGTATCTAGTACTCAATAATATTATATTTAATAAGGAATGGACTGGCCACCTGGACACAGTACTCTGGGTGGGATCTCGAATGGATTGGACATAAAATGTTGTAAATGCATTCGATAAAGCAGCTGAAGGCTCTGTGAAGTAACCATAACGATGAAAACATTTAGTAGCCATCGCACTCCGATCTGAAGATAATTTCAAGTCATAGCTCACAATGATTATTAGGTTTTTGTTCTTAATCGTATGGGAGCTGTGTTCGATAGATGGTGTATTAATGACTAAGCCCACTCATGACAATTTGTCTAGAATGAGTTCCAGAGATATTTCGTATGCTTTAACAGCTTCCGAGTGGCCTATCTTACGTCCTCAATAATATGAAAGGGTTTTTGGATTCTTAAAATGTGATATTGATTTCATCAATACTCCAATGTGTTAGTCCATTTCAACCTTCTAGTTATTTAAGACAGTACTGTCTCTTACGGCTGATATAACTGTGTGATAATAGTCAACGGAGTCATTTTCAACATCATGTTACAAACCCAAATTGCACTTCAGCGTGATAACTATTTGTCGTTTCGGGCAAGAATTAAACACCTGCAACATCATCGCAATAATGTATGAAGACGAGATCTATGCAAAGCTTTGTATCCGCTGCTTTTGTGAATGATTTAAACTCTGACCTGTTACTGCGCCACATCTAGCTTGTCGCTATAAAGTGAGTTAATTGTGACAGTTGGACGTGAATTGGACTGAAGGACATATTTTTTCTGTGATAGGCAAAAATGTTTAAACTTAACTAGCTCATATATTTTAGTTAACTGTTTTTAAAGGAATGGTCGTTTCAGTTGATACAACCACTTGATGTAGGATACTGAGTTAAGATCGAGTATCGGTTGATAAGAATGTGAATCATAACTTGTTTGAGTGTCTAAAACGTGTATTATGTATACTCAGATACTATTTACCTTTACGTTTAATCCTGACTAAAGTAGATTGAAAGAGTGCTAGGGGCGACCAAACCACGACAGAAACATTCCACGAAGTCATTTACTCTTGGTTTAAGTGCTATTAGTAGGTATAGACTGCTTGCCTGGGATTCATTGGCACTGCTATTAATATTACTTTGGTACTCGTTTACCTCACAATACTGGTGTGCTGTGGTAATTTAGGTCAATAGACGTAGTTTTCAGATTGTATTTTGCTTGTGACTAGTTGAATGTTTATGGTGATAAAAACCATGGGTCAGCTTAGTTCATATAATTTTAATCTTCTAGCATTTAGGAGTTTTACGTCAATGTAGGAAAAATATAACATGAGTAAAGCTGTACATCAGTAGTTTATGTTTCCAATATGTTACTCGTACTAACCCTATTCCCCATTTAAGGGTTTTCACTAGTGACGGTATTAGCTTTCGCTTCGTCCTTTATGAAAGTATATATATAGTTACAAATGCTATTATATATGCTTTTCATTACCTATATTATTATATTTGCTTATTTGTATTATTCAACCTCGATTTAGTCAGTAGAGATTCTAAAAGTTTACAAGGGTGATAATGTATCAAGTCATCGGTGCTTTTATATTTCACAGACCGGAAAGTTGGATCCATTCCTAACAACGGTAAGTTTTGGTCAATTTACTTTTCTAGTGGCGTAATTGCATTTGATTCGATTTTTATTCGAGCTAAAAACGTTGTTAAATCTTACTAGTTCAGAATAGTTTACTGAATTTATTAAATGTGTACCTTACATACGGACATCAAACAATAAAGTTTTCTTTCCTTATTCAATACACTTTTCGGACATAGAAAGATCGTTAAATATGGAACTATCCTTCTCCAAAATCTTTGATCATCAGCTTACTGTATTTTTCCAGGGCCAACATTTTACAGTTTGATCATGTATGTGGATATGACTGAAGTAGCAAATCCAAACTCGTTTGAAATTATGTCTGCTCCAAATTATCGTTCGCTGCTTGATGTAAATCAGTTAGTTTTGAGTTATCTTCAATTGGTTTCGATGCTTACGTTTATTAGTGAAATTAGGTGCACTTTTTTCCATGTTTCACACTCTGCATTTTTAGTAGGACTAAATCGTTTTTTGCTTGTGATGTCAGAGTGTCAGAGCTTTACCTAGCCAATAATGTAACAAAATGCCACCGCACTATTATATTCCAAAACTATCCCCAGGTAGTGGTGATAGGGCAATGTTGACTAGCATGTATGGTATGGTAGTTTATGGATCTAAAACTTTGGCTTTAAAGCTACTTCGGGTTTTAGCAGTCAGTTATCATCCCTAGTCATTAAGTGGTTTGTTTAATTCGGTCCGCATATGCCGTGGTACGGCCGAGGGTGGGGAGAGTCAGTTCTCCCTCTCGAAATACTCTCACATGGCCACGTGCATGCAACCACTATCAGGGAAGTCCTACTTACTGCCTTCTCGCGGCACCGGTGTTGTCTACGAAATCGAGAGTACGAAAAGCGAATGTCTGGCGCTTTAACAGGGTCGGTGGACACGGAGGTCACCGGCCAACATAGGACTACATCAACTTACATTGCTCCACTGCCTTGTAGATCAGACCTTTAGGTCGAAGGTTCCTGGTGTGTCCTCATAAGAAAACTATCTGCTTCGATTTGGGCACCCGGGCAGTATCACAGCACACACAAAAATCAAGTGATTTGTGTGGTGCATATGTATTCAGCGCCCCTTTGTACCACTATTTGTGTTCAAATAAATAAATAAATAAATTCGTAAACAAATTCTTGGAAAAATTTCCTCATTCACTTCTAGTTTTACTTGTTTCCTCTGTAAATTTTGAATTTCTAATGTATTAACGGGGTATTTTCATATGAACATAGGGTTTGTCAGTCAGGTTTATTTTCAGTATATTGTATTATTTTTTATCCTTCTGTATCACTCGTCAGTTACTTGTCCCACAGCGTTTCGTTTTTCACTAAGTAACATAATCGTTTCTGAAATGATATATGTTTTCATTCCTTCCTATGTTCCAATTTCGAGGTGGCAGTCGAAGGATTGTTGTATACTTTCACTCTTTGGGTTTTTATTGATACTTCAAAGTATTCCTAATGACTCCAATTTTCTCATGATATATCGGTGTCCATACTACCCGTTTTTAAATCAGAACATAATATAAAAACACAAAGTTGTAATTGGTTAGTCATTTATCAACTAAAAATTTATTTTTGTGATTTTTTGACCTATACTTTTATCAGTTTTCTGAATTTCGATGTTTGTGTCTTTCCAAAAGTGAGTATTCTGGACTTAGAAATTGCAATGAAGATTTTATACTAGATTATAACCCTCATTTTCTTAGCGATCTTATCCCTTATGGATTTTGATTATTTCATATAATATATTTCACATGTGAACTTACATAGTCTTTATGAAATAGTGTTAATAAAAAGTAGTTCCGGGTTTTATGTTTTTCATTAGATGATTAATCTACATCTTTCCGGTATGACAAGAAAATTTATCATTCTGTTTTCAAACTTGAAAACTGTGGAATGTGATTTATGAGTTCCAAGTGTTATAATACCTCCATCCTATTAAGTAGTTCATTTTCACTCAACTATCTAGTATTAATTTACTTCACTAAATAGAATAATCATCTAGCGGTTTTTATACCTCTCGTGTACCATAAGATTGTTCACTCTGTTTTGTTCTTGTGTCATGCGGATTTTATCGCTCAATTGAAAATGGTCGTTTAGTGTCAATCATTGTTGCACTAAAGTTGGCGATATTAATCAACGTATATCATCCAACGATTGTAGTATGATCAACAGACTAAGTTAAACGTCACATTTTACTTAACTGCTTTTTAGATATTTCAATGTTTAGAGCACGTGGACTTGGTTACTAACTAAACCACTACAAATTAAGCTGTTGATACAAACCGGTCATAAGAAGATAACCAAAACTGTGGTTAACGTTTCCGATTCTATTTAATTAAGGTCAATCCGTGATATAATTATTAGAATACAACAATAACATACTGATTTAATTACTGGCCAAAATAGCCAAAATATGTATTTTAAAGTGAACGACTATCATGTTGAAATAATCAATAATTTTGTTCTTATTTGCTTCTTATTACTTGAATAATATCTGAATTTTCAATTGAATACCTTTACATCACCCGACTTTACACTTAGACATGAATTTTGATTAGAGTATTACGTCATTTATTCTAACAATCTCAATTAATTAAAGCCTATCCTTCCATATGATGTACTTTTTTCATCATAAACATGATCGAATTGTCTGTCCAATATTAATTAAATGTTTTATGAATAAAATGCAACTCACCAGTTGCATAGAGATTTTTAAACTAAATTTTTTATCATAAACAATGGAACTATTTAGCTGTTTAACTTTTGGTGGTGAGAACTGAGTCCCATTCTATGCTATATAATTTTCATGTTGCTTGTACTGAAGTAGATGGAGAGAGATTCAAATGTCCAAGGTAATGATTTAAGTCACCGTTTTATTTACTATCAAAACCAATATTCTACAAAAGATATGATGCAAAGTCAACATTTTAATTCAGTTGTTGCGTCAAATATGTGAGGAAAATATAGTTTTATTCTGTTTAAGGTTATTAAACCAAAATTATACCTGTAAATTTTCCTGAGTACATTTAATAAGAATACTGTTGTATTTTACGTATATAATTTTGTTGCAGACAAAACTGGAACTGGTCAATTTTGTATCTACTACTAAAGATCATCCTCAACCATCATCATCATCATCACTGGCTGTATCTGTTATGTGGAATAATTTTAGTGATAGAGAAATATTATCAATCAATCCACAGCTTCTAATTATTGTTTATGATGGGGAATTAAATTCAAACTTAAAAGTTATATTTGAATCACATGCATGGGAAGTATTCAAAAGATCCAACTTATTTTTGGATATCGATCAGTTTAATGAGATAATTTATGTAAGTGTATACGTATTTGGTCAAATTGTTGTGTATAATTTAGCTTGATTTTTACATTGATTTCAAATTCTATTTCAATGATACTCTTTATCAATCTGATCATAGTTGTTCTGGTTTCTTTATTAAATAAATCCATGAATAAAGATTTATAAAATTTTGACTTTGTTTGTAATCGATGCATGGATTATGTAGCAGACGTAATTCTTCAATTTTAGAGATTCAAGTGTTATGTTTAGAAAACTATAGGAACTAACCATCTAGATCTTTTTCTTCTTGTGAAATTCTGTTAACTTATATTTTGCCTGATGTGTGAATTTCTACAAAAAATACTTTTGTTAAGTATGAGGATGATCTTACTGTATTTACTCCGATTTCTACATCTTCATATTCCCTTAAAATGAATGATTCATTGTCTCTCATTGAACGATGGTCTGTCGTTAGTGGTCTCACACTTAATTCTTTTAAATGTCAAACTGTTAACTTAAGCTGAGACATGAACAGCACTTAAACACCCTTTTGGAATCCCATAAAGTTTACCCTATTGGAGATTGTGTAAGTAAAACGATGTCAAATGTCGCCTGTCTTGGTGTAAGTTTTAAAAAATCTCTTTTAGTCTTCTAAAATTTTTGTTAATGTTGAAGAAAGTTCTCCGTCTGACTTGTAGTACGAATAGGCCTCATTTAGCTGATGAGTCCCGAATGGGACGAAGCGCGCGACCCGAATTCCATTGCTAGCCACCATCCATCCCTGCTTAGAAGAGGCTACATGTTTTTGGCACTACTTGTTATTTACTTTTACAATTTGTAAGTTCCTGTTAATTACCTGTCCACCATTATTGCTTCCTTGTATTTTGAGAAGAGATTTTTGTATGTTGCTGAGAGTGCTAAAGGCAGTTATTAAAATAGTTGGCGACTCTTTGGCTGCCATCATAAATATGATTATTGATAGACATTTGGAAAAAATTGGCAAGTGTTATCTTACTAAATACTAACAATCCACTACATTCATGTCTTTCTGTTTGTATATTTCCCGGAAGAACGAGTTGCAGATACATTAAAATCCATTCATGAAACTAAAGTGCAACAACCCTACAACATTATCTAGCAAATATACTACGCGACAAACAGGTTGTAAGAGCTGGTCTAATTAAGAACTTATATTCTTTAACATGTTACCAATCCATGATTGAAGAGATTTTCACTTTCTTAAAAATATTTCATTTAATTGTAGGATATATATGTATGAGAAAGTTGTTGAAATATTGCATGCTGAGAATCCCATATTGTGTAATATCTTTATTTTTTATGTAGCTTGTTTACTAGATACACTTTCGTTTACTTGACTTCGAGTCACTAATTATGAGACCAACCATTCTACACGGTTATCTAAACCCTAAGTAAGTGTAGCGCGACCAAACCTGTGACCTAGTCGCTGAAAGTGAAAATCCTTAACTACAGAGCAAGTTCCCTACTAAGAGCATAGGTACATATTAGGACTACTCCATTTAGGAAGAAGCTCTCATCCATCGATTGCTTCCTTCGAATATTGCTTTAGCCAGCATTTATTAACTATTCAGAAATGTCTAACTTTTTATCTGACCTTGTAGAATCCTTTCGCTTGCCAATTATATCTAAAATGTGTTCATAGACAGAAAAAGAATCAAATGAAACTAGATAATTAGTGGCGTTGATTAGTACAGTGTCCAGAAGTTGACGGTGATGAGATATCGATACATTTGCGCCTTTGTCATTGGATTTGAACCATAATAAAAATGTTCCCAACCATAAATTACGGTTGTCTCGCAAATTATAACCAGAAAACTTGTCACTGTCTTCACCTTTCAGATTAACAGTCAGTGATTTCGTTGATTAGCACTGTGTTTCTGAATATCCTTAGCTTTTTTTACAGTCTGCTCCTACTCCAGCAAGAGAAGGAAATAAGAAACAACTGTATGACAACAAAGAAACTAGCAGGAAACTGCAGTAAACCAGAGAGACCGATCAAGGACAAAGAAGGCAAGCCAATCACTGAAATCAAGGGCAGAGGAACAGATGGGCAGAATAATTTGATGAAGACTTAAGCAAACCATTTCCGTTGAATCCACTGGACATCGGAGCAACATACACAGATAATTCTATAGATGTCACTGCACCAACGATCGAAGAAAGCAGGATGACGATTAGATAAATCAAGAGTGGGAAAACAGCAGTACCTGACAATATACCATTTGAGGCACTGAAATCAGACAAAGAATTGATTGCAAACATGTTCCACCTTCTATTCATGAAGATTTGGGAGGAAGAACAATTGCCGAAAGACTGGAAAGAAGGACACCTTATCAATATTCCAAAGAATGGAGATCCCAGCAAGTGTAAGAAATAAAGAGGCATCACACTACTACTAGTACAAGTATAAGTTTTCAACAGTGTTGCTGAACTGGATGAAAGACTCAGTAGACGCCCAACTTCGAGATCAAGAGGCTGGATTCCGTAAGAATCTGTCGTGCACAGACCAAATCGTGACACTACTGATCATTGTTGACTGATCGATTGAATGTAACTCGTCACTATACATCAACTTCCTTGATTATGAGAAAGCATTTGACAGTGTGGATAGGAGAACATTATGGAACCTTCTTCGACACTATGGTGTGTCTGAGAAAATTGTCACAATTATACGGAACACATCTCCCCAACCTTGTCTGTTTTTATGTGAGTGAATGTCTGCACTTCTTATGCTACTCATCACATGTCTGTAACTTATTTTTGTTCGGTTATGAAATATCGATTAACGCTGGATTTAATCGAGTTAGCTCACACGTTTGCTCCATTTCGCGTCATTTTTTCGCTTCGCTATCTGATCAACGACTGTACGAAATATACGTATTCAAAAATCCATTCTCGTATTTGACTTATTTAATTCCGTTATTCACCAATGTGATTTAAGTCGATAAGTTTGTACGAGGATTTGGCAGTATGCATATTTCAGTAACGATCAATATACGATCAAATTGGAGTCAGATATAGGGCCACTAAAGACTTGTTGTTCAGTCAGTAATAATATTAAATTGAATGTTTTAAAATCATGAGAGATTTCTCCTTCACCGACAAACATATATGATTTCTCATTTATTAGTGTATAAAAAGTTAGCGTGGTAAGATCATGGATCTCTTTTTTATCAGCTCACAACAGCCTATATCACCACTACTACTGGTTTCGTTAACATTAAATAAACGATCGTATAAACTTACTATGTCTAGTGCATGCATTTTAGCTGTGCTCCTTTTTTATTTTTAGAGCAAGCGTTCTAATCAGTCTAATATGAATATTTCAGTATCCGTTTTCCCATTTATTCCAAACGCTATGGCGTATAAATTTCTAATTTGGATTTTGTTGTATGGATTTGCTGTGACTAGCATCTCATTGGGCTCATGGATAATTATTGTTAACCATGAAAAACTGTAAGTGAGACTTCGTTGTCATATGTATAATAGTTAGATTTATATTCCTACGTATTGTTCTTTGATGATGTTTCGTTTCTTCAGCTGGGTGGCTGAGTTATGAAACTTTTTCTGTCATTCAGGATCACACCAACAGATCTTACTTCAAGTAGAAGTCAGGTGTTTTGTTAGAATTTATTTAATTAAAAAACTAATGACTAATAAAGTCAGTTTTACTTAAATATAAACATGTTCACACTGTAGAATAATCAGAGGTAATGTATGGATTCGATATGTAGTGATATTTCTGTATTGAGCTTTCAACAGTAACTGATACTGACTCGATTTGTGTTGAGTCATGCCAGCCATTTAACAGAAATACTTTCATCCGATTTTGGAGACAAACAGAAAACAAATCCAGTTAAACACAATCATATGTAGTGTTGTTTTAATTCACTAACTTTTGTTGTAACACATATAAGCTAAGAACATTGTTAATAATAATAATAATAATAATAGCAATGGCTTTATTTAATATTATATTTTCGGTACAATTTAAAATTCTCAGCGTAGAGTATTTGAGCAAGTTCCTTTTTTTACTTATTAATGGATCTTGACAATAAATATTGAGTGATCCCCAGTTAGATGTTAGCGGTTTAGGAGTCGACACCTGAATAATTTTCATTCTTTTCATTGCCTATTACCAGCCAACACAATATCTCTGATTGTACCTTGAGTACCTTGCAAAGCTATAGGTTGCAAACATTTTATATACGCTCCTGAATAGGTAATGAGAATAATAGACATATTAATGTTTTAAAACGAACAATACCGATAACTTGTTGAAATATCTAGATGGTAGGAACAGGTAGCTCAGATATTTAAACAGGCTGCTTCACCATATTATTCCCAACTAGAATGTCATTAAGGTTTACTTTAATATATATGAAAATTTATCTGAGTATATTAAAATATTAAACTAATCAAAGAAATTTACGGGTCAATGATCACAATAAATTAGATTGCACAACTAAAAAGTGAAAAGTACAAATTAGTATTAAGAAGACAAATACACTAGTAATGATAAGAATCATACTATCATAAGAGTTTTAGTCAATAGTTAAACTATGGAAGTAGCTCAAATTTGAATAAATGAACTTTAAAATCTTATTTATCATAATAATAACCACATAGTGATTCTCTGTGAAGTGTAATTAGTTCTTCATTCAACTATTCATGATACCTTTAGATTAATAATATATATTATAATTAGTAATAAAGTCAATATGAACCATATGACAATGAGTTAGTAACAGCAAATATCTATATTTAATATTATTTATAAAAACAACTAATGTATATTTGATCAGAAAAATAAAAGATTAATTCGTGTTGTTCCGTTGTACTATTTAAACTTGGACTAATTTTAATTTGGTTATTTATTCCTCTCTGAAGAAGTGACTTACACTAAGTCACGAAACGTCAGAAAATCTAATTTTTCTATTCATTGGGATAATACAAATATATTATTCAATTGTTATAATTGTCTATATTAATATATGAATAAAAAATGGAAAATGTTTTGTATAATTTCATTTGGTTTAATTGAATATTATAATCGAGGAGAAAAAGCGTGTAAACATTTCTCGACATAATGGTTACGTTTAAATAAGTGAATTTCTATGATTTTCACTGTATGTAACAATTAAAATCTTGAATTATTGGGATTGATTTAGATCGTTTTTAAATACCATAAATTCAGTATCCAGTTTTCGATTATATGTGCAAAAATAAAGCTTTTTACTATTTTGTGTATTGATGAACTTGTCTAGTTGCTGGCCGAATATAACTTGGTCAAAAGGAGTTTTTGAACTGGTCAATACACATAGCAGAAGTTGAACTTGACAGTTCATCTCCATATCATGAAGCTGATGATTGATCGTTTAGATATTGGATTATGATTTCATTCTCTGTGCTTCATTTAAACTTCAGTTTTATTTATTTTTTAAAATACAATCAAATTTAATGCTTAGTAGATAGGTAGTTTTCATTAACTCACCATTGTTTAGTATTTAATGCAAACTAAATTCTATCAAATTTCTATATAGCTACTAGCCCAAATGACTTGTTATCGGATGTACTTTTTTGTAGGCAGTGGGCAGAAAACCTAGGTCCATGACTTGACGATGATTACTTCCAACTACCTAATAATTGTCTGTTTTCAATTGTAACTGCCAGAAACTCGTTTACTTATTGGCACGATTATACTTTATAGGTGAATAATTAGTTTAAATCATAGTTTATCCGATCTCTGTCATTCACATTCTGACGAGACAAGTTAAATATGAAGGCTATCACCAATGAGAAACTTGTAATTGTAATAAGTCTTCAATGTTTTGTTATTGATTGTATTTGGGAAAAGAAAGAATAAAACTATTATTTAGGAGTGAAATCGAAGAATTCCTGTTGTGCCACTCTGTACAAACACTATAAATGTCTAAAAATTATGAAATATTTGTTGTAAAAGATTGTATGGACTTATCTATATATGGATATTAAATTAGACACAAGTCTAATGAGACTTTAGTGAAAGAAGACAACAGTTGGAACACTAAACTCTGGATTCTCTGAATTCGGATTACTACAAAAGTACATGAATAAATAAGTGCATATTGACCACGACGTACATAATTTGGAAAATACAGTTATGCCCGAAACAGGGAATTAGGGTAGAAATATAGTGAAAATAATGTTTAAATTACATATTTTGGAACAAAAAAGGGTATGCTAATGAATGATACATAGAACGAAAGCTCGTGTTATGTAGAATAAGATAGGGACAAAATAAATAAAGTGTTTACAGGTTTGAATGAAATGCAATAACGTCCCAAGAAAATAGCTTTCGTAATGTCTGAGCTTCTTAATTCCCATAGTCTAAACAAACGACTAACGCCTTGAATACATTGGAAGATAATCATATAAACGTTTGTCAGAAATATTTACTGAATTTACTTGTTTAACCTTCATTTTTTATTTACTTTGATGAAGTGGCTTACATTAAGTCATGAAACGTTAGAAATACAATTTTTTATACTCATTGGCATATAACAAAAAATATATTCATTATTACTTCATTTTACTGTTTTTTTACGTTGGCATTGGAGTTGATAACACTTTTCAATCCCTACTATTATTATTTTCATCACCGTACCTTCTCGATGCAATTGCTTACATTTATGTTCGAATAATTAGTAAAGTATTTATGTTAAAGTGAAATTTAAAATTTAGCTTACAGTATTATTTCAACATACTATCGAACTATTTCAGCTATCGAACACGTTGATTTTGTATAGGTTTGGGCCATGGGTTCTAATCTATCAGTAATCCATGTCAATTGTAAATAAAAGGTAAAAAGATCGATCAGTATTATTCAAGTCATGAGTAATTGTTTATCACTAATAATCTCGAATTAATCGTATCGATTATCGTGTAACGAAACATAGGTATTACCTAATAGTATCTGCGGTTTTCCCGATGAATTTTCAAATAATTCCCTGCTTGTGAATATTTCTCGTTCATCTGAGCGATGGTGTCGAATAATTTTGTTGGGACAGGTCCGAAAAGCACGACGAAGCCTCCAGAGGTTTTAAATGAGCTGAAGAGATTCCGCTCAATCATAATCTGATAGAGCCTTATGGAATATCAACGTGGCATGCTATGATTGGAAAATTGCACAGCTTTCCTCCTTGCTGATTGGCTGGATTATAACGATGTTATAGCCAATATTAAGAACTATTAAACCCCTGTTTTTCTGTACATTTTTGACTTCTATCCAATAATCACTGCTCTCTGTCTCTTCCGTACTTTGATTTGCGACTGTGGGGTTATACAGGTTCGAGTGCCGATAATTGTATACCGTATTCTACCGTAATTAAGTAGAGGACGTAACAAATTCTTTTGTAAACAACCCTTTTTGTCGACCTATGTATGACATTTCATTATGAGTGACTTGGGTCGTAAAACATTGTGTTTGGTTGCTCTCTGTGATTTGGTTCAGTTGGACTGTGAAGTACTCCACACATATATCATGTTTGATGTCATTTTACAAAAGTATTTGTTCATATTTCAATCATATCTGATTAAATTAACTCTTTTTTCCCTAGTGATTGCTTCGGTGACGTTAATCTGACATAGATTTCTTGTTTCTGTCTTATATTATTTCCAGGTTACTAGATTACGCTAGACATCAAAGTTTGCTACCAAAGTTCAAATCTTCTTTGTATTTATATATTATCGTGTGTTTGGTAATTTCTGTTACACTCTTGTTGCTAACTTACTTCCTGTATGATGTAGTAGGTAAGCTTGTTTATACAATGTAGTCTAATTTTATTATATGGTGAAACACTTTAATGATATGCTTAGAGTTTGAAGCTGTTCACTTCATGAAATGTTAAATGTCTAATTATTAGAATTATTTGTGTTTGCCAAGACAATTAAGCTTTGTCACTCGTCATCTAGTGTTTGCACATCAGTAATTCAATGCATTGTGTATGTATGGGATTTCCAACTACTTAAAAGCTTTGAGATCATAAACAAAGTGGTGGAACAAGATAAAACTCGATGCAATGAAAAATCGGAATAATTCTGTCTTTTTTATTGACACAGTGACAGACAATGATCATAAATCCCCATGGAACAGGTGTCGATGTCTTAAAAACCCGACCCTGTTATCTAGAAGCTCTCCATACGATACAAACCATGTATCTACAACACCATACATTAATGGTCTTCTTATATTGCATATGATCGCCATTTAACTTGTCTTTTACCAGTTTTACTATATCCTGTAACCGGTAGAGTTTACCATGTGTAAAACAGGCTGAAACCATCTCAGTCTCCAGTATAAAACACGTCGAATGATTTCTCTGCTTAATAATCTACAGTCAGCCACCAAATTTACTAAATTATAAAGTATTGTGATTTAGTTTGGTAATTAAATGCAATTTATGTTTATTCTAGTGATAAATATCTTTAAATCATATAGCAGAATAAAGTTTTCAACTGTAATGTATTATTATTTGATTTAAGAGAATGTACTGTTGAATCATTGGTGATCATACATGTTGTGGTTTGGTAACTTTCAACCTTGTCTTCCATTTTGTCAAATATGTGTTGGCTGAAGTCGTCACATTTTGTGTCTGTTGAAATTATTAGTGTCCAATAGTTTTAAAACGAAAAACTTAAAAAAGATACATCGGATGCAAGTGAAATTTAGGAATGATGTATAAATAAATGGTAATATGATCAAGGTTTGGGTGAAAATAAACAATCAATGCAACTACGATTTAAACTTACAATAGTAGATTATAATTATCTTGTGGATCTTAACCAGGATATATATACTTTTCTTTGCTCAATTTGAATTATATCACTATCTTATTGTAACTCGATGTTGTTATCAGAATACTTGTATTCTATACAGTGTATTGCACTAAATTAAGTGGTGATTGGGTATGAATAATTTATTCTAATCTACTACCTAAGTCAGTAAATGTTCTCAATAAATTTAACATATTTATGTAAGTGTCGTGTGCTTATCACCAGTACCATTGGGTTGATGGCACATCATCACCAATAGTACTTCAGCGATATCGGATCTATCAACAACTCATGTATGTCGTCGACTTTTAGATGCTGTTTTTCATATTCGTAAACTAATACAGAGTGGAGTACTACTCACTACAGTCGCTGTTTAATTAGCAGATGAATATATTACATGGGTCACAGATGGCTTAAATTCATCATTCAATAACTCATTAGAATTGACCAAATACGTAAAGTTATCAGTGTGCTCAACTTCTTCGATTCCTAATATCAACCGAAACGTTATAACAGTCCAATTTTGAAGCAGGATTTTTATATAGTAGATTCTTAACTGCATACAAAGGATCTTCTTACAGTGTTACTCAGTGGTAAGTGTAAGTCTTAATCGACCAGTTGATATACGTTTTAAAGAGTAAGCTCTTAAATTTTAGACAGAGAACGGAACTAGATAAAGATTAGTAGATATTGTGAGAGTTTGTTTGATATATTAGATTTCGATGCGTGCACGTTATACTATTTTATCGTATTAACCGTAAATAATCAAATGATAAACATTTGTATCACTCAAAGATTATCTCATGCACAATATTCTTCACAAAAGAATGATATACTTACTAGATATTTTGTGAACGTACTGCGATTTTCATGTCTATTTTCATTTGGATGGCTTCTTATACAGATATTCTCTTTGAAAACTCTTGTCTTCAGCATTTTGCTTCATATTTTAATGAATGTTTTGCATAATTCTCCTTTCTTTTAGTATATTTTCTAATAGCACTGTTTGTACTGGTAGGCGCAAGTTCAATTTCGAAATTCCTTACATTTGTTATCCAACGTATTGCTCCTGCAACAACCAAAACGTGAGTCTAATTTTAGTTTCCTTCAATATTCATTTGATGTGTTAATTATATATATATATAAACTGTGGCGGCCTGTTTGAATATCTGAGCTACCTGTTCCTACCATCTAAATATTTCAACAAGTTATCGGTATTGTTCGTTTTAAAACATTAATATATCTATTATTCTCATTACCTATTCAGGAGAGTATATAAAATGTTTACAACCTATCGCTTTACAAAGTACTAAAAAATACAACCAGAGACATTGTGTATGGCAATGTGCATCCGAAAAAATGAACATTAATCAGATGTCAATTCCTGAACTGCTAACTTTCAACTGCCGATCGCTAATTGAAAAGGTGGACTATCTTCAATCGCTGTTAAGTGTAAACACATTTTTTCATTTCTGTGTAGTCACAATTCAAGAATCCTCGCTAAATGCTTTACACGACGATTGTTTAGTATCGCTAACTGGTTTCAATATTTATCATTAGAAACGATGAAGCAATAAGAAAATGTGGCGGCGGTCTAGCCACGTTCGTCAATGTGAACTGGTGCATGTTTCAAATTTTTAAAACGACTTTATCGACTGTTTAAATTTATGATGCCGTCCGAGGCACTTGAACAAATACAATCGTATTTATGTTACAAACACTTACGTAACTCCGGACCGCATATCATCTGCACTATCTGTTTTCGTTGACGAATTCACTGATATCTGCTTCAATGTTTCACTTTCAGTCATATGTAGTGATTTTAATCTATGTGATTGTAGTTTTCTTTCATCACCAAGTCACCAAAATGTAATCGATTTTCCCACTCGTTCGGATGCCCATACAGACTTAGTTTTCATTAATGATGCGGGAATATATGTGACTTTCAATCGTGTTCCGTTGTTTAGTTCTGATCATTGTGTTATTTGTGTTCTACTTAAAGTATATGGCAAACTTATAAAGAGTACATCCCAAATGCCGTGGTACGACCGAGGGTGGGGAGAGTCAGTTCTCCCTCTCGAAATACTCTCACATGGCCACGTGCATGCAACCACTACCAGGGAAGTCCTACTTACTACCTTCTCGCGGCACAAGTGTTGTCTACGAAGTTGAGAGGACGGAAAGCGAATGTCTGGCGCTTTAACCGGGTTAGTGGACACGGAGTATCCACCTAGAAAAGTTGGAAAACCCTGATTCCAAACCAATGGTGCACATGGGCTCCAGTATCCTGAAGGAACAAATGGCGTGCGAACCAATTATTGGTCACCGGTCAACATGGGACTGCATCTCCTTACGTTGCTCCACTGCCTTGTGGATCAGACTTTTAGGTCAAAGGCTCGGGGTGTGGCTCCTTAAGGAAACCATCTGCTTCGATTTGAGCACCCGGGCAGTATCACAGCACACACACAAATCAAGTGATTTATGTGGTGCATTTGTATTTGGTGTCCCTTTGTACTACTATTTGTGTGTTCAAATAAATAAATAAATACATCAGTCAAATAAAGGAAGTATCCAAAATCTGGAAAAAACATGTTTCGTACGACAAACTGGAAATTATTTACAAATGACTCACTGGGAAATACCTTTGATTTTGTCACTTGTAATCTTGAATTCTGCTTTATTGTTTGTTGTTCCGATGAAACTATTTTTGTAAGTTTTGATTGACTTACATCCCTCCAACTAAAGCGATTACGAAGGCAAACAGAAAGAGTATACGAGGATAAAAATTCTGTCGAAGTTCGAAGCTAAATGATCTAATAAACCTAGAGATTAGACGTATGAACTTGATGTTTACTCAGAAACTCACATTTTTAAAAATCTCTTCAAGTATGCGGAAATTATTTAAAGAGCTTACAAGTGTGAGACGCACTAGTGACGATAACCAGCTGAATGTTTATGACTAAAATAAATCTTTTTTACGTCAATCATCTGATTTCATGCTTCCTATATCCACAAGTCTGAAGAATAGTTGTGTTCCAATTTTCACTGAAAGTGATGTCCGAAAATGTCTCCAGTCACTTAACTCGTACCAATGTTTAGGAACTGACGAAATCCCAAACCTCCTTTTTAAGGAGTTGGTTGATGTTGCGTCGTCTGTCTACGAGCATCTTTAACGAATTTTTCTCAAATAATTTCATTATAATTGAATGATAATTATTTCTTACCTATAAATAACGTAACAATATTGAGTAAATTCAAATCGTGGTCACAATTAGAATTAAATCGTTCCCATTGGACAACCACTTAATAGATACTCCCAAAAAGTCCTTATACTAATTCATTGAAAATGCAAAGGGATCTCTTGTGAATGAATTTGTTATAAAGCTTTATATATAAATGAGGTATCAATCCTATAAAGACATATAAACCATGAATAAATGTGATAATGTAACATAAAAGTTATATTACTAGATTATATAATGTGAATAATAACAATAAAAGTTTGTGTGTGCGCAAATAATAAGTTGTGCAAAATTAATAGGTTAATAATTCATTATTCTGTGAATAGAGTAAGATAATTAAAATGTTTTTATCACAACAATTGAAGGTTTTAGAAGGGTTAAATGAATTAACTCGATATTAGAAGCAATAGTGAGGAAAATCATAAGTATTTGAAAATTACTGAGAGTGAGGGGGAGATATTCCCAAATACAAAATCAATGTAATGAAGATAACGATACGTGTAGATTTACATAGATTAAAAAAAAACGAACTGACCAGCAGAGTTTGACCATGCCGGGTGTGAGACAGTTAACCACCGGACACAATAGAAGATTGTCGTGCAATGTCATGGATTGATTGGAGTTATACATTAACACCGTTGGATTCTGGTTCAGTGGTCTAGAAGTTAAGCATTAGCGTGCTATACTTCCACGTCCAGGATCGTGGATGGATACTGTTGAGGAATCTCCTACTAGAACGAAACGGTCATCCAGGTGTCATTGAGTGGTCTAACATTGGTCGGTTCATGATTCCAGTGAAAACGGAAATTAAGTCTAAGGTATAATTCATTAATTTTGAAATTTAGGAGGGAGAATAGTGATTGATTAGCAAACTATTCTCATGCCTATTATTTGTACACTTATTACTTTTAATGAACTAAAAATGTAACTCTAACGTCATTAATATAAGCTGCTACTAATTTAATAATAAATCGAAACAATAAATATTTGATGTTTTTTCACTGCAAAAGTTATTTCATTTTAGATCGAATGTCATTATAGCTTTGTGTAATACTTCATTGTATATTCCATTTTTCCCCTTGAATTTTATTTAGGATAACAATTAATGTAAAATGTTGTCGAGTTATTAGTCCCAGAAAAATATATATTCTTTCTCTAGTTACTTTCCCAATCGGTTTGGCCATAGCTACAACGTGGTTGGTATTTCGTAATAATGACATGTAAGCTTCAGTTTTATATGCCTTTGTTTTTAATCATCATGTACACGCATGTTCTTAATGATCATTTACCATTCAATTTCATTGGTAAAATCCAAATATTTATGTATGACTATGACGTGGGGTCTATATACTATAATCTGTCATACATATGTTAGTAAAAGCAACAGTTTTTTTTATACAAATGCTCAATAATTTATCTCCTCTCTAGATGTTATCTAATCCATTTGTAGTATACAAATAGAAGACCTGTTCAGTAGGTCGTATGGCGTAATTGGTGAATATTATCGAAATTTTTAGTCAAAATTGAGAATGTTTCAGATACTTCACATCTTTCTCAACTAAAAATTCTTACTTCAATACTGTGCTGAGCTGATGCATGTCTTAACCCTAATAAATGAAGTGCGCCAATCGCTTTATCAAACAAACAGTTGTCTGACCAAGGTCCTTAACCTTCAGATCATTGAACTAGGATCAGGTGGTTTCCATATCTAAATTCAGTCAGTTCACAATCCTTAGCTGTGTCTCGAATTCATCCTGCTGAGCAATCCCATAATAAGATGAAGTAACTGTTCAGTAATTCCTGGCGTTTATTGGTTTTTTAATCAAGGTAGGTCCGTAATATAAAGTATCAGGTTATTATTTAGTCGAACAGATTGTAGACATGTGTTTCATCACGGTAATCTAAAGATAACACTTGCTGTGTGACGTTAAAATCTTGAGTTCATCAGGTGAAGTTGTTCGTTATGAAGTTATCTCAACATTCATGATTTTATCCCCATTGTTTAGTAAGCTTTATGAAAATCTTGTGTATTAACAATTTTGTGATTAGGCGAGTAGTTTCGCTAGTTAAAGAAACCCTACTTTCCAATGTTTCTTTAAACTGCTTAGGTTTTTAAAATATATTCGATTGAATGCAATTCAATAATTGTTTCATCGTATTCTACAAGATTATGTGTTTTGTGGAAGATATGAAATTGTTGGTTGTTGAAATTAGAATAAAAATCTGGTGTAATACCGATTTTGAGATAGAACCTTGTGTATCATGCTATTTAATACATATAAAGATGCCATTATCACTATTTAAATGAACATTTTGTTTAAAAAGAAACATTTTTATCAAGTTCTACTTTGACATTATGATTTCATTCATTACATTATTTGAATCTTTTATTAGAATTGGTTGGCCTTTGCAATCTGTTATCGGGATGTTTATAGTGGCAGTGATTATTTCATCTGGGTTGATTATACCATCAGTCAAGGTAATCAAGGAGTATGTTTCTGATAAATTCTACCCCATTTCTTACTTGTTACATCTACTCGTCACATTTGGTACTAGAATTTAACACCTCGAACTGACTTTTTTAAATAGACTGGAAACCAGAAAGCACTAGACAAATACTTAGTTTCAATATAGGACTTCTCAAGAATGGTGATCTACAACTTTACTAGAAGTTAAACCCTTAACTTTCAGATGTCTTGGGATAGTGCTCAACCTTCATACCACTGATTTTATCATCCAATGATCTACAGTTCTAACGTAATCGACTCGCGATATTGCGTTACTATCACTCGGTGCTATAGGTTGGCAACTCTCTCAACCCTGTCATGACTGAAATTTGTGGTATAAAACTTTAAATTCAGTAATCACTATAATACCCTATGATTACGCTTGATGTACTCAAAGTCTATTTTCTATTTAGTGCACTGGTAAATTATAATTCCTACACAACAGTCTTGTGATAGCTCATGTGATTCATATATATATATATATATATATATATATATATATATATATATATATATATATATATATATATATCGTTTATATTGTTTGACTAAATCTCGTTTTTGACAACGCGGTCACGAAAGCGCGAAAATACAAAATTTATATGGGACGCGTTTATTTCAAGCATCCATGTGTAACCAGGCAAACAAAGGGTGTAGTGATTATGGAAATCGGGTTTTGACCAAGATCGGTGACTTAGGTGTGACTCAGCTTTTGTAGCCAGTCAACACTTTGTAGATGCATAGATAAGTACTTACTTACACACACAAAGTTACAGAAAGATATATGGATGAAAGTGAATAATCAATAAGACCACGATTAACATGGTTACTCTTAGACGATCTCATCTGTCTATGATAACTAAAGAATGGTTAGGATGATAAATAATGACGTGTTAGATACGTACTGTTTAAATCATTAATATCTGTTCAAAAGTCAGAATACCCTCATGCAGGTGTATAAAAGCCATTAAAGTCTATAGACATCTGTCTCTAGCAGAAATATCTTATGATTATGTCTCGATTGCTTTTTGGTTGGTTGTATTTCTTTGTTGTCTGAATCCTCAATGGTTTTCCCCGTAAAGTGCGTTTATCGTTTTTATGTGTCTATTTGTTCAAATGAAGCTCGGGTTTAGAGTTACCCATCATGTTTTACTTGTCATATTGATGAAAACGTCTTATGTTTTTGTAGTGAGTTTGCGGTATGATAGTTTGGACTGCCTTACTTTATTCAGCGTTAGATTATTGATAACCTTGGACCTAAGTTTCATGTTATTTAGCATACATCAGTGAGGTACATCTACAATTTGGATGGGGATGATGCTATTTGTGGAATACAAAGCTTCACCAAAGTTGGAGACATTACTACTGAGATATCGAATATAAGGCATAGTTTTTCAATCATACAAAAATTAAATTTCTGATCTATCTTTCATCGTCTTTTTAAAGGCAATTTCATTTATTTCAGTTTGCTGTTCTATCGGCTTATATGTCTGTGTCCGTATTACAGGGTATAGTCTACAATCTATATTTTCACTTATGTATATAAGTATACTTTAATTGGAAATAATCAGTCCCCTTGAGAATTTTGGATAATGTAATAAGAAAATGAAGATTGTCAAAACTATATGACATATTAACGCAATACATTTCGAACAATCTGACCACATCTATATTTTTGTTAAGAACATTTATATATGATTAATAAACGATCAATTAGACAAACAAACAATATAAATCTCACCACTATGAATAGTAAATAAATATTACCAAGAATAGATTTACAGCGAGTACAAGCTGTTTCTGAATGCATAAAAGAGTTTGAATTTTTTCTCAACAAGTATATATGTGATCAGATTGTTCATGATTTATTGCACTTATATATCACATAGTTCTTATCATCTTTGACTGGTTATATTTCGGTTGAAAACTTTGTAAAACATAATTTCGTGACTTCCTTATATTCTTTTTTTTTTCGTATTATCTCGTTAGGTTGGTACACTTTTGTTTACTGCATTTCTGATCTATGATATATTCTTCGTATTTATTACTCCCCTATTCATAGTAAGTTATTTATGTATTTCTAAACTAATTCGTATATTTTATAGTTATCATTTGATTTTGTCAAAAAAAATATATTAATTTCTGATATCTTTTTGTAACGTTAATAGTAAGGCTACTAAAGATATTCACGAACCAACGTAAATAAGATGAGGTTTGCACCTAAGACTTGCAATGTATTTAAATCTTCTTTTACGCGTAGTTATTGGTCACCATCCTTGACGATCCTTTTTTAGTTTCAATTTGTTAGGAATTCATGAATGGTTTTTATTCCACTAATTTTCGCTTACGTATTTCTATCGTTCTTCATTGTCTTAATATTGTCTTCAGCATAGTCTGCATATTTGAATAAAACAAACACATCCAGTTAGCTTTTCATAAACGATGAGGTTCTAATCTGAGATTTCAGCAAGTTTACGTAGAATTCTGTCCATTAAATGTTCATTTTGACTCTGTATTGAAAAGTTGATTTTCGGCTATCAGTTGATATGTGTCAGACATTTCACACCATCTATCGAGTTGAAAATATGTGAATGATCTCACTAACCTTTTTTAAAAGAAAATGATGATTACTGAGTTAAACAATACAGTTAAGTTCATTTTAGCATTAGCTTGATAACGATATAACAGATGAATGAAGATGTTTTCTCGCTTTCACGATGTATTACTGTAATATGATGATTCGACCGCTGACCGAGATTATGCTACTGTCAGATTGAATACGACCAAAGCAAGGGCCTCATTCCTACAATTGAAGAACATGTGGGACTCAAAATAACTGTCTGTCAACAAATATCAAAGTCAGAATCTTCAATGCTAACGTCAAGACAATCAGTTCTACTGTACGAAGCTGAGACGTGGATAACTACCACATCCATCATCAAAACAGTACAAGTATATTTATAAACAATTGTCTACTATAGATAGTCAATGTCCGTTGACTGGATACCATCAGTAGCAGCCTAGTGTGGGAGAGAACAAACAACTTCCAGCTGAGGAGGAAATTAGGAAAAGATGTTGAAAGTAGATAGGACACACATTGAGAAACCATGAAACTGCATTACGAAGCAAACACTAACTTGTAATCCTGAAGGGAAATGAAAATGAAGAAGGCAAAAACCACACTGCCTCGAGAATTAAAAGCAAACATGAATAAGATGAATAGCAACTGGAAAGGATTCCTCAGTACAGAGTTGGATGAAGAATGCTGGTGAGCGGTCTATGGTCCTCCATGAGAGGTAACAGGCATAAGGATGTAAGCAAGATTGAATACTCGATCAATAGACCTTGCACAAACTGAATCGCATTATACGAGACACGATTCATGACCAAAAATAGTCAGGGCATAGACAAGACAATACTTTATTTTAATCAATTGCAAGCAGTCACACTCAATGAGTTTAAAGTACAAATCAGTGGTAGGAAAGTAGATCGCACATTTAATAGTCAGTAATTTTTTTTTGTTTGTCCACATTCAATGGTCAACCACATATAATTTCACTAAGCGCATATCAGACAACTTAAACTTCTTTTTAATCACTTGAATTTTTCCGCAGTCAACTGCATCAACTAATGTCAGTCATTCCTCTGAGCATATCCAACTTACTAGAACACGACGTTCAACTGCTCATAGTTTTATGGAAGCCGTAGCAACTGGTTCAGCAGGTAAAAGTGGAGAACTGATACCGTTATCATTTCGTCTAGTTATCAATGAACATATAGAAGTAAATAAACACAATAACGCGACCATGCCATATGCTTCTCTTCTAGGATTCGGTGATGCTGTTATTCCCGGTAAAGTTGACAATACATTCTGTTTGTTTTCGCAAGTAAAATTTTATCTATCATTATAGGGAGTTTTTGACGATTGTTGAGTGCTATTGGGATCACTAACCGACCTAAGTTGGAGAACCATGGGAAACCAGGAAGCACTGGAAAACTGTTTCATTTTAGTAATGAGATTTTGTGACAGTGCTCATCCACTGCCCATCGAGGATCGATTTTAAGATTTAGGTTTCAAGATGAGTGATCAACCTCCCGACTATTGAGTCGACATCCGATGGTTTACATGTGTGACTTCAAATAATTCTCAATAGTTCACAACTGTCTGCTATTGTCTTCGGTTGGTCACTTCACACCGAAGAAATATGAACTCCATTGATTTTATGGCTTCTCACTAGCGCTTCAGGAATTACCTCTCGAAATTAATCCCTCGTGAGCACGTGGGGTTTATGGAGATCGTAGAGTTTTATGTTTGTTTGTCTCATTTTTGTAAAGATTGTGATCTAATGAAAATGGTCTTTGGTTTTATTTTTACAATTCATAATCTAGTATCTAAATGTACTGTCATTTGGTGCTTTCTTAGAGACTTCAGTTTCAGATATTGAACTTTATGTTAATTGGAATAAAGCGAATACAACAAACTTAGTGGATTAAGGGCGAATTCATTTGTTTCGTAGATCCTTGTCAGTTCCTTACGACCTCGAAACGATGACGACAACAATTTTCGTTATTCTACTAATCTTCAATAATGCACATAGATTGTCTAAAAATAATTATTGCTACTATTTCTAGCTTTTAAGCAGCTGATGAGGATCTATGAAATAAACGAATTCACCTTATTCTAATACTCTTGTTGTTTTTACTTTAATAGAAGTTTGTTAATGGGAAAGTTTTCTTTCACTTTGTGTTATTCGTTAATGGTGTATATATGTGACATTTTTATTATTCTCTTATCGATTTTGTTGATTGAGTTGTTGAAGTTCACTGAAATTATGAACCGATCAATGTTAGATCACCATTGAAAATCTAGAAGCACTGGACAACCTTTTCTTACTAGTGTGGCACAAAATGGCCGTCCAGTGCTTCCAGGTTCTCAATGGTGATCTATCATTGGTCGGTTCATAATTTCAATAAAATTCTTTTATCGATTTTCTTGATTGTGTAATTTTAAATGCAATGTTAATAGAATTAAGTAATCTCTCCAATGACTATGCAAGATATTTATTTCCGTGGTCTACAAAGGTATATTTAATGTTCACTTTATTTTAACCAGAAATTTCAGTCATTTTCTAATGAAGCTTCTGTGTGCTTGTTTAGCTTTTGTAATTGGTACCTTTCATTTGATGTCCCCAGATAACATTTTATCGCATCAAATGGATATATATCTATCGTGTTCTTGTTTCGTTAGAGTAGAGTTATTTGTTTCATAACTTTGCATCATAATTTGTATTAGGTTATTTGACAGTATTTAAGGAAGACTGCAATTCACAAGGTAATAAGTTCGGTGATTGAAAGTAAACTAGCGAAAAATTCGAATTTAAGTTTCATACTCGTTGATATTTATTATAAAGTGAGATATCTGCAGCGCTAAGGGAACTGATACTCGAACCCGTTAGAATTGAACTATTTGAGCTATCACTAATCTCTTATAGGTTACTACTCAACAATCGATGTACGTAAACATCTCGGTCCTACGCAGAGATTTATATTTCCAAAATGCTCAGTTGGAAAGTAAAAAGTTTCTTTCTTTTGTAGATACGATAAAATCTCACAGCCGAATCATAAATGAACTTAGTGTCGATCTGCATTATTTTGAATTAACCTACCTTGAAACATATTCAGTATTACAAAAATGTAAACAATCAAGTACTTCATCTTATTTACTTTATTGCATCATTTTACTTGCTGGACTCCGTATGTTTAAAAATAAATACGTTTTAAATTAATAAGAAAAACAGCTAAAGACTACTTAAATTATATGACTTATATACTAGTCATATATGAGTTATACTTTTACGCTTCCTCATTGACTGTCACTGTTATGATCGTAAGTACAAATGAGTATTTATTCATAATACAAGAAACATATTAATTTCACTGTACAAAGATGACAGTCTGTTGTATATAATTCATTTTATGGTTACCAGTTGATCATTTTCTTACTTATTTTTTTCTCGAAAAAAACGATTTTCAGGAATATTTATTCAATTCTTGGCATTCTATGATGCATGTTGGCGTGCTCCGTACTATCGACACTTTTTAGGTGGAATTTTAGGTTGGTTTCTTTTATTAGAAAGAAATTATTTCCTTAAATCTATTTTTATGATCAATTTAGTTTTTTTATGCGTAAAAAATACAGTAGAAATGAGAAACAATAACGTATCAGTGCTTTTACAGCAACTTTGTGTACCTATGATTAGCATATTTGCTGTTCAAATGGTCTATAATTTTCTGAAATCACTTTCCTCGACTTTTTTGAGAAAGCTTTCAATTGTGTTTAAGTGTGCCGAATTATAAAAATAGAACGTAAAAACAATAATTTTGTCATAAGCAACCTACTTACGCCTGTCACCTCCCGTGGTGGAGCATAAGCCGTTCATCAGGAATCTCCATCGAACTTTGTCCTTAGCGATCCTTTCCAGTTGTTATCTATTCTTTTGATGTCTACTTCCAATATTGTGGAAGTTATTTAGGGCTTTCAATATTACTCGAGCTTCAATACAGCACAATGACAGGATGTCTAATTTACTAACACTATCACGAATTTTTTTTATAGAATCTGGTTAGTATTCAAAATTAGGGAACTACATTATCATGTAATTGTTCAGTTGAGTCACATCCGATTGATTATTTGCCCCTCAATCCTTAAAAAAATTACCCAAAATAATATTTGAATATCCGATAATTAAAAATCTCCATTATTCTTCTTCCTATATACATTTGACTAAAAAATGCTTTCAGTAACAAGGGGCTTATACAAAGTGTCTAACTAAAAACGATGTTTAATATCAAAAATTGAAATATGGAGTTCGAAGTCATTTCTTTGTCACATATCTCACAAAATATGCCCGATATGTCATATTACTGTATACTTAATTCCTACTTTTAATTATCTTCTAAGTAATAATTTTTATTATATCACCGGCGTTTTTATGGCACTTCTGTACGTGATAATAAATTGTAAAACATTTTATATTTGCTAACATCATCGATACTCCACTCAATATATGTATTTAAAATTCCTTTTAGTTACACACACACACACACAAATACTCATACTGAAAACTATCGTATTCAGTTAAAACTTATGACCTTGAACTGACGGAAATGTTTACATCTTTCTGTTTAAGTGGTGTGAGAGATCTACTAATATTTAGTTTAACTACTAGAAAGAAATATTTTGATAAAATGAATGTTTGTTTGAAATTATTAGTCATTTTATTTTGCAACATCCTACTAATCTTATCGTATTGTTGTTGAATGGTTGGGTAACAATGTATTTATCATAAATGGCCTTAATTGACTTATTTCCTCTATACATGTATGTAAATATTACCTTATATTTAAGCAAAGATCACATTAGAAACAATATTGTTTGCTGATAAGTTTTATTCCGAAGGAAAAAAACATTTGTTTGAAAAAATCTGAATAAGAGTTTATGTTTCTCAAAATCCAGTTCATTTGTTATTTCTTTATCAATTTATCATTGACTTTGGTTACTATTTTAGGTTACTCACTTGGTTTCATAGTTACCATCATTATGTTAAATGTTACTAATGTCAGTCAACCAGCTTTATTGTATCTATGTCCATTTACTCTTCTTGTAACCTTCATTGTTGTCATCGTTTGTGATGGTCTAAATGAATGGAAACTAATGTGGTCAGGCAGTTTGCCTACATTGGTCGATAATACAAATATGAATCCGACTGGCGATAGAGACCGGGTTAATCAACCAACTGGTTCTTTAGAAGTGAATAACCTATATTCAATTGAAAATAAATCGCTTAACCATTCAAAAACTCCACTAGTCCCTGAGCAATAATAATAATACTCACTGATATAGTATTACTTATACCAAAAAAAGAAAAGGAACGTACTGTGGCTTTTATTTCTTTCTTATCTTTGTAAATGCTTATTTTCGTGATGACTTTGTGATTACATCCGCATTTTTATTTGTATTTGTGTATGTGCGTTTCAGACCTTTTATTCGTAATGCTATAAATGATAGTAATCACCATATCCTAGAAACTAGTTGATTCATTTGTTAAGATGTTGTGTAATTTTGATATTTTGTTTACCAGTGTAGCAGCTTCTGATTCTAGATATCCACTTACTTACTTACGCCTGTTACTCCTCGTGAAGGAGCATAGGCCGCTCACCAGCGTTCTCCATCCAACCCTGTCCTGGGCAATCCTTTCTAGCTCCGTCCAGTTGTAATTCATCCTTTTCATATCTGCTTCTATTATCCGACGCAATGTGTTCTTTGGCCTTCCTCTTTTTCGCTTCCCCTCAAGATTCCAAGTTAGGGCTTGCCTCGTGATGCAGTTTGACGATTTGCGTAATGTATGTCCTATCCATTTCCATCGTCTTTTCCTAATTTCTTCTTCAGCTGGAAGTTGGTTTGTTCTCTCCCACAGAAGGCTGTTGCTGATGGTATCCGGCCAATGGATGTTGAGTATCTTGCGAAGACAGTTATTTATAAATACTTGTACTTTCTTGATTGTGGTTGTTGTAGTTCTCCAAGTTTCAGCTCCATACAGTAGAACTGCCTTGACGTTCGTATTGAAGATTCTCACTTTGATATTGGTTGAAAGTTGTTCTGAGTTCCATATGTTCTTCAATTGTAGGAATGCGACCCTTGCTTTGCAGATCCTCGCCTTTACGTCTGCATCTGAGCCTCCTTGTTCATCGATGATGCTTCCCAGATATGTGAAGGATTCTACATCTTCCAGAGTTTCGCCATCAAGAGTGATTGGATTGCTGTTCTCCGCTTTGAATTTGAGGACTTTAGTTTTCCCTTTGTGTATGCTGAGGCCTACTGATGCAGAGACTGCTGCTACACTGGCTGTCTTCATCTGCATCTGTTCGTGTGTACGTGATAGGAGGGCTAGGTCATCTGCGAAGTCCAAATCGTCTAATTGATTCTGAGCTGTCCATTGTATTCCGTGTTTTCCTTCAGATGTTGAGGTTTTCATAATCCAGTCGACCACCAGGAGAAAAAGGAAGGGAGAGAGTAAACAGCCTTGTCTGACTCCGGTCCTTACTTGGAATGCATCTGTCAGCTGTCCTCCAGGATTCTAGATATGGAAGCAAAAAATGTGGTTCCCGTGATAATCTGTTCGTTGGGTAACTGATTAAGTTTTCATAGCAGAAGCGGCACTGTTCACTCCCGTGATTATGGTTTTTTTTCAATGTCGTTTGTTTCGTATATTTACTCGTAGCTTTATTATGCAGTACTACATTGTTGTCCTGAATTCATAAATCTCAAACTTCGGGACTAGCTCTAATGACGGAATTAATTATGAGAACTGCAATCACTACTATTCTCGTTCTTGATTCGGTTGTAGACACGTAATCTCATTAACTTGATTTCCATTTCATATCATTTCTGCCAACATACATCTCTTGACAAGTTACAACAATAAGGGGTCTAATGATAACAAAGAAGATAAGAAAGTTATTTAGAGACAAAGGAAAATCTATCTGCTTTACTCGTTGGTACCGGATCTTATTTTATTGACTGCACTGTAAGATATTTGAGAACTGGAAGCATCACAATGACAGCTGAAACAAAATTACGATCCACATATTGTACCTCGATTATTCACCCAAACAAGGTATGGTCGCTTCTATTCTATCGAGAAGGGGAAACGAAGACTAATCGATGGCTGGGAACAAAAGACACTGATGTGTTTAGGATGTAATTTAAGACGATTAGTTTTTTTGTATGACTGATTGTTGCGACATAAGTGGAAGGGTTCTTATTTATCGGAATTATGCTCTAATAACCCAGGACCTAGTAAAAAATATCTATCAACATAATGAAAGGTAGTTAGAAAAGATGTGTAGCTATGCAGCAAAGTAATGTTACTTTCCCTGATCTTAAGAAAAAATATTGGAAATGGAAGCTTTATAACAGAGTACACAGGCTTTTGTACGTCACGGTTCATAATGAAGTCGCTTCGAAATGGAATACGAAGGACCTTTTAAAGTCCTGCATCTTAAGTTTTATTACTCTACCATCGACAAAAAGGGAACTAATTGTAACGTTAGCATTGACCGTCTTCAGGTCTCTTATTTGAAAGGAATCTTAATTTTCCTCCTGTACAATCAAACGATAGGAGCCTCACAATCACTATGCCTTCCCCGATATTCAGCAATCAAAACGAAACGTTGCAGATATCTAAAAACCAGCCAAAAACAACGCGCTCTGGCAGGAGTGTAAGGTTTTCTGGAAAATAGGACAACTACTACACGTAGGACATTAGATACCTTTTTGTTATATCTCATTACTTCGCAACTTATCTGATTGCACTATATATATCATTGTATCAAACAATTACATCACAACGAAGATTGAATTATGAGTAGCTTCTGGCAACTATTCATAGTCTCTTATTACATGTATTGTTATTGTATAGCTATACAGTAACCAGATTATGTTTATATATAAAGCTGTAGCAGTAGAGGTATACCCGAAATAAATAGTTTTGTATGTCTTCGACACTAATGCTGACCTCATTAGTTTTACTGGACACCCTAACTAGAGGCTCTCAGCCACATATCAACACCATATCAGGGGTTGGTACAGCGTGCCCCACTACAAGACGTGATAGTACCAGCATGACATAACAAACAATGTGAATTTATTAAATTCTGGTATGCAGATTGTTATTCATTGTGAATAAGAAGTTCATCGATACTCTTCCATAAATCCTGGTGTTGAAGTTCATTAACTTAAGCAAATGAACTTAATGGCAAAAACAGTTTTCTCAATAATAACGAAATGAATAATAACTACCTCTCATATTCACAGAAAATAACTAGCCACGAAGAAACTAGACGTTGATGGTGTAGCGGTAAGTACACCTCTGAAATCAATAGTTCTGCAAGTCTTCGACATTTGGTGTTGACTGCATTAATTTTACTGGTCCCAATTAGATGAAGGCTCTCTGTCCCGCATCCACATCAGATCACAAGCGGGAACGTCGGGCTACGTACGTCTTTTCAGCTACTAGCAAGCTTAGACCAATGTTCCTTCAACATATTGGACAACCTCTCAAACATATCTTCGAACTTTTTCATTCCTGTCTTCTGATATGATTGGGCTGACACACTTCGATTATAAAAATGTTACTGGCTTAGGTGTTACCACACTCCAAATTATTGTAGCATCCTTGTTAGTTGTGTCACCGATTTCAGCAGATAACTCAAATATGCTAACCACATAATGACAGGTTCGGCACCACAAGCATTCCGTTGTACTAAAGTCAGGCTTACAAGTATATTTTGTCCAAATTTGAATTAGTTGCTCGTCACAACTCTCATCTCCTCCCTTATATGTCCAAAAGTTTCCGTCTCAAATGTGCGTCGCGTTTAAACTGACATAAGCTATTCCTTGCAATTTTCATTGCTTAAACACCTGAGTTTAGTCTTGTTACTGTCTGTCTTCTTATCGATCAATCATTTTTCGACCTGAAGAGATTCATCTTACACTCTGTTATTTCTTCTGTTAAACACGAAGGTTCATTTACGAAGTCATCCCGTAACCGGCCCACAAATTTATGAACTCCTTTGAATCGTTTGAACTAACTAATGGGGTCAAACTTTTGTAATGACAAGGTCATTGGCACGCGGAATAAACAGGTTCGTTGTATGTATGGTTTAGAACAAGCTTGAATGAGTACAGGGTTCGTTAGCTGGCTGAAGTATTAGGTTATATTTAGGTGGATTCCCAGGTTTTTAAGAATGTTGTTTATAGTTAACTCAAAGCCCAGGTTGCCATGCTGCAAACGCACTATATAAGATTGACAAGATTTTCCAATGTGATTGATCAAACACATGGATCTATTGGTTTTATAGATTTGAATCAATTTCGTAATCTTTATGGCTGTCTTCAACTCTAACATGGCAAAGTAATATTTCATAAAGTGATTGAAATGATAGGCTAAGTACCTCACAATGCAAAGTGACTTATCCTTTATTTTATTAATCGGAACACCTTAGATTCCCGCTTTCATTAATTTCACCTATTTTCGCTTAGGCGTTTCTCAGTATTCATCACATTTTCTTGCTCACTTTCATTTATTATGCTGATATACATCACAGAAACTTCAACTGGTACACATTTTCTATCGGTTTTAATTAATGTCAGTTCCAATCTTTTGATCATAAGAAAGCACGTTTTAAGACAGGAGAAGGCTGGTTTTGTATGAGGCTTCCTAGTTTCAGTTTATGATGAAAACGAGTGTATGGTAAAGCTAAATAATTCATGGATTGTTTCCGAAGTCTTGTCGAATCACATGTGAGACCACACTAATTTATAGGAATTTATCCACCCTAAATTAGTATTGAGCAAACGACCCCATAGTTAGAAGTCTAGTGAGTAAATTTCCAGGCTGTTGAGTTACGTAAATCACAAACATCACATATATTTGAAAGTTAATAATATTTAGGCTTTCTTCTAACCTGTAAGTTGTGTTTTACGTGACATTACTCATTATTTTTGAAGGTTATTTTGAGTTAGGTTAATAACTGTGGAGAGCGTTTTAATTTCTAGATAACCTTTGTCTGGCTCAACAAAATAATTCTATTGCCATACGTTTTATACACCCATATAACTATTCTGCATTTTAAAACAATTATTTATTTATTTATTTTAACACATAGATATTGGTACGAGGAGGCACCGAATACATATGCGCCACACAAACCTCTTTCGGTATGTGTGGGGGCTGTGATACTGCCCGGGTGCCCGAACCGAAGCAGGTGGTTTTCTTAGAGGGCCACTCCCCGAGCCTTCGACCTGGAGGTCTGATCCACAAGGCAGTGGAGCAACGTAAGGAGATGCAGTCCCATGATACCCGGTGACCAACAATTGGTTCATACGCCATTTGTTCCCGCAGAATACCGGAGCCCATGTGCACCATTGGTTTGGAATCCGGTTAAAGCGCCGGACATTCACTTTTCGTCCTCTCATATTCGTAAACAGCACCCCCGCCACAAGAAGACAGTGAGTAGGAATTCCCTGGCAGAGGCTATATACGCTTTATATAAGCTTTAACCAAATCTTGTTTCACTTAAAGTCACTTTGTAGTAATTCTCCTTGAAAATATACGCGTAAATTATTATAATGTCATTTGTGAAAGATATTTTGAGTTACGTTGTATTTTTTCATGCAGTAAATAACTCGCTTATTTATCTTAAAGTTAAATGGCTTACTTTCAGATTCCTAATGACTTCACTAAAATACAATGAAAGGGAATATGAAGCTTGTGATTGGTTTTTAAATATACGAACACAAAGACCTGTCTCTGAACTTCAATCAGATCTGTTCGTCTCAAATAGCGGATTCTTGGTTGATAACAGAACACAACGTTTTATAGAGCGTTACTTCAATGCATTTTATTTAGTTGATGTTGGTGGGGAGTTTGAAAATGATATTTGTATATTAAGGCATAGCAATACTTTGTGTGTTGTTGGTCTTGCTTGTGGGCACCATATTTTTAAAAGGTGTAGCGAGAATTCCTCTGGTGACTGTTCTTCTTCCATAACTCACGAAATTTTAGGATTAGATTATCAGGTAAATATTTGTTACCTTTCCTCATATAATTTATATTGATTTTAAATCATTCATGTTGAGCAGATTTGCATTACGTCCCTTTGTCTTTATATTGTAGTTTGATTTTTATGACATGCATTTCATTTTTAGTATGAACATGACTATCGAAATAACTCTTTTCTACTATGAATGTGTGTTTGATATTACTGTTACCTCCTATGGAGGAGCATAAGGCGTCCGCCAGAACTCTCCATCGAGCATTGTTGCGAGCGATCCTTCCTAGTTGTTATCCATTCTTTTGATGTCTGCTTCAGATTGCCAACTCAATGTGCTTCTTCGTCTTTTCCCTTTCCCTCCAGGATTACAAGTTAGCGCTTGTCTTGTGATGCAGTTTGATTTCCTCAATGTGTGTCCTATCCACTTCCAACATCGTTTCCTAATTTCCTCCTCAATCAACGGACATTGACTATCTATATTAGACAATTGTTTATAAATATACTTGCACTGTTTTGGTGATGGATTTGGTAGTTATCCACGTCTCAGCTCCGTACAGTAGAACTGACTGTCTTGACGTTAGTATTGAAGATTCTGACTTTGATATTTGTTGGCCGATAGTTGTTCTGAGTCCTATATGTTCCTCAACTGTAGGAATGCTGTTGTCGCTTAACCAATCCTCACTTTTACATCTGCACCAGATCCCCCACGTTCATTGGTGGCGCTGCATAAGCAAGTGAAAGTTTCCACATCTTCCAGGTCTTCTCCATCAAGTGTGGTTGCGTTGGTGTTCTCCGTGTTGTATTTGAGAATCTTGCTTGTTCCCTTGTGTATTGTTGAGGCCTTCTGATGTAGAAACTGCTGCTGCACTGACTGTCTTCACCTGCATCAGTTCTTGTGTACGGCTAGAAGAGCTAGGTAGGTGATATACGAAGTCCAAATCTTCTAGTTGCATGTAAGGTTGTACATTGCATGCCGTGTTTCTCATGAGATATGGAAGTCTTCATAACCCAGTCAACCCTCAGAAAAAAAGAGAAAGAAGGGGAGTAGGCAGCCTTGCTAACCTCGATCCTCACGTGGAATGCGTCTGTCAGCTGTTCTTCGTGCATAACTCTGCAGTGTAGTCGGTCCTATGAAATCAGTGTGATGTTGACGATCTTTTCGTGTACACCATATTGTCGAAGAACTTTCTACAAAGTTTTCTTATCCGTGCTGTCAAACGTTTCTGTATAGTCAAGGAAGTTGATGTAAAGTGACGAATTCCATCCAATTGATTGTTCAACAACGATCAGTAGTGTCGCAATTTGGTCCGCGCACGACAAATTCTTACGGAATCCAGCCTGTTGATCTCAGATCTCCTTTCTCTGGTATGTTGATGAGGTGCCCTTCTTTTCAATCCATTGGCGCGTAATCATCCCTCTGAATCTTCCTGAATAGAACGTGGAGCATGTTTGCAGTTACCTCTCTATGTGACATCAGTGCTTTAGCTGGGATATTGTCTGGTGCTGTTGCTTTCCCACACTTGATTTGTCTAATGGCTATTCTGGTTTCTTCGATCGTTGGTTTAGTGACATCTATAGAATGGTCTGTGTATGCTGTTTCATTCTCCAGTGGATTCAATGTAGCCCTTCCACGTATTACTGCTTGTCGGCTCCAATGCCCTTCTTCATCTGCTTGTTTGCTTCTGTGCATTCGGTGTGCCTTGACTTTCTCCGTTCTTGTTCGTCTGTTGTTCATTGCCGTCTTCTTGTTCTTCCTATCTTGAATCTTGACCAGGGTTTCCATAGAGATCCATTCCTTATGATGATGCTTCTTGTGGCCCAGAACCTCCCGACACATTGAAGTTAATGCTTCTTTGATGCCTTTCCGACTGTCCTCCATAGTAGTTTTTTCTTTCAGTATATCCTGTAAGGATTGGAACCTGTTGTTGAGAGTTATACTGAATTCGTTGAGTTTGTCAGTATCTCGAAGGAATTATGTATTGAACCTTTGTAATGCTGTTTCTCCAGTTGTCCGTTGTTTTTTTAGCTTCAGTTTCATTTTGGCAACCACCATGTAGGTGAATTAAGTTTGATATAGGTGTGTTTTAATTATCTGTATCAGCATATTTAAGTATATTAATTGGTAGCTCGGAGGATTTTTTTAAGCTCATGTAATATTAGTTTTAAGATTTAGAAATTGGCATTTCCTTAACTTTATGTTCTGATTCCGGTTACCTGTATGTATACCTAAGACATGTGATTATATCTTCCCATATCGTGACTGCAAGGTTGGGAAATAGGTGTTCACTGTTATGTGAACTAATATTCGCTGTTCAAGGAGTCTTTCAACACGTTTTAATGGGTCACAATGTTGGTTTTAGTATTTGGTTAATATTTGCTTAAAGTCCATCAAGTAACAATCAAAATAATGACTCAGTGAATGGTTAATTATTGATGCAAATACGAGACTATAATTATCCTAGAACTCAGTTACCTTATATATTCTTGTGAATGATAATCTCCAACGGAAACTAATACATTGAATATACTCCATAATTTCTTTATTACTTGATTATTTTAGGTTTCCAATGGATTAAATCGTTCGAAAAAAAATGTCAAAGGCCGTCGTAAACATGGAGGTCATGTTTTGAATAAATCTACAGACATAATAGCTTATGCTATTTGTGATCGTGAAATAAAGCATCCTGTAGTGTGTGGCATTCCAGGCAATCTTTTGGAAGTTAATAATTCTCTAGACATTACAAAAACCGAGTTTCATCCTCCTATCTCAGAAGATCTAAGCTATTTAAATTCAAAAGTGAAGTTAACTCCTTTGATAGGAAGCGAGAGTACTATTAATGTTGGTACCTACTTATCCATTATATTGCCAAAACCAAGACCAAGGAAGGATCAAAGTGGGTGTATAATTGATAAGTCCATTGATGAGTCGATTTTACTGATTGATTCTCCCACTCAAAACTTTACAGCATTAGTTGGTGATGTTTCAGAAAAGCTTGATGATTTAACCCAGTCAGACTATGCAGCACAGATTGCTGATTTTATTTCACAGACATCTCTTCCTAAAGAACAAAAGGTACTTAACTGGAATGAATATTCAGCCCTTCGACATTGTACATAGATTATTCTGTGATATTATTTTTTATACTATATTTTTACATTTAAATATATAAATGCTTATCTATACGTGATTTTCTTGATTTATGCAATTAATACTATGAAGTATTAGTCACTAAACTTAATTAACTAATAATCTTGTTAATCGCCCTTAAATCTTTTACTTCAATACTAACTGGAATTATAAAAACTTTAATTAGTGGTCCGTTTATTATTATTATTTGAACACATGAATATTGGTACAAGAGAGCGCCAATATATATGCGCCACACAAAACAATGAAATTCGAAGAGAAATAGAAAAAAAAACTAAGGAGCGCAAAAGAAAAAGAGAACAATAACGAAGAGATTGGTGTAAGGTAGTGTGGTAGTAACGAGGGAACGAAAGGTACAATCAGAAGAAATCTTTCAGGTAAGGAGACACAACCACTTTTTATGAAGAAAGTAAAAGAAGGTTACAGCAGGATCGCCACTGGCTTCTATTCTGAGCCATATCTGATAACGTCTCTAGCCACTGTGTAGCACCATCTCTCAGACCCCAACCAGGGAGTCGTGAAGGACCAACACAAGCCAGTCCTTTGCAGCTTTCTTTCATGCCACGACACCATGTCATGCACTGACCACCTCTCCGCTTCTTCCAACCAGTCCCAGAGTCGGCAAATAATGCACGACGTGGAATTCTCTGGGACGACATTCGGAGAACATGTCCAAGCCACCGAAGTCGGTGTTTCAAGATGGTGACACCAATTGAATTATCATCTCTGTGCCCGAACACACGATGCCGAACCTCTGCATTACTGACATGGTGTTGCCACTGAATGTCAGCAATCCTTCGGAGACAGCGATGATCGAACACAGAGAGTCGTCTAACGTCCTCAACTCGGAGAGGCCAGGTTTCACAAGCATAGAGCAAAACTGCTCTCACCGACGCGTTGTAGATCCGACCTTTTACAGCCAGACTAACATCACGAAGGCGCCAAAGGTGGCCCAGATTGGCATAAGCCGCTCTGGCTTTCACTATTCGTGCATTGATCTCATCACTCACACCCCCACCAGCACTTATGCAGCTACCCAGATACACGAACTTCTCAACTACGTCTATCTGCTCACCATCCAGGGTGAGTACAGGATTAGAATCCTGCCAGTCTTGTAGAAGTACTTTGCACTTCGAAGGTGCAAAGCACATACCATACCTACGGACACTGATTGCCAACTGATTAAGTGCGGATTGCATGCCTTGGGCATTATCGCACAGTAAGACAATATCGTCCGCATACTCAAGGTCGAGAAGTCTTTCTCCAGGCAACAGATCCACACCACCATTACTTACATTCATCAGAGCTGTTTCCAGAATGTCATCGATGGCAAAGTTGAAGAGGAATGGTGAGATTGGGCAACCCTGCCTAACCCCACTGCTCGAATGGAACAATGGAGAGAGGTGGTTGTATGCCCTCACTCTGCCTGAGGTGTTTTTATATAGGGCTTTTAGGATGTTAATAAACTTCTCAGGCACACCCTTCTTCAATAGACAATCCCAGAGAACAGTCCTGTCCAACGAATCGAAGGCAGCCCTGATGTCAAGAAACACTACGATTGTTGGCCTTTGATAAGTATGGCGGTGTTCTAACATTTGGCGGAGGGTGAAGATATGATCAATACATCCTCGACCAGAACGAAACCCAGCCTGCTCCTCGCGAGTCAATCTTTCTCGGGTTTTGAACAACCTACGAAGAATGACGGAAGCCAATAGCTTGGACGCAATCGGAAGTAAACTTATCCCCCGATAGTTGTTACAGGAACGACGTGAACCCTTTTTAAAGATAGGGACAACTATCGACTCATTCCATGACGTTGGTACACTCTCTAGTTCCCAAACCTTTGTAAACAACGTCGTCAATTCCTTAGTCAAAAAGTCACCACCATCTTTAAAAAGAGCCGGAGGTAAGTCATCTGGGCCAGGTGATTTGTAACGCTTCAAGAGTTGGAGTTCCTTGCGGACTTCCTCCTCGTTTGGTGGATCAGTCGTCACCGGCCATGGAGGGCAGGACAGTCTGACCGATGTTGCCGGAGCAGCAGGCCAGTTGAACTGCCCTTCGAAAAATTCTGCCCATCGTCCAAGACGTCGATGGATGTTAGTGATTGGCATCCCATCATCCTCGCAGATTGTTTCACTCACACCAGACTTCTTGCTGCCAGTGGCTCGGATGAGCTGGAAGAGCTTCCGGTAGTTACCAGATGCAGCTGCTGCTTCCAGCTCATTAGCACGCTTCGACCACCAGGCTTCTCGGTCCTTACGCAAGCTTTGCCCAATTTCCTTACGTAACATCCTTCGTTTATGGTCAAACTCACGGTCACCCGGAGTAGACCGACGGGCTTCAATGAGTTGTAAGGAACCAGAAGAAACCCAGTGCTTAAAAGCGGGACGTTTCGCAAACCCACAACTGACTGTTCCCGCCATTTTCATGGCGTCATGCAATTGCAACCAATGCTCATCTATACTTTTCGGTGGAGTGGTAGCTAGCCTAGAGGCTAGCTCGGTTCGATACTTACTTGCAACAGAAGTTGCAACCAGCTTGCTAACATCAATCCGTTGATGGCGGTCACTTCGTTGTCCACTGAAAAGTAAGGCAAGATTGGCGCAGACCAAGGCATGGTCAGAGTCCAGATAGGTACTCCAAAAGGAGCGGCAGTCTTGTACACAACCACGCCAGCGGTAGCTGATCGCGATGTGATCAATCTGAGTCCAGGCTTGAGATGCAGAGGGAGGACGCCAGGTGGCACATCGGCGATGACTGTGCCGAAAGTTAGTGCTAGCCAGAAACAGGTTGTGGTCTGTGCAAAGTTGCAGTAGACGGTCCCCGTTATCTGACCTGCGACCAACGAGTCCCCATCGGCCACCTAAACGACTCTCTTCTGTGCCTAGACGCCCGACCTGAGCATTCAAGTCTCCGGCTAGTACTACAATATCTGTCGAACGCACTTTCTGGAGAAGAACAGATAACTGGTGGTAAAACTCATCCTTGATTGCATCCGGGCTGCAATCTGTCGGGGCATAGGCGGAGATGACGAAAAGACATCGTTTCTCACGCCGATTTCTTCTCACTTTGATGGAACTTTCTAATCTAACAGCACATAACCGACTGTTAATGGGGATCCAATCGACTAGTGCTGCCTCAGCTCTAGCGCTTAGTGCGACACCAACGCCAGCAAGACCAGACGAAGATGCCACAGGGTCCCCGGATAAGCGCACGTAAAACAAGCTTTTCGAAGCGACAGATGGAGATCGAATTTGTAGTACTTCGCCAGAGTCTTGAATACGGGTCTCGGATAGACAACAAACATCGATATTAAGACTTTCCAAAGACATAGCCAGCCCTATCTGTTGTCCGACCTGCATAAATGTGCGAACGTTGAAGGCAGCCAGTTTGAATGGTGCACGTGGTTTCAGAAAAACTGCTTCAGTCTCGTATTCGGTGGTAACATACAATTTTCAACCGGACAGTGACTCGAGAACGTTTAGATACAGTCGAATTTCCACCAAAGACGAGCCGCTGTATAAGTATAAAAGAGGGTGAATAATGTGGAAAATAATAATAATAATAATAATAATAATAGTATTAATAATGACAATAATTGTAATGATAATAATTTGAATCAATTGATTGTTTTTCGAAGCGAGAAAAGTAATTTCCATAGACATAAAGAGTTCATCATTTGTGTGTGGGCTGTGATACTGCCCGGGTGCCCAAACCGAAGCAGGTGGTTATCTTAGGGGGCCACACCCCGAGCCTTTGACCTAAAGGTCTAACCCACAAGGCAGTGGAGCATCGTAAGGAGATGCAATCCCATGGTAGCCGGTGACCAACGATTGGTTCATACGCCATTTGTTCCCGCAGGATACTGGAGCCCATGTGCACCATTGGTTTGTGATCCGGTTAAAGCGCCGGACATTCGCTTTTCGTCCTCTCATTTTCGTAAACAACACCCCCGCCACGAGAAGGCAATGAGTAGGACTTCCCTGGCAGAGGCTGTATACGCGTGGCCGTGTGAGAGTATTTCGAGAGGGAGAGCGGACTCTCCCCACTCTCGGCCGTACCAGGGCATTCGGGTCCGTTTATAGGGTATAACTAAAACTGGATTTCTTCACTTTTCAAAGATCTTTGCGAGAATGTATTTCAAGATAAATCGTTTGAAAACATCCTTTTAGTGCTCAAAACTTTTTTGATACGAATATCAACTTAATGTTTTAAGGGATGATTTTATTATTTAAGCCATTAACAACCAAACGATTATTAAGTTTCCCTTGTTTAAAATTTCGTTTTAATACCTTTGTTTATCCTACCTCACTGTCACCATATGTAACAGAACTTTATTATAAGTATTATTATAATTATTATCATCCTGAAAAATAATTATACATAAATTTGCGGTTGTACATCTTTAGAAGTGAATTCGCCGGAAAGAGAACTTTTCGCTGAACTTATCTATGTTATTTAGTGTCTTAATGGGTGTATTCCGTTTTGATTTAGAACACTAATTATACTGATGGTTTGATCATGCATATTTTTCATAATTAAATAAATAGAGGTAAGTTTGATCAACAATAGTTGTGGGTTAGTAGATTTCAGTATATAATCTTTATTCATGAAATAGTAATCACATAGGTCTATTTATTCTGCCATTTAGTATTCACAGATTTTGATTATGTGAGCAGTCGAACTCATTAAGAATAATATATTCGAGTGAATGGTTTAGGTCTTCTGTATTACTAACAGTCATTTATTCGAAGATTATTGTTGATAGCATCGACACACTTAGTAAACTCGAAGGCTCGTGATTTTCAATATTGAACCTTACGTTTTTACAATAATCATTATAATTTTGAACTAAGCTACATCACCTATATATATATATATATATATATATATATATATATATATATATATATATATATATATATATATATACTTGGGAACAATTAAAACAATGCATCAGTCGATCGAAGTGTTACACTTTTGGGTAGTAAGTCCTACTGTATTGTTTGACACGGAGTCTCGAAAATGAAAGTTCGTTTATTGTTTAAAGCGCAGTTTCAGGTTTAAAGCAGCACTTGGTAAACTTGAATCGTTAATTTTGGTGCCACATTCGGTAAAACAAATCCATAGAAGGAGGGCTCATGGCAGGAATAGAAGAAATATTAGGATGAGGCTGTTATCGGGATCAAGATAGATTAGGGTGCTACTTGAGTTGTGCAGGCAGTTGAACCTATCAGACCTCTCATGAGGTGAGAGAACATTTATTCTTGAGGAATCTCTAATTGGTACCAGGAATCCTTTATACAAAAGGTGTATCTGTGCTTCCTCTTTTTTGATAGCTTCCAATTGTGGAAAGGTACAATCTATGGAGATACCACTTATCCGTGCTAAACATTTTATCACTACTGGAGCACGGTACAGTTGGTAGTTTCCTCTATTTCCAACAATACTATCCTATTTCTGATTAATTAGATGTAAGTAATGGGAGATAAATATGAACTAATAAAATAACTTTCTGGAGCCAGTCTAAGTGGATTTTTGAGTTGACTATTAGCTGGGTAGTTCATAGTTGAAATGCTACTCTACCCATTATTATTGAGTAATGAATGTACTCCATCAGTCAAATACTCATTTGCTCAAAATATTTGACTGATTCCTAACTCTCATTATTTTCCTGTTTTTGTTTGGATACAAAAAACCGTTTCTGACAGTCTAAGTAGTTTATTAATTGAAAAATTATCGACACGGTTGTCTACTCTTTCAATGTTCGAAGTAATAAATATGGATTTTTATGTAGTCACCATTGGAATAAACCACATCAGCAGGTTTAGTCGATTAACATTTCGAGTTTCATACACATTATTTTTACTTATAATAATGCAAACATTTTGTGTACAGCAGCGTTTGGTCCCCAAGTTGTGCCGATTTCTTACTTTTAATGAAAATATTTCTCTTGAAATGAGTCTATCTAGTTTGATCATAATTGCTACAGATATGAACAATGACTTACTCCTCTAATAGATAAATCGCAAAAATATGATAAAGCAATTTATATATCATGGAATACAAGTAGTTCTAAAATGATGAAGTACTAGTACTCAAAATGTACGTAGAAATATTGAAGCTCCTGTTATAACTTGTCAATTGAATGCTAGAATATCATATATTATTCGATAAAATATACGCATAGTGTTGTTCCATAAATTGACCCCAAAAATTACCATTCCTTACCCATATCGAGACATAACACACCCCTTTTTTGAAGATCTGGAGTTGATATCCGGATTTTAGATTTTCCGAGCTTATCTTCCCCCCACAAATAGTGTTGGATCCTCATATTTCCAAGTTACAGTTAATTTGAATTTATTTAAAACATTTGTCGCATTGAACAGAGAATCTACTGAAAGTAACTAAGTGGTGAGGATCAACGACGCTTGATATGAGGTCATCGAAGTTGATTCTTCTGAAACATTTACATCAAATTTATTGAAAACCTCATTAGTAGATGATGAATCATTAGGGTAAACAGCATCTATAAAAACTGCACTAGGCTCTTTATTATCATTTGATGCATGTGATACATTTTCTGGTAAAACAAGGGAATCTCGATAATTAGATTCGTCAGAAACTTCTATCACAGAATGATGAGCTCCATTTAGTGCATCTGCATTCAGTGTACTGCTTGATTCGTTTTCTCTTTCTTCATGGGCGGTTACTGCGACAATTTCATGAACATTTAACAGGGTATCGTTTTTTTGAGAGCTGGATAAGTCACTGTTTGCACATGCTGTTTCGGGGATAATGGGGTTCGAATTCATTACCGGACATGTTTCTGAAATGGGCAGTACTGGACCACTACACCACTGAGTGGATCTTGAATAACTGCTGTTCCTTTTAAATTACGGTTTGTCGAGGATTCATGGAGGCTTCAATCATTTTCCAGCTCGGTGCGCAATTAAGAAATTAATCCATTCACTTCCGTCGCATCTCCAAAGCATGAGTGATTCAGCAGCTATGTGCGTAGTTTGACTAAGAAATTCAACTGTCGCTCAAATAGCAACTGTAATCAATCGGAAGGGAGAGTCATTTTCTGAATCAACACAGTAATGAAAAATACTGTATGACTAATGAACAATCCATGTCGTTGAAGGACACCGGCGAGAACCCTATATGCTGATTGCTCAGGTAACTAATAATGGTCTAGGAAAGATTAGTTAATGATTTGAACTATGAATTTACTGAACTGATTACAGAAATAAATTATGTTTCAGTATTGAATATAATTTATTGGGATATAGTAACATCAAAGTTTAAATATTACACACACACACACAACAATAAAAACAAACTAATTCTATGAGACGTATTCAGTTCATGTGTATCAGTTTTTAGGTTGACGAATGAGATTAATTAGATAATATATAACCTATTTCAATTGTAACTCTTCAAATTCACATAGATAAGTAAAATAAAGTACAACATGCAAGTATAATTAAATGTAATACAATAGAAAAAAGATTGACATTTCAAGAATAAAGCTTTCCTAAATAAAACACCTTTCTTTTTGAAGGAAAATTCGAAAATTCAATTTTAACTTTTTTTTTTAACAAATCAGTAGTATAAATAATTAAGTTAATGTAAAGTTGAAAAATATGAACTGGGATAAAATGAATTTATCATTTCATTAAATTATAACTGATACATTTCACATTTCTTTATGACATCCAGGTTCATTATCAGGACATACACATGTACGTGATCTACCACCGTCATTTGGTAAACATATATAACGACATCGTCCATTAGAATAAGTGCATGGATTAGTTGAAGCTAAATAGGTAATTAATATCGATAAAAATATTATAATTAATTGTTTTGATTAGTTTAAATGGTTGGGAGGTATGTAAATAAAAACATCGTCATCATAGTGATGATGAATGAATCCATCAATCAAAATAATGAATAATTATAAATAAGACAAGTTTGTACATACTATGCATGTTATTAAACACATATTCCCTTGGTTACGTATACATTCACTTTGAAAATATCTGGTCAATTGTTGTACAACTAGAACCATAATCATTGACTACACTAATATTAGTTCCATTCATTAGTCGAACTGATAAAATGCAACAACATTATAATGGAAAATATATTATATATTCGTTTATTAAAAATTCTACTTACTTTCGGAGAAAATATTTTATAGAAAAATGACTACAGCTGTTGATCAGAAGATTCTGTGGCAGTTTGCTCTTGAATGACTTACCAAATGAGTAAATAAACCCTCTGAAGGCTCTCTAATTAGGGACTATTGGTTGAGTCAGAACGTATGAGGAACAGTCAGCGAAATTGTTAACCTCAATTGTCATTAATCGGAGCTGCTCATTTTTATTCAATTTTATCATCAATATCCTTTTGGAAATAAAAATTTTTTTCGACCAACTTCTCAGGGGTCAACCCCCTACATGGAAGTTCGCCTGTCGATTTAGAATAATTAGATTACATATTGTTACTGAGTGAAAACAATGACAAACTGCAGAATCCCTTAATCGTTCTCAGCAAAAATGTTAGTATGTTTCGTGCGCGAAGTGCTGCTTCAGGACTGGTTTGCATTAACGCCTGAACTGATGATATGGAGTGAAATAGTTTTATTCTTTAGACCACTTTATTTATCTTGGAAGCCTCATCAGCCCTGGTGGTTTGGTGTCTGACGAAACCTCGGTTGGCTCTTGACAACGTGGGTCTCTTGTGGCTTGGACGAAATGTTCGTCTGCCAACCAAGGGACGTGTATATTCCACAGCAATCCGTTTTGTACTATTTTATATCCGTGAACCATAGTCTATCAAAGTAGAAGATATTCGTGGGCTAAAGGTTTTGATCATATTTGTCTTCGAAGCATTGCTCGCGTTTTGTGAAATAACCGAGTGAGCAGTTGTGAGCTTAGACATAAGGTAATTGGTAGGAGTAACAAGTCGGTTAATGAGATAATAAAATTTTCACAGACTAAGGTGGTTTTGCAATGTGTTATGTATCATCAACCATAGCCGATTTAAGTGAGTGAAGCTTGCAAGTGCAGAGGTAGGTTGGAAAAAGTTAGGAGCGTTCAAAACAAAAGGCGATTAATGGTGTTAGGAATTGTTAGATGTTAACTATCCGGTTAAGGTCCGCTTGATAACCACTATCAATGGTTGCATACGTTAGGTAACATGCTTCAGAATCAATCACAGCCGCGTAGATCTATCTACTCATTATCTTCACCCGGATTGAAGTTCTGATACTTTCCCGTTTTATCATGCTCTCAAGATCATTAGGCATGAAACTGCATAGTAATTTGATTTTTGATGGATATTCGCAATAGTAAAAGGTCGTTTATGAAAAATTTGACCTCAGTTAATTCTAGTTGTGAATAAAAAAGCAAACTTTTAAAATAATCATGCTATTTGGTATGTAAATTAGATCTGTGTAAAACATTTTAGAGGAGACTATGGATATTCTACAACGACAGTAGTAAACTACCACGTTATATTACGAAAAGGATGATGTAAGCTGAAATGAAATGTGATTTGTCAATAGAAAAACAAACCGTATGTCTCCAGGTAACTAATACATTGCTCTAAATATGAAACTATGAGATTCAGCTTCTGATAAGATTTCAAATTCAATTTATTCACCAAGTGTTGCGATTGACTGCTATGTGGATAAAAGGTATGTAGCTAACTTCCCTTTTCAGTCTAATTGTTCAAACAGGTTCTCTCATTCTATTCTAAATAAGGGTGAATTCGATTAGGATGATCATATTTCTGTAACCTATTGCTCACAAAAAAAGCTGTCAATAGATGAGTCCTAACATAATCAGTTAACAATAATCTGGGTGCAGAAAACTGCTTCTTGTTCATTTTATTAAAATTACATGTATTACGCAGAATGCAAAATCAATTATCAATGGCATGGTCAAAATTGTTTTAAAACAATGATCTTAATAAATGTTTATTTATTAGGAATTTACTAGTGAATTATGTAGAATAAATTCAAAAGATCTGAAATTACCTTGTGGACAATCACCTAATACTGATAATGCTTGGAAACGATTAGAACAACAGACATAACGGACACGTATTCGGCGATCAGGATTGATAGAGTAATAGACTGTCCTAAATTTAAGGAGAAATGTAAATATTTAGAATAATTTTAGTAATATATCAAATAGTTTATTGTAGGTTAATACATTAACTGTGAATATTTTGATCGTAAGCTTCTTTTTTAAATGAAATCGATCAGACGTTTATAACGTTAGAATCATTGAAACAAGGATCAAAAACAATACGTGTAGAAATGTCAGTCTATAAATAAACCGTTTCTTTTTCATTATTTTAATATCAGTTTGAAGGATATTGATCAAAGAAGATAAGGGGACCAATTACTTAGCTAAAAGACCCAACATCACAGTTAGCTATTTTTTGTACTTATTCTATATTTTCTCTTGTGTATCAAAATTCTCTGGTTTCATACATTTTGGTAAAATAAGGCAAAACTATTCGTTACATAAATGAAGTGGTAATATTGTACATATGGAGGAGGAAGAGCCTTGCAATCTAGAAACAAATAGAAATGGCGGTATTGAATTAGGGCTTTATTTTACCTCAAAATATAACCTAGAATAGTTTCCAAAACGTCAAGGAATTGAATAGAAATTTTTCAAAAAACACCACAGAAAAATCCAACAGGATAACGTATAGTTTCTATTCTGAACCAGATACGATAAAGTTTAAAGCCACTTAGTTTCATGGTCTCTATGACCCCAGCCGGAGAATGGTTATGCACTAAGAAATCTTACTCCTTCATGTCACATGAGGCGAAATTAAATGGCACACGTAGCTTCAGAAAATTTACATCAGACTTCATGTTTGGCGGCAACTTGTGAAAAACTAACCATTTACGAACTGAGGACTATTGGACAATATATAACTATCAAACTCCCATAGATGAACTCCTTGCATCCATCAGCTCAGTTTAGGATTCGATCGTCCACTTTTCAACCTTTCAGAATAGTAAAAGCACCTTCGCCACATGATAGGAGTGAGTAGGACTTACCCGACAGAGACTATAAACCTGTATCCGTATGATAGGACTTTCTAACAGAGCATACTTTCGATTTTCATATATTTCAGGGAGATTACAAGATCTTTAAATTTATTACTTGTTCCGACAGAATGTTGTAAGTAACGTTGCAATAAAATAGTTAGGCTACCGTTTGGATGAGAACCATACTTAGTGACCAAAAACAGCCAGAAATCTACCGGAGTAAATTTTAGAGTTATTATCGGAGTGTGATTTTTATCTGCATATTCATTTCAATAGCGAAAAGAAAAAAAATTGTGATGAAACAGTATTTCTTTAGAAATTTGGAATTCTGAACACATTATGATGTGAATCAATAAGGAAATTAGGATTACTCGGGATATAAACTTGAAATTAACAGCTTTTGAAGTCCGAAAATGAATTTAGGAAAAGCAATTACCAGTGGAGAATTCTAGCTTTGATTGATTAATAGATATTAAGAGTCAATCAAAAGATTGTCTATAAAGACACATTTTAAAATATGTTCTTTATTCTGACTCAGAAGGATGTAAACGGAGAGGTTGATATATGAACTGAATTGTAGTACATTTGGAATGCAGTAAATTTATGAGTTGAGGAAAATTATATAGTCATTAATAACAAGCTAATTCTTTCTTCCTGTACTATATCCGTATACACAATCTTTCTTTAACACATTACTAACATTGAAGTGACTACTTCTATGAATTCGGTGTCCGCTTTGTTGTGCTAATGAGGTGTGGCAACTTGGACCGAAGCATATATATGCCTAAGCTTACGTTGTAGCTGACTGACAGACATACTGATGATAAAATTAAACAATCCCTAAAACATAATTCAAAAACAATCCATTTAACTGCCGTTTGGTCCTATTTTGGGACCCCTCAGCAGTGTGCATCCACAATCCCACTCCGCGGGATTCGAACCCAGGACGTATCAGTCTCACGCGCGAGCGTTTAACCATTACCGGCATCCGAGGGCATTAATGTCTATAGAAAAAGTCTATTACTTGTACTAGCCCTTTTTAAAATTTTATTTAACTAGCATTAGAAAGAAGTTATTTCATGATGGATCAGTTAGATTGAACTAATTCTGTCATCTATTTCAAAATGATTATTTATTTGTTAATTGTTCATTTCTTATTGCATATTAGAGTGAACTTATAAGAACCTAAAAACTGAAACGTTCAGTGTTAAAAAAGTTAACGATATTAGAATGAAATAGTCTTATTAAAACAATAGCCTTTATGGAAATTTGTAGATAATGCTGTAACTAATTAAATTTAGCCTATGGAATGAAATTTTGTGAAATTCCTTAATTGATAAATAGTATTCTTAAAAGAAATTTACTTCACTTCACTTATTATAAAAGCTTATTTCAAAATTGATTACTTTGAAGCATCTGTCCACAATAATGTTCCTTTATATTGTGTCATACCAAAAGATGGTTCTTCAGAAGGACTGAATTCTCTAATCTTTTCATTGGTTAATATCTCTCTACCTGTTTGACCTAATCGTGCACAATGTAGTTCAGTGACTAATCCAAACATTCCTTTAGAAGATCTTTGCATCCAGCATAATTTTCCAGCGGAATTACCATTAACTGGCGTTGCTGGTGATATACTAATTGCCAATGGTTCACCAGTTAGTTGTAATAATTGCTCCTCATTTTCACCAGACATTGAAGCCACTTGAATTGTACCATTCGGTCTCCAACCGTCTGTGTATATTGCCCAGTACATTAGACTGATTATAGCAGTAAAATAAATAAGCAAGTAAATACATGTATATCTCAAAAAGACGAATAATTTGGAAATTCAGTGTCTAAATGGTTTCGAAATTTAAACATATGAGGAATGTTTCCTTATTTTACTTAACTGTAGCATTCTTAAGTAAGCGCAATGTAAAGCAGTGAGTATAATCCCTACCAACAGTAGTATAGGGAGGTAGAATTATAATCTATCACACAATTAATATGTGTAATCGTGTATTTGGACAGTAAGGTAGATTTGATTTTAAATAAGTGTATGCTAATACTAGAGTAATTTTATAATAATGATAATATTTTTACGTTCAAGACTAGTGTTTGAAATCATAATCATTTCGTTTGGAAATTTGGTAACTTGAAGCTAGTTACAGTAAACTTGAAGATAACATAACAAGTAATGGAATGCATTGAGCGTTGAATAAAACCAATCATATTTACAGCCATTAATAGAAACTCTAGACACTAGAAAATTAAAGGTTTATAATTAAAACGTTCCGAAAAGAAAGTACATACACCAGCTACCAACTTATCTAATCTTTTAGAAAACGGAACGTATGTAAATATGTATAATACTTAAAGATCTAACAATATTACTATGTATTCACCTGTCGATATTCTATTTACTCACCCTAATGTGGAGTGCAAAGCTAGCCCAGCGAAATTCTGTTGTTCAGATGAAGTTAGGCTATGTAAACTTTCAAGTGTATAATGAATATTTGGTTTATTTGGATTGAATACCATGATTTTTCCAAAGGCCTCTTCCCAGGCAAACACATTTCCAGACAATGAATCTACCGCCAAATTGCGAAATCGGTTAAATTGTGAAGTGTATATTTCTTTTGTCACCAATTTATTTTGTCCAGAGTTTGAATTGCCCCATCGGATAGTATGACCATAATCAGATGTATATATAATTCGTTGACTATTACAATCACCAACCATGGAGACACGTCCATATTTGTTATTTTCAGCTAGATAGGGCAATAGAAACAGAAGTTACGGGTTACAGTTAAGATAAAATTTAACTTGAAGGATAGTCTCCTGAAAAGTATATACATATGGATAAAGTAATTCAAACTGAAAATGATGCATCCAGAGGCCCTTATGATGATAAATTATGACGTTGGTAATTTTTTTATGATAAATTACATGTTATGGAACTAACGTTTAAACACTCTAGTTTTAAAATATTTGATAAATTAGATTTAAACTACTTATTACTAACTCTCTTTTGCATCACCTGATTAATGTCGGAAACTGAGATCAGAGCTTTGTGGAAAGGGATCAATTTGAACTTAGTTTTTACCACAGATTAACATAAAACGGTTAATCATTTAAAACCAAGGATTGGTACCTGACGATTTTTACACCTTAATTTTGAATTGTATAGCATTACATATGCGTAATCAAATCTGGTACCTTCAGTTATCTAGTTAAGGACAATACATATAAATTTTTAGTTCGGATTCCAGTAGTCTACTCCCAAACTTCGGTTGAACTCCATATTGTGTGACAATATTTCAATGCTGTCGGTAACGTAGTCAAAGTGCAACGATCACCGTTTAATACTAGAACTTCAGGAATCCAATACGAATTCAGTCGCTATACAGTACATGATTATTTTTAAGTTTATTTAAATTGAAGTTTTTTGAGAAACCTTATATTAGAATAAAGCAACTCTCCAACAAACCAAGATTTTGAAAGGTTCTTCAACAGATGTCAGACTGTAATAAAATTAATTTAGAAAATTAGTTAATGTACTTCTGAAACATTGTAGAATGAGTAGGACTATGAAGTGTAACATCTACTAAAATCATATTAAAGACTATTTCATCAGTTGAATAGTCAAAAATCATATAAGTATTTTAATGTCTAACTTCGTCCAACCTCATTTTCAAATATTATAATATTTAGTAGTCTCAAACGTCTTTATCTCTCTTCTATATCTGCCAATTCATTTTTATAGAATATTTTGTTCCTTTTCTGATAAGAACGAAATATCTGGAGTAGTTTGATAATTCTCAGTCATAGAATTATGCTAAATTTAGTAAGGGAGTTCTTTTTTAGTAAGATCGCTTAAATATTAAATCCGGTTGATTAAAATTGTTTTTCAGATATTGTGACTAGATTTTCAGTTTCATTACAGTTCGACAATTATCAAAGGTTATATGGAAGGGTTTGGATAAACTGCATGACAGATTCTAAAGTTTCATTCTATATTAGACAAATGATTAGAATCAGTTGCACATCTTGAGATGGAACAAGTTTTTTTTCTCTATAGAACTAAACCAGTAAATATTCAGAAATGGTTCAGAAACTTTGGAATGACATTTATTTGTCAGGTTAATGTAGTACGTAACTGTAACCGTAAAGCTTCAGAAAATATTTTGCTATATTAGAAAAAATCATTATGCAACTGGAGTTTAATCAGAAATAAAACTAAAGTCTTATCAATTTTCTAAGATAAGAGTGGCCGTAAATTAGAAGCCCAGCCTTATAAGCAAGTTGATTCATCATTGTGCAGCAGCTGCGTTCTATTAATTAAGTGCAATTCTATAGAACTTACTCGAGATAGAATGTCGTAACTTAGACTGATGTGGATATTGCAAATGATAGTTATGATTCCATCAAAACTATTGTCTAGATAAACGCTAGATTAGTTGTTGTGTGTGCTAATTATTTCTGTTGACATAGTAGTACGTATATCAATAGGAAGTGGAAAACCTGTCAGCAGAAGGCTAGGTAGATTGAGTTGAGGAGAATAGAAGGGAAAACAGAGAGGAATTATGAACTGGAAGAATCATACAGAAAGTGAAAGACAAATGATGGAAATTCGCAAAAGAAGTATTCATGTGTATAATTCGTATATTTTACCAAGAGATTCTTTAATTATGTATTCCAATAGAATCGGTTATCACTCCTTGTATTCCCGTTCACAACATTACCTATTATCCATTGACTAGTTGCAACTCGAATATTTCACTTACAATATCTCTGACTGCTATACTATATAAGGAGGATCAAATCCAACAAGAAACATCAACTCCCTCAAGAATGGGGATCACACGTTTGATTACAAATGCCCACTGCCATAAAAATAGGTTCAGTACTTTTTGTTATCTGCTTTCAACCACCTAATATCCGATTTTTTTAGGGCAAAATTTAAAATCTTATTGTTGCCATAGAATAAGTAAATAAAATTCCATGTATATGGCAATGAAGATGTGCAATGTTACATCTTCACAATTAATTGATCACTGGATGGTGATCAATGTCATGTGTGTCAAGTCCTTATTTAGTGCAGATCAAATGCTATCGACCATGTTGCAATGTGGTCGCGGCCCGGATAGCTCAGTGGCAACGTCTCTGGCCGTGAAGCTGGGTGACACGGGATCGAATCCGCCAGGGAGCACTAGTTCCCTCAAGATTACAGATACACTTTGCTGACGAGTGCCAAGTAGCACGAAACCCGGGTCCAGGATTTCCTGTCGACTACTCCAACCATCATTTAATGTTACATCTTAAATCAAGAAAATCATTACAAAGCTCCCAAACTATTAGTTACATATACTGTGGTGTGTGCTACTTATGTTGACATAAGTAGTAGATGGTGTTAGTCGTGAACATAAGGTCTGGTAGCAGAGACAAGAGGACCGAACAGTAAAGAATGAAAACAGGAATGCCATTTGTATGAAAATTCAAGAACAACGAAGTCTGAGTCATTTTGAGACAATTAGTGGCATTTCGGAAATTACGTATTTACTATTTGATTGTTAGATTTTATTAACAAGTCCTGTAATTTTGTGTTAAATACATTCGATTGTTCCCATCCGTGTTCTTGTTCACTACAATACCCCAAGACGAATATCATATTGGTCAGATCAACTACTACTTTAGAACGATCAAATATACAGATGAGTATATCACATAAACTATACCATATCATATAGATAAAATAAAACAATAATATAGCATGATTCTCAATGTATCACTTACCAATATTCCATAGAGTAGCTTTGGTTACATTTGAGTCGGTAGATTGTGTCGTTAAAATCCCATCATCACTTGTAAGTAGAACAGTGAATGGAACTTAAAAATCAAATTGATCAAAAGTTTTAGGATTATATTTTTCTTCGGCATAACAGTTCGAAAGATTGTTAAAGGACTAAAGATGGATTACTACTTAAGAAAATTTTTAGTGTTAATACTTACCATTTCTATCACTTATTTGTTTTATAATCGTCAACAGACTTCAGTGGAATATTCTATTATTTCGGAATTATTTAGATCTGCTAGCCAATCTTAACCATGGTTCTGTTCATTTGAGTGATCATGTTTTGATGAAATGAAACGACTAGTAGTCATGACTTAAATAAGATTATTTGATGTGATGAATGAATGAATGTGATGAATTTTTCATCGTAAAACTGGTATCTTAATAAAGACAATTCATTTCAGAAAGATAGCAGTGACTTAAAGTAAGAAAACTTATGATGGAATGAAATCCCAGATCCTATAAATTCGATTATATAAGCCTATATCTTTCCTGTTACAAAACACAATATAAAAAATTTATAAAAACTTTCGTACAGATTTAATCGAAAAGTTTCATAGAAGTTGGGCCGCGTCATCGGTGAGGAAAATTATATTCTTAAAAATCATAGCCATACATTTGATTTCAATAGTACAAGAATCCTTCAAATGGTTTTATTTCATACAAAGTGAGATTAACATCTGAAGCTTTACACATATGGGCAAATCCAAATAATAATAACGGGAGAGATGGAATACTATTAACTGTGACATGGCAACTAATGATTGATAAGTAACAATGATCTCCATTTTACTGTTTACTAACTTAAATCCTATTTTCATTATGTGGTTAACAATGATTACATTTACTTGTTCCAATCAGTGCGTTTATCTGAACTAGCAGCTTGGTCAACATGCTTGTTTATCTATCCTCATTTTATGCGTGCTGTGACACATTTGATTCATATCATTTAGTCAATTGTTTATTTTCATCAAATGGATTTTTCGCACATTTGATCTGCATGAATATACATAAAATTATTATCATAACACGATTTTCTAAACCTCCCACACCAAATGTCTCATACGTTGTTACCATAGTTGGACGATGTGTTTAGCATACAGCTAACCTTTGAACAAAATACTTAAGTTTGATTATATTTCCTTGAAAAAGCTTGGATCAAATTACTTAAACTCTTCCCAGTATTTTAAAAAACTGAATTCATTTAATCATAAGTACAAAATTAGTTCAAAGTTAAATTTACAAACATACTTGCTGATTCTTCCACATTTACATCTATGAAAGCAGCAACATTCCCTGCACGGCACTCATACCTTCCACTATCAGTTATTGTAGGTTGATTTATACGCAGGGAAATTTCATAGCCATCTTGTTGTCTAGTTTTAGTCACTATTGGTTCTTGAGCGGAATGTGGTTGAATCCACTGGCCGGAATATGATTGATCGCTTCCAGTTACGAAACATCTTAATTCAAGCGGATGAGATATATCTGTAATATTCATTACTTCTCCTTCTCCCATTATTCGAACTTTTATAGAATCTGGAAGAAATATATATTGGTTTATCATATTTAATAACAACGTCATTTTTTCATGATGACTGTACCAATGATTTCATACAAAAAATAGTAGGTAATAAAATGCAAATTTTGATGTACATTGGGTAGCATATGTAAATGGATCCGAAGTCGGACAGCTTTCTAATAAAAGGTCACCTACGCTAGGTGCATCTAGGTCTCTTCACAAAGCTATCATTTATGAATAAAGGGGTCAAGGAAGATATTTCTTGAAAAACCAATACATTGATGATCGAACTTACCTTGCCTAACTGGAATTTGTTCACAAAATGTTTGTCCATCTCCACGATAACCAGATGGACAAATGCATCTTTCGTTTTCACGATCACAAATAGCACTCGGATGACACAGCTTACAATTCCAGTAGCAACCCTCTCTCTCCATCTCCATCATAACCTGATCGACATTTACATGTTCCAGTATATCGATCACATTCCGCATTTCGTATCCTACAGCCTCCACCGCACGTAGGATCAAAGGCGTGTGATGATGTGGTATCTTCTCTACCTACACTTTCAGGCTTGCAAACAGATACTCCATCTCCAGTAAAACCAGCTTTACAATGACATGAATAGGCGCCATTAAACCTGTCATCCGGTCGACAGACGGCATCCTGATGACAATTGTCTTGCACACATTCCATACAGACACCTGCCTGAACTTCAATAAATCCACGAGCACAAACACATCGCCCACCAACACACTGAGCTATTTCTTTGAAAGGTATACCATTGCAATTACCACAATCTGCTGAAGTTGCTGTATTTAAATAGAGATATAAAGAAACACAATATAATCATATATGTACATCTTCGTACATATGATAGATAATTCATTGCTGACAGCAAAGCTGACAAACAACCCATTGTAAACTATCGAAAAATCTCCTCGAAATTGCGGCCTACTTAGTTAAGGAAGATCACTTGAATTTAGGTGTCACAGTGTTTAGGAATTTTAATGTTTTCAAAGGGTTATGAAGTACAACTAACTTCTAAGGTCTATCATCTAACTTAGTGGAGGAATCTTATCAAGTTCTATAAGTAGAATATATCATAGTCATCCATCAGATGCTTGCATATGAACCACGCTTTAAGTGTGAGGGCTAATGATACTACCAAACTGAAGTAGGTGAGGAGGAGTCTGAACCTGGTACTGAATAGAGGAAGTTCGAGCTTCCTAGCCGCTAAGATACCGCTCCCTATATAAATTAAGTTAATAATGATAAATTCCCTCGAAAAACGAAACAACTGTTATTAAAACTACTTTCGTTGTTGAACTCGTACATCAATCCCTTAATTTGTACGTCATGAGTATAAATGTTTGTTTTTCGTTACTCCCTAAGTTAAACAGTAATGATCTTACCTTATTACTTCTTTCATCTGAGTAGGTTTGCAAGCTATATCCGTTCAAGAAGGCTTAAATTATTTTTTATTGCACAAGCATTCACAGTTACGTTTTTATTTGGCAAGATGAGATAACGTATATCTCACAAGTCTCAGTCCTAGTTGTTTTTACACTTTCAAACTAACCAAAAGTATTTATAATTAAAGCGAAACTGTTGACGGCTTTCTGAAGTTCAACTCAAACTTGCACCTCAAAAATGTTTTCGTTAACTATTGTTAATAAAATGTTATCAATCATAATATTTAGATCATGCTTGTCTAAGCAGTGCAATTAGGCGCTAATGTTAAGTGGATTAAAACTGACAATCATCCGATCATTTATCTGTAGGTGGAGAACTATTCCAACTTTCAAGAGTTTCACATCCTAAAATACTAACTCTAGGAGATATTTTTGATATGGTATTGGATCTAACGTGGTTGAATAGGTTAACCGCTAAAAAACTTCATTCCACAGAAGAGAGTTTGTAAGGGACTTCATAGTTTTCGAGAAAAGGTAACCAAATGAATACAAACAGAGAATATTTATAATTTTACATAATCAGCAAAAATCTATATCAGCTGGGCAGCATAATAATATTGAGGTACGAAAGGTTCCAGCAATTAATTATTTCTGTAACAGTCTTAATAAGTTGTAATATTGGTTTAGATCAGTTACAGCAATCTCGACTTCAACTGTTTTTGTACCTTTATTTGAAACATCATGATGGATTATCTTTTTTCAAATAAGCAAACATTTATAACTTGTTAGTGTGCCATTACGAGTGATTTGACAAATAAATATACAAGATTATATTTACCTCCAGGTATTATATTACACATCTGATAGCCATCTCCTTCGTATCCATCCAAACAGCGGCACTGACCTTCAACACATCTAGCGAACTGATGGCATTGTTCTGCCCGACATAGATCTGAAGTTAATATTTTACAAAAGCAATTATACTGAGTATAGATGGGGATATATTTGACCTCATCTAGGGGTAAGCATATCATGCTATTTTTCAAAAAGTTCAGAGCATAAAACGTAGAAATGCTTTGGAGAGTATATGAAAAACATTTTATTATGCAAGGTAGTTGATTTCTCATACGAATATAAAATGGTTTCAAATTAAAGTTTTATATTTTATTAGTAACTCATTCCAAAAATGTGTTTGACTATGTTCTGTATGTTATATCTGTTTGTTTTAATGATGTTATGATGCGTGTGATAATGCCAATAAAGGTTTAAAAATAACTATCTAAATAAAAATAAACATGCTTTAATTCAAGTATTTGAAGTTTTTCGGTCTTATTGGGATAGGAACAGAGCTTACCACTTTGTATAGGTTGACAACTCCAATAGCCATCACCTTTATAACCATTTTTACAGCGGCAAAACCCATACTCACACTGAGCTTGGGGATGACAGCGAATACGTGCACATGGATCTCTATCTACATTAGGGTTTTATAGAATTGACTGATATAAAACATGATTATGCAAAAAACGCTTTTAGAAACGCTTCATATACGTATATATGAATGTCCAGTTCAGTACGTACAACCCGATTACTCGATGCTCGAAATTCAGTTACAAATTTTTTAGAGGGATATCTATCACAGTATTTCACATACACTCTTGACGAGAAATAATAAAAGATAAGTTATATTAAGATTTTTGGACATTCTACAAAATATACTATGTAGTATATGTACTTATTTGATGGCGTCTGTAGCATTTCGTCAAATGATAAAAATCTCATTAGCCTGAAATGCTATTGCCACGTTAGTTTGTGGATCCAAGTGACAGGCTACAGTTTTAGCCTCATAACTTACTTTAACACTTACAACATAGTGGTATTTATCATCACATCTGATTGCAACTGTACTTTTGCACCTAAAAACAAGCTATTGTAACACGATTTAGTTCTTTTATTAACGACTTGTACGATTATTTGGCCGATAATATGTAATGTTAGAACAAAGATAAGAACTCGAATGATACAATGACACAAAGTTTATCAGAACTATTTTATATATTGTCTCAAAACAATTTAAAAAATCTGGGCAGACCTTAACTTGTTGGGATATTTATATGTTAGAAGTAAGGGTCAATTTAGAAAGATTTGAAGGTAAGAAAAATAAAATAAGGAAATACATAATAAATTATATCATTATGGATATTAGATCAATATTACCAGGGTAGGTTCAATGTAAGTACTAATATAAGGGACCTAAACTTTCAAACGGCCAAAGCCTCATTGAATCGACATATATTCTGTAGATAAGTGTTATATAAGTGCATAAATTCTGGGTTAAGATCAACCGTACGACTTGTTTTTGAACTGTATATTTGGCGAAGGGATGAGAGTGGTGTTTGTCATCTGCTTTTATTAGGGTATCAAGCTTTATTTGTTTTTAGGGTAATTTTGGTACCTCTTCAGCCATTCTGAGATGGAAATCATCATTACTCTTCCATATACATATATTGAAATATGACACAATCGTTTATATACTGTTTTGGGTTTTGGTTAGGTATGAACATTTCTTTGTTTACTTATAATGATGTTTGACGCACAGTGCCCTCTACTGATAACCACTTCAAGCCTTCGTTATGGCGCGGGGCTATTTAACGCACCTCTGAGCGATAAGATGAAATAGACTTATTTTAGGTTCCAAAAGTATAGTAGTTTTCAACATACTCATAGGTTCATGCTTTCTATTGGGTATCTGTTGTGTTTCACATCATTTAACAGCTTGACTGCGTCCTCGATAGTATAAATGTATAAAAATGGTCAATGCTATTGAATATGCCCTTCATTACGCCTCATTTTTATTGAACTGTGCAATAACTACTGACAAAATATCACAAAAGTCTGGTAAGCTTCTCCTTTTTCTTGCATTATTCAAACTTACCAAAAGGCCTAATTGTTTTGAATTTCAAACCTTTGTCCGGACGTTCTCTGGTTATTGGAAATTGGAATTCGAAACATTTAGATTATTAGTGCAGGGGATTTGCAGAGACTGTAGTATTTTCACCATAGAAATAGTGAATGGATCCAAGCTAGATCACTAGTGAGAGCCTGGAAGCACTGAACAGTCGTTTAGAGGTTAACAAATAAAAATCTTCTTCTAAAGAAATCCTCATCAGGTTCTTAAGTTAGTGGCAGTGAACGTTTTTTAACTTGACTAATTTCTAACAGAAGAACCTATTGAGAACTTATTGAAAACAAAATTCTCCACTTATAAGTGGCGAATATAAATTTCATCAAACGAAATTTCAGTAACTATGGTAAAACATTTGATGACTCCGCTAATGTTCTTGTCATGAATGGTTAGGTCCTCGTTACATTTGGCTTTTTGAGTAAATTTGATTAACGTACACACGGAGTTGCTGAAACGCTAGAAATTATTTATAGTCCAAGAAGATAGAAACTATATAGCATCCTCAAAGTTGTATTAATCAGTCATTGAAGTTCAATCATTCAACTGGATGACTTCATCGGCCCGTAGTTTGAGAAGAAAAAAAATTTGAAAATACACTACTTAATAACGAGGTAAATATTGATGGAGTCACCTGACCTGGTGGTTAAAAAGCCCATCGTCGAGTGTAAAAATGACAAAGAAAATTCATAGATTTAGTTAGATATTCCAATAACATTACGATTAATTAGCTAGTAACACATAAAATCATGGATAAAAGGGTGCTAAACATTTAACAAAAAGCATGTGCTGTAAGCACGTAGCACTTGTTAGTTAACAAAAGCATCTACACATTTACTTAAAGACAGGCGACACAGCGACTAATCAGAGCGAAAGAACATAAAGTAAAATACATTTCTGATAGTACATTTATTAAATATTGAGCACATCACGGACAAAATCCGTCTATTTAACTACTTCCAAAGAAAGCGTGCACACATAAACATACACTGACACAATCAATTCCTCATGCTAACTTGCTAATTACGTGAATGCCTTGCCACATTTACTCACCTTCACTTTTACGTCTACACTCACTGTAGCCATCACCCTCAAAACCTTCTTTGCAACGACAATACCCGTCGTCACATTTAGCATTTTCATGACACCGAACATTCGCACAGCGATCTGAAAATATTAACATTTCTCTCTTAAATAGTTTTAAAGTAGTACTGTATTGGTTGTTGCACAGTAGAGAAGCATACTACATATCATACACCGCATGCATATGGATGCATATTGAAAGAATTCAAAATAATTCCACCAATTAATTCATGTTGTATTTATGAATCTGGTCATAGCAGTTAATTAGAAATCCGTCACTGAATTACTTACTACTGAATCTATTTCGACGTTTCATTATGATTACTACCATTTTAAGCTTAATAGAACACCTTAGTTACTTTGAAAGCTTATACAGGAAGTGTTTTCTTCATTTTATATGAACTAGTACACTCAAACTATTTTTAAAGACGGAAGACATGAAGTATGATGGCTTTTATTTTCCAGAATTTTCTTCATGCATTATTTAATTTTATAAGCAGATGTGAATAATTTTATTTCAATATTTGCACATGCAAACATTCATATCAAAGAGTATAGTAAGTGTGTAGTTTAAAGAGATGATCTCATTGGATGTTTACAGAATTATAGAAAACATTATCTGGAAAACAGTAAAGATCACAAATGAAAATTGAAAGGAAAACGTTGCAGCAGGAAAAGCTTAGACTTCTGGTGAACTATTTATATATATTTCTTGGTTTATGGTTCAAGTTATAAGGTAAAATGAATAGATTTGCAAGGTATGCATCTAATAAGTAGAAAAATAATGAGTAAAAATTATAAATGAAATGAAAAATGATACTTAGATATTCAATAAAGTGATTGTATAGAATGAGATGAATATACGAGAAGTTCCTCAAAATCATGTCAACAATAACATTTTTTTTCTAAACATATAATAGCGGCTTAAAAACATGATCAACAATGCCTTTGTTGAACAGAAACCCCTTTCTTGTATTTATTTCGAGCAACCAAGTTAACATATTCACAGTGGTTTGAAAAAATGTTCCTAAAGGATTCAAGCACCTCAAAAATTCTTTAGTTATTTTCCTTTATTATCTATCTTCTCAACATTCTGCTGCCAGGCGTTCCACTTACATACTACTTATATCCGTCGACTTCAGTAGCACACACCACAATAGTATTTATATGAAGTTTTTAAATTAAGAATAATAAAGATGCAACGGAAGTGCTATAGTCAAGACAAACTTATATGGTAACTTCAAGACATGCATTATTCTACCTTGAGTAATTCGTTTACACTCATAATATCCGTCTCCTTCGAAACCAGTAGGACAGAAACAGTAACCATCAGTACACTGAGCATCTGGATGACAACTCACTCGTGAGCACTTATCTGCCAGTAATGATTTGAACAATTTGTAATTAAATATTAATTGTAATGATAAAAATGTTGATTTATTTTTAACATTGCAATGAACAGAATATCAAAGTTTAATCATTTCTCGACTTATGGTAGAACGCTTCATTAAAGAGTAAAAAAACTATTTCATGTTGATGCAAGTTAAAACAATAAAAGGAACTATTTACATTAAATATTGAGTGCATGCATGTAAATCTGATAAATAGAAATGACCAAGTAATTTGATTAGTAACTGTTTGTGACGTGACTTCGGACACGTTAAATAGAACTGTATGAATAGATTGTCTAAATGGTTGGATACTTAGTCCATTTTGGTTGGTAATATTAAGGATTCAGACATAACACGAACTGATTGAGTTACTTACCTTGTTTTATAGTTATCGAAAACATTTCGGATCATTTGAGCATGTTAAATATCATTAAAATGGTTACTCAATGTGGAATGTACTGCTAACGTATAGTTGATTTGTAGATTTTTAATATCAATAGGATTATTTAATTATTTAAAGTAACTTTATTATACTCTTTATTATACTTCACGAGAAGATTCTTTGAAAGAAAATGTAACGGCCTCCACATAGCCTAGTCTATAAATAATTCTGTATCGATGTAAATATATGTGTTTTTTATATCGAATCCCTAAGCTCCATGTTACTTTACAATTTTTTTGTAGTTTTTCTGTCGTAATTTGACAGTAGGGTAGGACAACTGACGATTTATGATTTTAATTTCGTTTTTCATTCATTAAGAAATCGCTGAATTTCAGTACTTTTTCATTTATCCTCTTAATAAGCGACATACATTAGTCTACAAAGAGTCAATAATTTAATTTCCTAGTCGGTGTTATAAATACATATTTACTTTTAATATTAAGAACTGTCTATCCAAACTTTAATGAGTCTGGAATTATTAAATCAACCCTAAGTAACTTTACTTACGAGATATTAAACAGTTTTTTAACTTATTAACTTTGAGTTGTTGTTGTTTACATGTATCTTCCTATTGTTATTTAGCAGTGCATTTGGCCAGTCTCTTGTTGGCATATGTGCATTCCGTAAGAACTGCCATGATATTACCTTAGGTCAAAAACTCTGTAAGCAAAGATGGATAGTGGTCAACAGTGGAATCCAAGAAGCGCGTTTCGTCCCATTTGGGACTCGTCAGCTGGATTTGCCTGTACCTCAGTTTTGATTTTCACTCTGGAACTCGGACCCAGTGTAGTGAACAAGAACACAGGTGGGAACAATCGAATGTATTTAACACAAAATTACAGGACTTGTTAATAAAATCTAACAATCAAATAGTAAATACGTAATTTCCGAAATGTCCACCAATTGTCTCAAAATGACTCAGACTTCGTTGTTCTTGAATTTTCATACAAATGGCATCCTGTTTTCATTCTTTACTGTTCGGTCCTCTTGTCTCTGCTACCAGACCTTATGTTCACGACTAACATCATCTACTACTTATGCCAATATAAGTAGCATACACCGCACCATGACCGTTCGCTTCAAACGCCATCGCGTTATCCACTCAGCTACTGAGTCCTAATAGCCAATTGCTTGTGCAATGGGGTGAATTTAAATTCACTTGGTACTGTTTTGCTTGTATTTCCCCATTGAGATTTAAGACTGCAATTGATCAGCCTGTTATTGGCATAAGTGCATACTGTGCGTATTGCGTCGATATATGTATATATGACATTTAACCATTACGTGAAAATCTTCATGGGAAGAACTACATAAATCGTAACTGTGTTGAACAATCGGATTACTGTGAACATCGACAATAATCTCCACACATCGGTTCATTGAAATTTAAGATATTGAATCATCAGAAAATTAAGTCATATAAATGAATCCAGTGAACACTAGTCTAAGTTAAACAGAAATACAACACTAACTTACATCTATCTATGATTGTGCTCGTCTCAAGAAAAACAAACAAATAATTCGGTAGACAACTATGAATGTATGTAGACTCACATTAAATAGAGGGGAAAGCTGAAATGAAACTATCTCATAGGAAATTCCAAAAAAACTCATATAAAAATATCTGCTTTTAAGTAATTTTTAGTACTAATGTTAACTAATCCAAGGTTCTGATGTAGTGAATTTCAAGCTGCTTATTCCTCAAATTATCTTTGAGATCAAATGACAGTCCAATTCACTTATTACTTACTGACAAAATGAAATACAGAGTAAAAAATTTTTGAAAAAAAGTAAAACTATGACTTAGTGATTTAAGTAATCAACCTTCAATTATCAGGTTACAAGTTCTGGGCTTAATAATCAATAGAAATTTTAGCTACTAAAGATATCCAAAGTATAATGTTAATGTGTCAATAACAATACACTGTCTTATACTTTTATTGTTTCTAACCTGAAAATAAAAGGAATAACATTACAATTTACTGGATAGAAAATAATTCAAAAAGTTTAAAATAATAACAAAATTATTTTTAGAGAAGAAAAATGAATCTTACCTTCTGTAACTGGTCGGCAATCTGAATAACCATCACCATCATAACCAGTAACACAACGACACTGTCCTCTATCACATGTAGCATATTGATGACATTGTACATTACCACACAATTTCACTATAAAACCAATAAAATTTCAAAACTTACAATAACTGAATTAAAAGTATAGATAATCATTTGACTCTCTGTAATCAACATAAATCATATTGAATTTAAATAGAAAATCTATTGAAATATAAATTGATTGTCAGTAATTCTTTTCAAAAGCTTTTTTTTCATTTTACTCATTACCTAGTTTAACCATTCAGACATCAGATATTCTTATTAACTCATGATCTCAACTATTGAAATTACTATAGTATTCACAAAAACCCCTTCTGATATTAAACAACATATGCTCACTAGTAAATGGCTTCAAGAAGTATTTCCTGGAGTTCTGGTGAGAAGCAGTAACCAGTGGACTTCAACCAAGTCTGTTGTCAGGTAGTAACTCACTGAACACAATAGTAGATGTATCTCTCAATTTCGTGATTAGTTGAAGTTATACATTAACACCGTTGGATGCCGGCCAGCTCAGTGGTCTAGTGGCTAGGCGCCCGTACGCGAGACTGATAGGTCTTGGGTTCAAATCCCGTAGGGGACGGGGTCATGGATGCGCACTTCTGAGGGATCCCACAATAGTATGAAACAGCCGTCCAATGCTTCCAGGTTTTGCATGATGGTCTAGCTTCAATTGACTCATGATCTCAACTATTGAAATTACTATAATATCTACAAAAACCCTTCCTGATATTCTTATATGTTTTAAAGAAAATTGCTGAAATGTCTCCTTTGAAGTAGTGTTTTTTTTCAAAAGAACAAAATGTAATTAATCGAAAAGCTTTTATGATTTTTTAAAAGCAATAGTTCATTAGTAATGAATAAACTACTCATTTTTTAAATACAAAATGTCTTAGCCTGTGCAATTATTTGTATTTATAAATTATTATGAATGATAGTCTTCTAATATACATGTGCACTAACATGAATAATAAATCAATATTATGATGTAATAGTGACTAGTAATTATGGTTTTCTTTCCTGACTGAAAGTTTAGAAATATAGGAACTTCAATAGTGTATCAAGTGTAGAAGAATATGTTATCAGAGATTAGGGATTTATTGTTGATGACCAATGAGGATGAAATAATGCGAAGTAAATATCAGTAAATGAAAATTATTAATAATAAAATAATGTGATTTTTTATGGCTGATATTATTTTAATTTGAAGCTTTAGATTAAAATCTCTCAAGCTGGAAAATGTATGATTTCCATCATTTTAGAAATGATCCATCATGACTGTTCATAAAACATAATAGATTTTAATTGATCACACACAAAAGCCATTTAGATTTGCTTAAAATGAAAACCAAAGTTTATCAAGTAGGCGAATTAATTGAATTTCCTTATAACCACGAAGTGAAGGAATGTATTACATGTAACTGGTTTTTTGTACCTGGTGTATAATTGCATTCAGTTATTACTGAGCATATCGTTGACATTTTCTAATCCTTCATAACTATCAGTAGAGAAGAGAACTCGATGTCAATTCGGTTTCTCGAAACAGTCGCAACTGAAAAACTGGTTCACATGTCCAAGAATAGACAACAATCAATTTGTTAATGCCTTAAAAATATTCATAGCTTTGATTAATTTCACGAGGAATTTTTTATATTTTTTAACGTTTTGTGATTTTATCAGTGTTTATTTTTATATTTTTTAAACTGATCGTTACTTCGGATATACCGAAACCATTCATTCATCCATCCATCCATCCATCCATCCATTTTTTCATTCACTCAATTCTTTAAACTTAGATAAACTCTTCAAATCTCGTATAACTATTATGTAATCACTCAATTTCAAATTCTAGACAATTATCATCTGATTGCTCTCAATCTTCTGTATCTATTTTCAAGCCATATGAAACTTATGAATACTCCTCGCAACTTCTATCATTATCATAGGATCCATTTTATCAGTTTATGGTCTTTAGTCAATCATTGCCTTTATGTCTTTAAATTTGATCTCCAGATGACCTCTTTCTGTCATCAATATCGATTACTTAGTATTGTATCATATCTCAATATTAAACTTGATTACATATATGATAATAAGCAACTGATGAGAAACCACAAAATATAAGGAATTCATATTATTCTGCATCAATTGTTGGTTGAATTGTGGAGTGTGCTACTTATATTGATGTAAGTAGTATATTATGCGAGTCAGGAACATAATGTCTGGCAGCAGAATATGAGGGGAAGATCAAGAAAAGAAAAGCGAGAACACAATGGAATTTGTTGGAAAACTCATGAGCAATTGAATGGGAGACAATGGATTGGTGCTTGCAACAGAAACAGTCCAGTTTGATATGATGCATTAATATTTTGCAAATTGACGATTTACTATATGGTATTCAGATTTTATCGAAATAATTATCTGTAATTTGCGGACTTAGTACATTCAATTGTCCGCACCCGCGTTCTTGTTCGCTATAAAATCACTCGAGAATAACTATGTTTTCTACATGAGTGTCTTCGCCAATATGTTCTATCAACAAGTGTAAGATATAGACCTCCGATCAACTGCCCATTGGGGTGGAAAATAGCTGAGCAAAGTGGAAGAAAAATGGTGCGCCTAGTGATAACGGATGCACACTACAGGATCCGCAAATACTAACACGTCATAGAGGACCAAAAGATGAGGCTACAAAGGACACTCACGTCAGAACATTTGGAAATCTGGACAACAGCCATCGAGACATCATGCAAACGACACAGCGAACAAAGAAGAAACACCTTAAAGGAAAAAACTAATCAAGATCTCAAAACCACCCATAGAAGAAAACACAAACAACTGCGTGATCAGTTTGTCAAACCAACCACTAACAAATACGAAAGAACACCTACTTCGAAAGGGATTAAGCTACAATACAAGCGACGCCTCAAAACTGGGATTCTTCGCAGCACTAGATATTGTAATTAACAATGAAATTTTCTATAAAGTTGTACATTTAACTGATTAGAATTTACTTACCACCCTCGGCTTCTCGACATTCATTGTAACCATCTCCTGTATAACCAGGATCACATACGCATCGACCATCTTGACAACGTCCATTAGCAGCACAACGAACGCCATCACATGGATCTAGAATACACATTTGAGAGATAGACGTATTGAGTTGCATGTAAATTTACTGGCGTATTCTAGTAAATACTTCATGAATATCATAAATATCATATTTATATGCAAGCAAAAATACTGTAATTGGAAATATTGATCAGATGAATGGCTGTAAAGGAACTGAGCAGTTGAGACTTCCTGGTCATTATACGATCTTAAATATCCTAATGTTTATATTACTTTCAATCAATAATAATAAGTAATTTAATTTACGAAAGCATATTCTTTCCCTTAAATATATATAGAGAGAAATATGTTAAACTAAATGACATCTTTACAGATATGAAGTCAACATCTTATTGATTCTTATAGCTACTAAACCTTTCAGCTTATTTTCAGAACTGATGAAAGCTTATATTTTAAAAAGAATTAAACATGAACTGATCACTTTCAAATGTGAGTATGCAAGAGATTTTCATAACTAGAGTAGTAGAAGTTGAAAGAAACTGAAGGCTCCAAACTAAGAGATAACTTGTTTTAGTGTTATTTATGTTAAAAACATGAATGTCGTCATTGGTAAAATCTGTTGTTTGATAATTACGTAACAGCAACCTAATTTTGTGCTATATAATGAATTCTTTAGTTCTGCTATTAACTTTGTACAATTGTAAACAGTAATCGATACTTGATAATTTAGTTATGAACATTTCAGATTTGTAGTTTTATGTTATTAAAATTTATTGATAACTTTAATGACAAGTTCAAGTACTGAAAAGATGCAATTAACGCTATGTCAATCTATTAAAAGATCAAAGTAGAAGTTTGTAAAATGAAAATCTGAATGATTAAATTTCTCGTGTAAAGTAGAAGAGAAGGTAAATAGAAATCCTGAATGTTTTCTGAGTTTTAATAATAACAAGAAGTGCAGCAAAGATCACTTTGAATACTAATAATAATTTTAGGTAAAGCATACAAATGAAATTTGTTATATCTAAAGCTTGGATTCTTAGTATATCACGTATGGCGCGAGCACTTGAACGCTGGAACCCTCCAAGTAGCAAATAAGAAAACACAAGAAGACTGGAGAAAGTGCTTGTTGGGCAAGAATCAAAATGTACAGAAAATCATGGGTATTTAAAGATATTAACGTCTGTTAAATCAACATCATAATTCCGTCAATCCGCAAAGAGGCATGCCATGCTACTGACCAATGGTAGCATGCAGAGTTGATATTCTAGAGAGCTTCATTGCGTTCTGGTTGGATGAAACTCTTCGGCCTTCTAGGGCCTCTGGAGGCTCCTTCGTAGTTCTTGGAAGCCGTCTCAACAGAATCAACCAAAATTAAAAACTTATTAGAGCTAACTAGCTTCATAAACATTTTTTAAATATATAAGGAAAGGCTTTAATGGTTTCTGATTATGCACCTCTTAAGTAGTTAATTTTGGTAATCAAATAAGCTTCCCTACAGTTGGGAAATTCGCTTGATAATAATAAGAATTGAATGGCTGACAGAATTGTTAAAACAACTACAACATTCGAGTTTATCCAAATTTTCGTTGATAATTAACTACGTTAAATGTTTTGTCTCACTGGTTGTTAGGATGGTGGAGAATCGTGGAATTGTGAATTGATTTTTTTGACGTTATTTATATACACTTGGTTTGTTTGTCTATTGATTGTGAATCCTGTTTTCTAACTTTCAATCTATTTTCATCTTATTAACTAATTCATTGTAACTTTGTGTTCAAGCGGAAATTGCACAGCTTAGTTTATACAAATCTGATTAAATCACTTTTTATCAGTCATATTAAAAAGGAGTGTCTTCCGATAATGATAATTCGGTTTGTTTTGGATGTCAAACAAATCCCTGTTCATCATTTTCATAATCTTGCTTGAATCAAACTGTTCACGATTTCTCGTTGAAGTTTCAACCTATTCTTCATTATCACATAAACATTTAGTCATAGTCATGAAACCCAAAATTTAAACAGTTCTACTTGCAGTATTTTGAGAATTTTCAGGTTGAAAGTACCAAATACATTTCATCATATAAGTTGCCAGCTTAAATTATATCAGGGTTAACTAAACTTGAGTTTATTTATAACTGATCTCTAAATACTATTCACCAATGTATCAAATTATTTCAAACGTACAAATATTCAATCATAAGAAGGTATATCAAATCAAATTAAAACCTACCGTTTGCACGTGCATCACAAAAGTTAACCCCATCCCCAACGTATCCATGACTGCAGTAGCATCGATTTTCATAACATTGACCAAAACGATGACATTGAACACCAGCGCATAACTCTGTAATATTTAAGATTGTCATTCAAAACAATTATTTATTCTGCTTAAAAATTCAATAAGTTTTTTTGGAATTATGACAAACGGTATGTTAGAGAAATTCTTAAGTAAAGATATAAGTAATGTGGTATAAATAACTAAGTGAATAGTGTGTTCTTCTTTGGAAGAACCAAACATAAAGATCTATATGAATTACATCGTCATTAATATGTTTCAATTAGTATGAAATAAATGTAGAAGTTAAAGTTGAAAGCATGGACGACGTTTATCATTTGTAAACAATTAAAGAAATCTACAATAAATCTAGAATAAATTAGAATCTACAAGAAAACTGTACATCATTTATGAATTCACTAATCTATAAATTAAAACCAATTACTATGAGAATTAAGCTTAAGGGATTTCTAATGTGTTAAACAGTATTTTTTTAACATTAGTAAGGAAGTTTAGTTAAAAGAGTATTTTTAATGATAAAATATCGGTCAAAAGTAATCGTTTTGTTTATCACTCAATCCATAATGTTACAAAATCAATTTTTAATAGAAATCAGGGCTTTTATTATGCAACAAACAATAAGTTCAATATTTATTATTTCATAATTTTAATAGTTGAGATCATGAGTCAATTGAAGCTAGGCCATCATACAAAACCTGAAAGCATTGAACAACTGTTTCGTCCTAGTACGATGCTCCTCAGCAGTGTGCATCTACGATCCCGCCCCGCGGGATCAGTCTCGTGCATGAACGCTTATCCGTTAGACCACTGAGCCAATCCATGAAATCGAGTCACTGTCCACCATTGTCTTCAATGAGTTATTATCTCACAACAGATGCGGTTGAACTCCACTGTTCACTGCTTCTCACTTGAACTCCAGGATATACCTCTTGAAGCCAGTCACTAGTGAGCATATGATGATTATTATCAGGAGGTCTAGAGGTCAAAGCGTTCGCATGCGAGACTGATTGGTCCTGGGTTCGGATTCTGTGGGTCGGGATCACTCCTGAGGAGTCCCATACTAGGATGAAACGGCCGTCCAGTGCTTTCAGGTTTTTCATGGTGATCTAGCTTCAATTGGCTCATGAGTTCAACTATTAAAATGACTAAAATCTCTAGAAAACTCCCCTTCCGATATTATTTAATAATTTGATTTTTACTTAAAATGAATCACTAATCGCTAAAAACATTCATAAAAACGAATACAAAAACGAAGGAGTTCAAGACAATTATTTCTTCCAAATTATCAAATTAATAGTAAACACTAATTAAATCGTTACTTCAGTAAGAAAAAAATTTCATGATAAAAGACAATATTTATTAAAATGACTGTCCTCTATAAAAGTATTACATTTCTTAGTAAAACAAAAATGATGTGTATTGTATTAAAGTCTTCACTATTAACCAACAATAAGTAATTATGAAACGTAAAGTGTAATTCATCTAGGAGAATATATTTTTTTTTTATGACACTGGAATTTAATAATTTCATTCCTTGTTCAACGTGTAAACCTATAAAATGTTGATAAATGAAATAAAGTTCAACAAATCAACATTAAAAGTATGAGAACAAACTGAATAATTTAATTCTGAAATAAAACATAGAGAAGATTTGTAGCTGGAGTTTTGTTCTCTGAGCTGGATGGTTTGATCATGGAGCTCAGAGAACAAAACTCCATCAAAATAAAACGTGTTTATCATGTTTTGAGTTAACAAAACTCAAGCTGAAAATATTTAAAATAGTAACAAGTTTTAAAATAGAAAATTAATGATAACTTTTGAAAAATTAATATTTGAACAAAGAATATTCTTATTGACTAATTCTCTTTAGGTTCTACAATGATATTTCCAAATAGATAATCCGAAAAATGGCCAAGTTAAGGGTAAATTGAATCATTTAAAGTTAAAGCATGTGAATTTAGGATTGTCAAACAAAATAGGATAAAATGGTTATTAATTGAGATCATAAACCGATTGATGTTAGACCAACATTGGAAACCTCAGCAGTACTCATCCATGATCCCGCTCGTAGGACTCGAACTCAGGGCCCAGTCTCGCGCGCGAACGCTTAATCTCTAGACTACCGAGCTAGCATCCAACGGTGTTAGTGTTTGAAGAGTCCCACAATAGGACGTTGCGGCCGTACAGTGCTTCCAGGTTTTCATGGTGGTCTAACATCAATCGGTTCATGATCTTAATCAAATACTTAATATTCTCCACAACCCTATACTGAAAATTGTTAATGTTCATATGACTCATTTAGAATGTTAACTTGAATCTTTTTTAAATTTTAAGTGACTATTGTACTTACGACCTTTCGTAATCAAATGTAATTATCTCTGTTATCTTTATTCACGAATCTTTGTACTATTACTATTATTACTATTGGTTAAACATGATTAATGATCTCCCAATACATGATTCATATCTCATTCATCCCACCTTATTATGTCTTAGTAATAATTTTTTACACAACATTGTCTTCCACTAAATATTTGATCAAATTGTAATTGCATTATTATTTCTCTCACCCTATCTGACCCATATTTATTCTAATCATGGATTTTAACATTTCACTTAACATACAAGCAGATTTAAGTTAACATTCTATATGTTATATCAACATTAACAATTTTATTCTATTTTATTTACTAATCCTAAATTCACATGCTTTAACTTTAAATGATTCATTTTACCCTTAACCTGGCCATTATTCGGATTATTAATTTGGATATATGTATTCTAGAATCTGAAGTGAATTTATCGTTCAAATATTCTTCGTTTAATATGATGGGGATCTTTAAACGATAACTTTGAATTCATTTTTATACAATTTTATCTCCAGTATTATTTTCTTTATACAAATTATTCATCGCATACAATAAACAAAAAATTATCTAGGTGAGTAAAACAATTTAAAAAATCGGAAGTGGTTTTGTGGAGATTCTTAGTCATTTCAGTGGTTGAAATCATAAGTCAATTGAAGCTAGAACACCATGCAAAACCTGGAAGCATTGGACAACTGTTTCGTCCTAGCACGAGGCTCCTCAGAAGTGCGCATCCACGATCCCACCCCGCGGGATTCGAACACAGGAACTATTAGCCTCGTGCGCGAACGCTTAACCACAAGACCACTGAGCTGGTTGGTATCCAATGGTGTTAATGTCTAACTTCAACTAACTCACGAAATTGTGCCACCGCACACCACTCTTCAGTGAGCTGATATCTGACAACAGACGTGGTAGAACTCCACTGGTCACGGCTTCTCACTAGAACTCCAGGAGTATCTCTTGAAGTCAGTCACTAGAGAGCAGATGATTATTATCAGAAAGGGTTTTGTGGAGATCTTTAGTAATTTCAACAGTCTCGTACAAGGATGAAATTGCTGTCCAGTGCTTCCAGGTTTTCCATGGTGGTCTAGATTCAATTGACTCATGATCTCAACTATTGAAATAAAAAAATGTTTTTTTTTCAAAAAATAGAGTAGATTAAGGATTTTGTTTTCTTGGAGTGTTACATGTGATATTGAATGATATAGATGATATGGTCTCTAGGGTATCGAAAGATGATTTACTTCTTCTGTTTTATTATTCTTTTCTGTCCATTTGTTTTTAAGCGATCTAGACCAATATAAAGTTAGTAGAACCACCTAGTTTACTTAGAAACGTTTTGAGATTTCGTGATTGTATAGATTTTGTCTCAAATATTGAGTAATACCAAAAAGATAATGGTTTGAATGAAATGTTTTGCTAAATGATAGTCTGTTATGTAAGAGATAAATTGTTCTATTTTAGTTAACTGTTCTATGCATATTTTCATTGTCTATTCTGGAACTTGAGAAATCTAAAATAAAGTGTATCAGATTGTAGCTTATTGTAATATATTCAAAAAAGTAGCAAAGAAATTAACTGACAACTAAACTTCAGCTTTATTACATCATTTCTTCGACATTACACAATTACAGTGTTCAAACAATTGTACTATAGTTTTCAAAAAACTCAGAATAAATCAAAACTAATACTTCCAAGTTATTAATAGAACGATTTGATGGAGTATTATCATTGTTAGACCAAACACTGTCTATTAAGTATTTTAATCGATGTGTTTCGGTATTTCAAAATAAAACAAAAAAATCCGGGACAGAATAAGCGGAACAAATGTAGCGACCATCGAAAATACGAGGCCTAGTTACGTACGTTTGCGAAGTAACGGTTTTTATCCCTTAATAATTAATGACAAGCTGCAAGCATAAATATACTCCTTATATGTCTTTTACATTGTGTGATGGTTACTTCTACAGTGATCTATAAAAAAATCTGCAGTAACATAAAAAAACATTCACATCGTCCGACCGTCATACTATTTTACCGAAAATACAATCTTAACAGAACGGGCAAAATCTGACAAGTATAAAGAGTAACCAAGATAAGATAAATGGACGAAACCATAAATAATCCGGTTTAATTATATCACAGATATATCTATTTATATAACACAGACTGCTTAGTTCAGGAAAATTAGTATCATGAGTAGGCGTACCATCGAATGAAAAAGTCGGTATAGAATTTAACGAAACAGAATCGGTTAGGAATAATGCGATACATTTTTCAGATTAATTTCCTCAGGTAATGGTATAAAATCGATAGGTTACAAAAGTAATCTCTTTATTCGTTAACGGCCTAAGAATTTAAAATTACATATACATTTAGTTAGTAATTTATGTTATATGGTTTTATGATATCAGTCATACATCAGTAAGGTGCATCTGTAACGTAAGGAAGCCGATGTTTTCTATGGGACACGAAGTTGTCACAACCTTACTGTTAGATATTTTGTCAATCAACTTTTCGGTTTCAGTTGATTATTCTCAATAGGCTATCTATCAATATCAAACAACCATAGAATAATGTATATAATAATCGGATGGTATCACACAATCCAAATAATTATATGTTAGATAAGTGATCATAGGAAAAGAATATAGAGGTTTAAAGTAGAATTTAGGAGTAAGAATAGATAGGAGTAATTAAATGTTATGAATTTTCAAATAAAATTGCTTATATATATAATATCAAAATATTCTAACATAATGGCTAGCCTTTAAAACTAAAGACAATAACCAGCATGATTGTGCTGATCAAACCGTAACTTATTGATCTGAGTCTGAGATATAAGATTATATAAAATTTACTTAAGTATGTAAATTTATATCACTTGGGAGTGACAAATTAAGCCACTAGCTTTGAAATAATTTGTGACAACCCCAGTACTCATCACTGACTACATTTCGTAGACTAGCGCTTAAACATGTGAGATTTTCTTCAATGATTATAATCAAATTAAAAATCAGAAGCAAATATTTCATTAAGTCTGTGTACATCGTGAACACTAATATGTATTCATTATACAAGATCATCTTCCCCGGTGACAGTCAAATGTTAACTCACCTTGTGAACTTTTCTGACATTCATAGTATCCATCTCCCGAATAACCATCAAGACACTGACATTTACCGTGTTCATTGCATTTTGCATTTTCATGACATCGAACATACTTGCAAAGGTCTTTAACAAGATAATTGGATGAGTATTTCAACTACTAAGTAATTCATTTGCATACCGAAGATTTATATATATATATATTATATGGAGATATGGTTCTATATATCAAACGACACACTCTTCGAAAATATATACATTATCATACACAAAATAAATTAAATGCTTTAATAGAAATCAGTATAGATTTGCCTCAAGACAAATATAACATTGAATTATATTAAAAATAGGTTCACATGAAATGAGAAAGCACAAAATACATGTGCGAGAATGAAGATTGGCAAACAAGCAAACGAAGAGATAAAACATGCCAAGGAACACACGAAACGAGAGTACATGAGAGAGCGATAAATTAACTCCTTTGAAATTCAAGAAAATTCAGAAAAAAAACAATCTATGCGTAGAAACAAACAGAAAAATTGAAAGGAAATATCCGATAGCTAACATGTGCATATAAATTTTCACACAATTGTAAAGTCTCTATCCATTCAAAATTAGGAATTTTTATTCAGTCAAGATACAGAAATTGAAGAGATAGGCATTTATAATGTCACTATTTCAACTAAAATTTGCTACAAACATCGGATAAACTTTGATTATAAACATTTCACTTATTCCTTAATAAATAAAAGTTATTCAAAAGTTATGCACAAATACTCATGCGAAAACATGATGCAGGGGTTTTAGTAATATTTTAAGCTCCTATTACAGTAAATTGTCTTTGTATCTTACCACTTTTTATGGATTTACATTCCCAGTAACCATCTCCTTCATAACCTGCATTACATTGACATCTACCATTTTGACAGTTTGCAAACTCATGACAACGAATATTTTGACACTGGTCTGTGTAAAATATAGTAGTTTTAAGAGGTGTTAGTTTGCATGTCAATATTCAATTGATAGATTTATCACCTACATGAATTTGTCGCATCTACGTTTTATATTTAAATAGTTCTAGGAGCATTTTAATGAACACAAACGTAAACAGATGACTGAGACTATATAAATAAACATGATCAACGAGAAAGCAAAGAGCGTATGTTTCAGGAAGGTTTGGGGCTGTTCCAATATTATGGACTCAAAACTGTACGTGAAGTTATAGCACGGAGCTGTAAGTTTTGTGGTTAGCATGATACTTACACATCACTGAATGTAAACACAAAAAGCCTAACTCTATTTGCATAAAACAAATCTCTACAAACTGCTTAATTAATAACAATCCTGTAGTTTTCAAAAATCACCTTATAGATGGATTTCCTGAAGTTTGGGTCAGTCATTTAGTCATCAGTGTCAGGAGTGATTAAGTTACCTACCACACGGAATTATACATAGAAATGGAAATAGCTTTTGATATACTGTCGAGATTTTCACACCCTTCGGATATTTCACTTCTCTATAAATGGCATTTTACATGTGGTGAAGTAATAATTAAAGGAAAACAGTTGTGTAAACAAAAGCTTTCTTCCTTTAATACATTCACTATAATACATATATTGGTGTGAGGATCCACTTTCCGTTAATAAAATGGATATCATGCACCACCAGTTGAGCTTCTCATAAGTAAGCAATGGTTTCCGATTTCGTAAAGCAAAATCATTTGAAGGTGAATGTCACTTGTTTGTTACGTACAAAAATGTGACATACATATTGAATGAAAGCTTATGGATTTGAAATACCAATTGTAATTAATATAAAGTAATCGGATTTGTCACGTATATGTACTTATTTTCATACATCCAGAGGTTAAGTGTTCGCGCGCGAGACCAATAGGTCGTGGGTTCGAATGCCGCGAAGCAGGATTGCGGATGCGCACAGCTGGGGAGTCCCACAGTAGCAAGAAAAGACCGTCCAATGCTTCCACATTTCCCACGGTGGTCTAGCTACAGTTCATTCATGATCTCAACTATCAAAAATCACTACATACTTATTAAAAAGCTTTATGTAAATTTATTCAACCTACATTACCACATTTACAACGATATTCAGTTGAGTATGAATCGGATTGGGAAATGATTCTAGGTGTTGGAAGAGCACTAAAGTGTTATTCTATATCTCATTTCATTAAAGCACAAAAGTATTCATCGTGGTAGTAAAAAGCTACTACCTGTACTTCAGTTGATCTATACATAACCATATTCACCGGTCAGGTATCCTGATAGAAATGATTTATTAGATTACAACTCAGTGCTCAACCCATCATCTGAGTGTTAGTGATTTATTCCCAGGTAGGTTATTGTGTGGTCACATGTGATATGTTCGATACCAGAACGAAATGCCTATTAAGCACTGTATACATGAAATATGCGTGCTAACACTCCGAAACACGTTAGATACGGGAAAATAATCACAGTCATTCGTCTATGATTTCAATGACTATGAGTCATAATAATGAAACATATTTTAGTAACGTTGAATAATTTGATAAAATTTCAGTTAAGGATGAAAATATATCAAGGTTTCCAAAAATATGTATTTAGATCCGTCAGTAAACATTTATAATCTAAAATTGAGTTGCACTAAAAGTGAGTAAAGGCATCCCGAATATGTAAGTGGATAATCATTAACATTGATCATTAACAGTGATTTAAAAAGATTATGCCTCTGGCTTGTATCTTAGTGATTGAAGTAACAGTGTGAGATTAGAAATTCGATTGTTTAGAAGTCAAAAGAAAGAACTGTGCTTTCAAAATAACTCGTTTTCATATCAGAACTATACTTAATTTCCTACCATTCAGCATGCAATAAAACGTGAGAATGAATTATTTGCATACTCCTACCCTGCTGAATAGGATCACAATAATGTTTTCCATCCCCCTGATACCCGTCCAAACATCGGCATTCACCATCAAAGCATTTAGCGTTTATATGACATCTCATACTAGAACACGGATCTACAATTAAATAATTATGATTCATTAGAATGTACACTCAATCTCAGAATCATTTATGTTAAGCACACTTTTCAAAATGGTCTTATCCACTTAGTGATATAATTGAGATTAGCGTCTCAGAATTTGAGCTTCTCAATAATGAACTTTAGTAAAATCTCTCTGCGTAGTACCATTAGGAAAAATTCAAAGGAAATATCCGATAGCTAACATGTGCATATAAATTTTCACACAATTGTAAAGTCTCTATCCATTCAAAATTAGGAATTTTTATTCAGTCAAGATACAGAAATTGAAGAGATAGGCATTTATAATGTCACTATTTCAACTAAAATTTGCTACAAACATCGGATAAACTTTGATTATAAACATTTCACTTATTCCTTAATAAATAAAAGTTATTCAAAAGTTATGCACAAATACTCATGCGAAAACATGATGCAGGGGTTTTAGTAATATTTTAAGCTCCTATTACAGTAAATTGTCTTTGTATCTTACCACTTTTTATGGATTTACATTCCCAGTAACCATCTCCTTCATAACCTGCATTACATTGACATCTACCATTTTGACAGTTTGCAAACTCATGACAACGAATATTTTGACACTGGTCTGTGTAAAATATAGTAGTTTTAAGAGGTGTTAGTTTGCATGTCAATATTCAATTGATAGATTTATCACCTACATGAATTTGTCGCATCTACGTTTTATATTTAAATAGTTCTAGGAGCATTTTAATGAACACAAACGTAAACAGATGACTGAGACTATATAAATAAACATGATCAACGAGAAAGCAAAGAGCGTATGTTTCAGGAAGGTTTGGGGCTGTTCCAATATTATGGACTCAAAACTGTACGTGAAGTTATAGCACGGAGCTGTAAGTTTTGTGGTTAGCATGATACTTACACATCACTGAATGTAAACACAAAAAGCCTAACTCTATTTGCATAAAACAAATCTCTACAAACTGCTTAATTAATAACAATCCTGTAGTTTTCAAAAATCACCTTATAGATGGATTTCCTGAAGTTTGGGTCAGTCATTTAGTCATCAGTGTCAGGAGTGATTAAGTTACCTACCACACGGAATTATACATAGAAATGGAAATAGCTTTTGATATACTGTCGAGATTTTCACACCCTTCGGATATTTCACTTCTCTATAAATGGCATTTTACATGTGGTGAAGTAATAATTAAAGGAAAATAGTTGTGTAAACAAAAGCTTTCTTCCTTTAATACATTCACTATAATACATATATTGGTGTGAGGATCCACTTTCCGTTAATAAAATGGATATCATGCACCACCAGTTGAGCTTCTCATAAGTAAGCAATGGTTTCCGATTTCGTAAAGCAAAATCATTTGAAGGTGAATGTCACTTGCTTTGTTACGTACAAAAATGTGACATACATATTGAATGAAAGCTTATGGATTTGAAATACCAATTGTAATTAATATAAAGTAATCGGATTTGTCACGTATATGTACTTATTTTCATACATCCAGAGGTTAAGTGTTCGCGCGCGAGACCAATAGGTCGTGGGTTCGAATGCCGCGAAGCAGGATTGCGGATGCGCACAGCTGGGGAGTCCCACAGTAGCAAGAAAAGACCGTCCAATGCTTCCACATTTCCCACGGTGGTCTAGCTACAGTTCATTCATGATCTCAACTATCAAAAATCACTACATACTTATTAAAAAGCTTTATGTAAATTTATTCAACCTACATTACCACATTTACAACGATATTCAGTTGAGTATGAATCGGATTGGGAAATGATTCTAGGTGTTGGAAGAGCACTAAAGTGTTATTCTATATCTCATTTCATTAAAGCACAAAAGTATTCATCGTGGTAGTAAAAAGCTACTACCTGTACTTCAGTTGATCTATACATAACCATATTCACCGGTCAGGTATCCTGATAGAAATGATTTATTAGATTACAACTCAGTGCTCAACCCATCATCTGAGTGTTAGTGATTTATTCCCAGGTAGGTTATTGTGTGGTCACATGTGATATGTTCGATACCAGAACGAAATGCCTATTAAGCACTGTATACATGAAATATGCGTGCTAACACTCCGAAACACGTTAGATACGGGAAAATAATCACAGTCATTCGTCTATGATTTCAATGACTATGAGTCATAATAATGAAACATATTTTAGTAACGTTGAATAATTTGATAAAATTTCAGTTAAGGATGAAAATATATCAAGGTTTCCAAAAATATGTATTTAGATCCGTCAGTAAACATTTATAATCTAAAATTGAGTTGCACTAAAAGTGAGTAAAGGCATCCCGAATATGTAAGTGGATAATCATTAACATTGATCATTAACAGTGATTCAAAAAGATTATGCCTCTGGCTTGTATCTTAGTGATTGAAGTAACAGTGTGAGATTAGAAATTCGATTGTTTAGAAGTCAAAAGAAAGAACTGTGCTTTCAAAATAACTCGTTTTCATATCAGAACTATACTTAATTTCCTACCATTCAGCATGCAATAAAACGTGAGAATGAATTATTTGCATACTCCTACCCTGCTGAATAGGATCACAATAATGTTTTCCATCCCCCTGATACCCGTCCAAACATCGGCATTCACCATCAAAGCATTTAGCGTTTATATGACATCTCATACTAGAACACGGATCTACAATTAAATAATTATGATTCATTAGAATGTACACTCAATCTCAGAATCATTTATGTTAAGCACACTTTTCAAAATGGTCTTATCCACTTAGTGATATAATTGAGATTAGCGTCTCAGAATTTGAGCTTCTCAATAATGAACTTTAGTAAAATCTCTCTTTGCGTAGTACCATTAGGAAAAATTCAAAGGAAATATCCGATAGCTAACATGTGCATATAAATTTTCACACAATTGTAAAGTCTCTATCCATTCAAAATTAGGAATTTTTATTCAGTCAAGATACAGAAATTGAAGAGATAGGCATTTATAATGTCACTATTTCAACTAAAATTTGCTACAAACATCGGATAAACTTTGATTATAAACATTTCACTTATTCCTTAATAAATAAAAGTTATTCAAAAGTTATGCACAAATACTCATGCGAAAACATGATGCAGGGGTTTTAGTAATATTTTAAGCTCCTATTACAGTAAATTGTCTTTGTATCTTACCACTTTTTATGGATTTACATTCCCAGTAACCATCTCCTTCATAACCTGCATTACATTGACATCTACCATTTTGACAGTTTGCAAACTCATGACAACGAATATTTTGACACTGGTCTGTGTAAAATATAGTAGTTTTAAGAGGTGTTAGTTTGCATGTCAATATTCAATTGATAGATTTATCACCTACATGAATTTGTCGCATCTACGTTTTATATTTAAATAGTTCTAGGAGCATTTTAATGAACACAAACGTAAACAGATGACTGAGACTATATAAATAAACATGATCAACGAGAAAGCAAAGAGCGTATGTTTCAGGAAGGTTTGGGGCTGTTCCAATATTATGGACTCAAAACTGTACGTGAAGTTATAGCACGGAGCTGTAAGTTTTGTGGTTAGCATGATACTTACACATCACTGAATGTAAACACAAAAAGCCTAACTCTATTTGCATAAAACAAATCTCTACAAACTGCTTAATTAATAACAATCCTGTAGTTTTCAAAAATCACCTTATAGATGGATTTCCTGAAGTTTGGGTCAGTCATTTAGTCATCAGTGTCAGGAGTGATTAAGTTACCTACCACACGGAATTATACATAGAAATGGAAATAGCTTTTGATATACTGTCGAGATTTTCACACCCTTCGGATATTTCACTTCTCTATAAATGGCATTTTACATGTGGTGAAGTAATAATTAAAGGAAAATAGTTGTGTAAACAAAAGCTTTCTTCCTTTAATACATTCACTATAATACATATATTGGTGTGAGGATCCACTTTCCGTTAATAAAATGGATATCATGCACCACCAGTTGAGCTTCTCATAAGTAAGCAATGGTTTCCGATTTCGTAAAGCAAAATCATTTGAAGGTGAATGTCACTTGGTTTGTTACGTACAAAAATGTGACATACATATTGAATGAAAGCTTATGGATTTGAAATACCAATTGTAATTAATATAAAGTAATCGGATTTGTCACGTATATGTACTTATTTTCATACATCCAGAGGTTAAGTGTTCGCGCGCGAGACCAATAGGTCGTGGGTTCGAATGCCGCGAAGCAGGATTGCGGATGCGCACAGCTGGGGAGTCCCACAGTAGCAAGAAAAGACCGTCCAATGCTTCCACATTTCCCACGGTGGTCTAGCTACAGTTCATTCATGATCTCAACTATCAAAAATCACTACATACTTATTAAAAAGCTTTATGTAAATTTATTCAACCTACATTACCACATTTACAACGATATTCAGTTGAGTATGAATCGGATTGGGAAATGATTCTAGGTGTTGGAAGAGCACTAAAGTGTTATTCTATATCTCATTTCATTAAAGCACAAAAGTATTCATCGTGGTAGTAAAAAGCTACTACCTGTACTTCAGTTGATCTATACATAACCATATTCACCGGTCAGGTATCCTGATAGAAATGATTTATTAGATTACAACTCAGTGCTCAACCCATCATCTGAGTGTTAGTGATTTATTCCCAGGTAGGTTATTGTGTGGTCACATGTGATATGTTCGATACCAGAACGAAATGCCTATTAAGCACTGTATACATGAAATATGCGTGCTAACACTCCGAAACACGTTAGATACGGGAAAATAATCACAGTCATTCGTCTATGATTTCAATGACTATGAGTCATAATAATGAAACATATTTTAGTAACGTTGAATAATTTGATAAAATTTCAGTTAAGGATGAAAATATATCAAGGTTTCCAAAAATATGTATTTAGATCCGTCAGTAAACATTTATAATCTAAAATTGAGTTGCACTAAAAGTGAGTAAAGGCATCCCGAATATGTAAGTGGATAATCATTAACATTGATCATTAACAGTGATTTAAAAAGATTATGCCTCTGGCTTGTATCTTAGTGATTGAAGTAACAGTCTGAGATTAGAAATTCGATTGTTTAGAAGTCAAAAGAAAGAACTGTGCTTTCAAAATAACTCGTTTTCATATCAGAACTATACTTAATTTCCTACCATTCAGCATGCAATAAAACGTGAGAATGAATTATTTGCATACTCCTACCCTGCTGAATAGGATCACAATAATGTTTTCCATCCCCCTGATACCCGTCCAAACATCGGCATTCACCATCAAAGCATTTAGCGTTTATATGACATCTCATACTAGAACACGGATCTACAATTAAATAATTATGATTCATTAGAATGTACACTCAATCTCAGAATCATTTATGTTAAGCACACTTTTCAAAATGGTCTTATCCACTTAGTGATATAATTGAGATTAGCGTCTCAGAATTTGAGCTTCTCAATAATGAACTTTAGTAAAATCTCTCTGCGTAGTACCATTAGGAAAAATTCAAAGGAAATATCCGATAGCTAACATGTGCATATAAATTTTCACACAATTGTAAAGTCTCTATCCATTCAAAATTAGGAATTTTTATTCAGTCAAGATACAGAAATTGAAGAGATAGGCATTTATAATGTCACTATTTCAACTAAAATTTGCTACAAACATCGGATAAACTTTGATTATAAACATTTCACTTATTCCTTAATAAATAAAAGTTATTCAAAAGTTATGCACAAATACTCATGCGAAAACATGATGCAGGGGTTTTAGTAATATTTTAAGCTCCTATTACAGTAAATTGTCTTTGTATCTTACCACTTTTTATGGATTTACATTCCCAGTAACCATCTCCTTCATAACCTGCATTACATTGACATCTACCATTTTGACAGTTTGCAAACTCATGACAACGAATATTTTGACACTGGTCTGTGTAAAATATAGTAGTTTTAAGAGGTGTTAGTTTGCATGTCAATATTCAATTGATAGATTTATCACCTACATGAATTTGTCGCATCTACGTTTTATATTTAAATAGTTCTAGGAGCATTTTAATGAACACAAACGTAAACAGATGACTGAGACTATATAAATAAACATGATCAACGAGAAAGCAAAGAGCGTATGTTTCAGGAAGGTTTGGGGCTGTTCCAATATTATGGACTCAAAACTGTACGTGAAGTTATAGCACGGAGCTGTAAGTTTTGTGGTTAGCATGATACTTACACATCACTGAATGTAAACACAAAAAGCCTAACTCTATTTGCATAAAACAAATCTCTACAAACTGCTTAATTAATAACAATCCTGTAGTTTTCAAAAATCACCTTATAGATGGATTTCCTGAAGTTTGGGTCAGTCATTTAGTCATCAGTGTCAGGAGTGATTAAGTTACCTACCACACGGAATTATACATAGAAATGGAAATAGCTTTTGATATACTGTCGAGATTTTCACACCCTTCGGATATTTCACTTCTCTATAAATGGCATTTTACATGTGGTGAAGTAATAATTAAAGGAAAATAGTTGTGTAAACAAAAGCTTTCTTCCTTTAATACATTCACTATAATACATATATTGGTGTGAGGATCCACTTTCCGTTAATAAAATGGATATCATGCACCACCAGTTGAGCTTCTCATAAGTAAGCAATGGTTTCCGATTTCGTAAAGCAAAATCATTTGAAGGTGAATGTCACTTGCTTTGTTACGTACAAAAATGTGACATACATATTGAATGAAAGCTTATGGATTTGAAATACCAATTGTAATTAATATAAAGTAATCGGATTTGTCACGTATATGTACTTATTTTCATACATCCAGAGGTTAAGTGTTCGCGCGCGAGACCAATAGGTCGTGGGTTCGAATGCCGCGAAGCAGGATTGCGGATGCGCACAGCTGGGGAGTCCCACAGTAGCAAGAAAAGACCGTCCAATGCTTCCACATTTCCCACGGTGGTCTAGCTACAGTTCATTCATGATCTCAACTATCAAAAATCACTACATACTTATTAAAAAGCTTTATGTAAATTTATTCAACCTACATTACCACATTTACAACGATATTCAGTTGAGTATGAATCGGATTGGGAAATGATTCTAGGTGTTGGAAGAGCACTAAAGTGTTATTCTATATCTCATTTCATTAAAGCACAAAAGTATTCATCGTGGTAGTAAAAAGCTACTACCTGTACTTCAGTTGATCTATACATAACCATATTCACCGGTCAGGTATCCTGATAGAAATGATTTATTAGATTACAACTCAGTGCTCAACCCATCATCTGAGTGTTAGTGATTTATTCCCAGGTAGGTTATTGTGTGGTCACATGTGATATGTTCGATACCAGAACGAAATGCCTATTAAGCACTGTATACATGAAATATGCGTGCTAACACTCCGAAACACGTTAGATACGGGAAAATAATCACAGTCATTCGTCTATGATTTCAATGACTATGAGTCATAATAATGAAACATATTTTAGTAACGTTGAATAATTTGATAAAATTTCAGTTAAGGATGAAAATATATCAAGGTTTCCAAAAATATGTATTTAGATCCGTCAGTAAACATTTATAATCTAAAATTGAGTTGCACTAAAAGTGAGTAAAGGCATCCCGAATATGTAAGTGGATAATCATTAACATTGATCATTAACAGTGATTTAAAAAGATTTTGCCTCTGGCTTGTATCTTAGTGATTGAAGTAACAGTCTGAGATTAGAAATTCGATTGTTTAGAAGTCAAAAGAAAGAACTGTGCTTTCAAAATAACTCGTTTTCATATCAGAACTATACTTAATTTCCTACCATTCAGCATGCAATAAAACGTGAGAATGAATTATTTGCATACTCCTACCCTGCTGAATAGGATCACAATAATGTTTTCCATCCCCCTGATACCCGTCCAAACATCGGCATTCACCATCAAAGCATTTAGCGTTTATATGACATCTCATACTAGAACACGGATCTACAATTAAATAATTATGATTCATTAGAATGTACACTCAATCTCAGAATCATTTATGTTAAGCACACTTTTCAAAATGGTCTTATCCACTTAGTGATATAATTGAGATTAGCGTCTCAGAATTTGAGCTTCTGAGTAAGAGAAAATTTTCTTTTTTTTTATTTTTCGTTTTTGCGTGTGCTGTTACTTTGCTGTGGGATTCAGTTCGAACTGATACAAACGTGCTTAGTTTTGTGGCCATATGACTTCATTGTAAGTAAATGACAAATTTGTGGAATGATTGCCGTCGTGTATGTAATTTATAATACCACATTCATTATTCAGAAATTTCTTTGAAATCGTATTCTTATGATGATGAGCTGTTGATAAACCATTAAATATTTTGAATTCATTTTTTTCTGCACCCATTTTTGTTCTGGCATTATTTAAATTCATTAAGCGAACTAATTGCATGAAATATTTAATAGGAATCTATTCTAAAATTCATTTTTCAAATGAACTCTGTATTTATATGCACTAAGTCTATCAGCTCTAGTTTTGCTCAGACGTAGGTATATTCTCAGACTCAATTGCTTTTGTGTACATTCATATAACTGACTAGCCTTAGCTTAACTGTATAATGTACATAGAACATTAAATTAATTATGAAATATGGGAGTGGAAAATTTTGTTTTTCTAACTATTTACTACGGTCCTTACCATCTTGCATTGCATAACAATAATGAAAACCATCCCTTCGTAGCCATTCAGGCAACGACAGTAACCATTTTGACATTCTGCTTTAGAATGACACTGTACTCCTATACAAGGATCTACAAAGGAGACAAATATTTTAGAAACTTAAAAGGACTATATAAAACTATTTCTTCCCAATTAGTAACATGCATTATGTGATTTATATTTTATAACAATTTTTTCATAGGATGTTTGTGACACATGCAGGTATGTCTGCTTGAATGAAGTGAATTCAGGTTTAGTCTCTCTATTCCCACATAATAAATAAAACAGTAGTATTTTCGGGAAAACAATGCAAACAGATGGAGTACAAGTTCATTTCATGCTACTTAAAAAGTAGTTTTCATTGAGAAATAACCAACATTTTTCTTGATATTTATTTATGTTTCAGAATAAATTTCTCCATGAAAGAGCATGCTCTTTTATTTGTATAGATGATGTAATGAGATCCATACTATGAACTGATAAGCTTACCATTATGAACTAGACGACATTCATAATAACCATCACCTTCATAACCGTTTAAACATAAACAACGTCCATTTTTACAATAACCATTAGGATGACATTGAACATTTGAACATGGATCTACCGGTAGAAAAACGCTGAGAGTTCAAATAATGTTTGCGAAATCGATGACAATTTTATAGTAAAAAGCCCTATCTATTTATAAGCAGATTTACGGTTTTAGTATGTGATTTGCATGGTCTATTCAAGTGCATTATTAAATAAACACAATAGTTTAGTATTGTTCAGAAAACAAACCATTTGACAGTATTCGACTATTGGTATTTAATTGTCAGTAAACTGCAAAAGTTCAGAAATTTTCAGATTATCCTTTTGTGTCCTATTACCTAATTGTTTTTTATCAGGGACAGTTTTATACCATTTTTAATCGCTAGAAAATTCCCATTATGTTAAAAACACAGATGAAGTTTACCACGAGTCCGATGATAACTCTAAGAATAAAAGATAACTTGACAAATAACCCAGGAATTTGTGTTCTCGGTCAAAAGGTCACTTCCTAGTGTAGTTAAAGCTGTCAACAACTCAATTCTTTCATGGACGTAGAATCCCTAGATAATCATTAAAAACAAGATGCATAGAGAAGGAATCTCTTTTCAAAGAATTTGCTAACATGCTGCACAGTCGTTTATATATATATATATATATATATATATATATATATATATATATATATATATATATATATATATATGACTGTATAGCTTACTGATAAATTTGTTAAAAAGAGATCTCTTCTCTGAACTTAGTGTTTTTAGTTTAATTCTTGCTTATTTAGTGAAAATGTGCCATACAGTCAACATGGATCAGCCATTTCCAGTAGTGTAGCCGATCACTAGTCGTTTTTCCAAACCTGTTAAACTAAGAGTACTTCAAACAGTTGAAGCAAAAGGTATTCCAATCAGAAAGCCTGGGCATTGCATCTGAAAGAAAAATATATATTTTATTCTATCAACAATACTGCATTTTATGACCTGTAATTGTAAATGATGTATTGACCTTTGATTAGGTTCTCCCCCTGTAATATGAATTCAGATTTATTTCATAGTTCCATTTTTATATACCCCATTTTTTTCTTGTTTCAGTACTCTGTATTACTGTCATAAAAAAACTAAAAAATATTTTCCATTTTATTCCTGTTTTATTACTTTCCAATTCTTTCACTTATCTGCTTTGAAACGTTACACCACAATTATTTACTGCTTTGTTTTATTTTTGACCTCAAGTCTTTTATGGCTTAGAATAATGATTTATTTATTGAATTCATTTACTTATATTCATTACATTCATAATGTGACTATAATTTTTTAATAAAACTCTAATTTATAATAGATTTATAAGCAGAGATGGATGGTGGCTAGCAGTGGAATCGACGATGCTTATTTTGTCCTATTTGGGACTCGAATCCAGCATCGTGAGATTTAAACGCCATCATATTATGCACTTACCTACTGAGTGCAAATATCCACTAGCTTGTACAATGGGGTGAAGACTTAATAAATGTACTTGTTATATATGAATAGGACTTTGATATTTTTAAATTGAAATAGTTATGAAGGAACGTTTTTCGATAAACATATTTCCTTTATATCTTGATGAAAATGATTAATTTATCTACTGAGTTCTTTGAAGAAAAACTTGGTTGTTTTAGTACCAATTCATGTATAATATATTTCGTATCGTTTCAAAAATGATTTTAGCATCTTATGCGGCAGCGTTAGTAGTTAGAACGATTAGCCCTACTTTATTTTAGAGATTGTAGGGAACTGTTTTAAGTCTTATTCCTTCTTTACTTTGCCTACAATCTGTTAACTATTTGAGCGAACGGCAATAAGACAAGTTAGAAGCACAAATGAATCTTTCAGTTTTTAGTAGGAATGCTCTGAACTTCTCAGATTTATTCTTTAACAAAGGTTTTCTTAAACCAGTTAAAGACCATCTTTTGCATTTTTAATCCTCGAATTTACAGTGTTTATGAATCCAGTTATATTTATAGTTATATTGATAGTTAATGATTTTCTTAAAATCGGCGCTTTACGATCCATGTTTTCTTAACATTAAAAAAAGGAACCGCATGCAACTGAATATTGTCGTTTGATATTTTCTGAGTTTACGAGCTGATAGATATTTTTATATAACTCGCATGCAGAAAATTCTTACCAGTAACTGTTTGCCTACAATCATAATACCCATCACCTTCGTATCCTCTAAGACAATGACATCGTCCACTGATGCACTCTCCATATTGATGACATTTTACACCAGTGCAAGGATCTAGAGATTTAGAATGTAGAAATAATTGCTTTGTTGCTTTAAAACTGGTTTTTGAAGCATCAAGTTGAAAGTACCTTTGTTTTTATTTTATGAAATTCAGTAAACAGTCCTCAAACAATAAGTGAACGCTGTGTAAACTTATAGTCATAAAAATAACATAAACCTGGTACCATAAATCAGTTTACTTCAATGAATTTAGATTCACTTTATATTTACCGGGTGTACTTCAGATGTAGAAAAGTAACTGGATCCATACTTTAATAATTCAAAATTACATCCAACAGATACTTATCAAGAAGATATTTACTTCATGTGTAGGCGATTTTTATAAGAATCTAAATTTAGTTCATTTGCAGATGAAACATTAAAGGAATGAAGAATAAAGTTTAAAAGAAAGATTGTTTAGTTTTTTGTATAAAATTACTATTGCTAATCTATGATTACAAGCTATTAAGTTACGAAATTACTTGTCATTCTGTGTATCATTTAAGTGTAACTTTCAAGTAGTCATTGTTACACTTTTTGTTCTATCAGTATTTACCGCAAATGGATATTAACATTCCCTACATTATAGGTATCATTACCAAGGTTTGACTTGATAATTTCGAATAAATTAAGCATTAGGTAGATTGTTATAAATAATTTAATATATTTGTAATATCCCAATGAGTAGAAAAATAAGATTTTCTGATGTTTCGTTACTCAGTATAGGTCACTTTTAAAGGCAACTAGTTTCTACGAAGATTAAATATTTGTAAAACCAATAAATGAAAAATCGAATCAAGTTAATTCAAATATAATTATCAATATTTTCTTTGTATTGTAAACACATTCTTTAAAATTCTGTGATAGAAATAAAAACGACTATGTGGAGGATGTTGCCATGCCTATAACAGACCCCGATGTTTGAATTTCTTTTCAATATTTAAAATGTTACAAATGATATACCGTAGAAATCAATTAACTAGTGATTTATCTTTTTTTTTATTATAAAAGTGAAGTTTCATAGAAATTCAATGCATTAACTCTGTTAGCATTTCAGTTATTCATCTAAAGTAATCTAAAATAAAATCAAGTATATTCTTTAGTTACTGATTGATTGATCATGAACCAATTGATGTTAGATCACCATTGAAAAGGGCCGTCCAGTGCTTCCAGGTTTTCAATGGTGGTCTAACATCAATCGGTTCATGATCTCAATCAAATACTTAACAATCTCCACAACCCCTAAACTGATAATCTAAAAAGTGTAATTCCTAAAAAAGCTTAGCAACTAATGAATGTATTGAAAAAAAATGTATTATGCGACTTTGATTATGATAAAATAGATATGCTGGTTTATGATACACTCATATTTACCAGTGAATATTTGTGTTAATTTTATTTAATACAACGAATATAAGAATTAATTATTAAATATCACATAGGCATTCAGCTAAAAGATCAGCTTCTATGTACAAATAATCGGTAAAACATATATAGATATTTGTTTTTCTGTCGAAAATAATCAGCACTGACATGGATGTGACTGTTGAATAACTAGAATATATGAAATACTACTTATATGAATGTTAGGTTTAACATTTATGTATAATTACTTCATCATCTTAACGGTCATTTCTTTCCAATAAATGTTAGGAGTTATTATTATTAGTTTTTACTCATACGATAGTTTAATTCAACAATGTTTATGTTAATAAACATAAACCTTACCTCTTACATGACAATCGTAATATCCATCACCAATATAACCTTCAATACAATGACACTGTCCATTTTCACACTGTGCATATGGATGACATTGAATGTGATGACATAAATCTGTAAACAAATACTTTGCTGTAACCTTTTGTTAAAATAAACAATACGAGGCGTTTTTTAAATCGCTGGATGACAAGACCTCATGCTTGAGATTAATTTAAGATATGCATACATCATAGGAATTATGTTTAATTGACTTTATAAATCTGATTGTATAATAAAAGTGCAATAGTGTGTATTAATCTATTAGAAAAAATGCCATTGTTACAAACTTTACAAGCAAAAGTATGATCATAACTATACTCAGTAAAACAGGTTTTACAGATGAAATAAATTAGAAATGCTGGGGTTTAATAATCTATCAATACGTAATAGGAAACAAGCTAGGTGTAGGTACATTCATTTGCAATATTACAGTTTTAAATGTTATTGTTAAGTACAGTATATACCGAATAGTAATGGTAAATACTCTTACTGTATATTATATAAAGCTAATATGATTAACAGGTTTTTAAAGATCTTAAATGGCTAATCCTACTGATTAGTGTATTGTGACAACATTAATTACAATGAATTCATAAATAATTATTTAATTTCCCATATATTTTTTTCCTACGTTTTAACTCATAACCCTTCAGTTTAGTAACATTTAACATAACTTCCATTTGCATTTTCTTTTAATGGATCACCTATAATATACATACCTTCATTGTTATTTGATTATTCTATTTTAATACTCAGTAACTAACCATGAAAAAGAATATTGACATCATAAATTTTACATAGAACCATTTTTAATATTTTATGATGACTGTCTAATTAGATAAATTTAACGAGTATTAAAGTAATATTATTATTAGGTTGTAAGTGAAACCAAAGATTTAACACAATGTATTTCTAATGGCGGTCTGACTGAATATCTGGGCTATCTGTTCCTGACATCCTAATATTTCAACAAGTCATCTAACTTTGTTTTAATACAACATTATGGTTTGTAGTGTCGGTTATTATGTTAAGCCCATAAACCTTATTCTAGCTTTCGGACAGGCCAATCTATTCATTCTACTTGAGTCATATTTTGACCTTGTTCATTATTCGCTTATCAATCTTGATTGTTTTTATATGAGCGCGTAGGTGTGTGTACATTTCTTATCCCATTCATCACATGTCTGTAACTTATTTTTGTGTAACTATAAATATTGATTAACGCTTGACTAAATGGAATTGGCTTATCCACCATCTCCACTGCGCGTCGTTTCTCTTCTCTCTATTCCATTCGCTTTATATACAAAATATATGTATTCACAATTCCATTTTCGTTATTTGACTTATTTAACTCCGTTATTGACTAACGCGGTTTAAATCGATGATTATATACAACGATAGGCGACATATATAGTTCGACAACGAACATTCATATGGTCTACTTGGAGTCAAAACTCGGGTCACTAAAGTGAAGAGCCCATCGACAAATATCGTCCGATCTAGATGACCACAAAATAAAGGGCCCCACAAGTTATCAATCGCATAACCTATTCAGGTGCGTTTCTAGAAAGTGTACAACCTTCGTTGTACGAGTCACAAAAAGCTCAATCAGAGATATCGTGGTTGATAGCAATATGCAACGAAAAGAATGTACATTATTTGGACGTCGAATAACTAGACCGTTAACTTCTAACTGGCAATCACTCAATATTTATCATCAGGATCGACCAGAATGTAAGAAACGGGAACTTGTTGAAATACTTTGTGCTGAGAGTTATTCTATATTTTACCAAAAATATAATACTGAATAACGCTAATAATAATAATAGTTCATTAATTTAAAATATATTCCAACATGATAGATTTCTACTTTTCTAATATGCTTAGTGTACAATCTAATCATGATATTATTAATAAATGGTCACTATGTTAAATGGAAAATGTTGTTACACTTAAAACTTACCTTTGACTCAAAATAATAAAAAGAACATAATTTTCCAAGAAATAAGTTGTGGTAAAATACAACAGATCTGGTAACCTGTTTAATCTAGTTTATCATTGTAATGTTCAATATGCAGATTAGAATGAATAGAAAGCAAATTTAATTTTACTAAATAAATACATTTTGTTATCTCTTAGTCTCTAACTTCATTCATTTCCATTAATTAAGAAACATTTATACTCAGAAGAAAACAATGAAATTAGTAATAAATTTTATTATCAGAATGGGGTTTTGTGGAGATTTAGTAATTTCATAGTTGAATTCATGAGTCAATTGAACTTAGACCATCATAGAAAACTGAGAAGCACGAGACGGCCGTTTCATCTTAGTATGGGACATTAACACTGTTGGATGCCGGCCAGCTCAGTGGTTTATAGGTTAGACGTTCTTGCGCGAGACTGATAGGTCCTGGGTTCAAATCTCGAGAGGCGGGATCACGGATGAGCATTGCTGAAGAGTCTCATACTAGGATGAAACGGCCGTCCAGTGCTCCCAGGTTTCCCATGCTGGTCTAACTTCAATTGACTCATGAATTCAACCATAATAATTTTTAGTTTGGTGTTGAGAGAACATAGTAGAAGTATTGATATAATGTGTACAAATCATAAATTCAAGTTATTCAATGACAAAGTTACTTTAAACAATAAGATTCATTGAGTTATAAACATTTTTATAATAGTTATCATCATGTTTCAGTCAGTATGATCATAATCTAGAAAAAGTTTACGAATAAATGAAAAATATTCAATTGGATATGAGAAAACAATAAATAGACAATTTAAATGTTATTTTGACCTTTGGTTACCCGGTAGCAACTACAATCTCTGAGATAACATTTACAAATTTAGAATGTTTGGATAGTGCGATGAGAAGATAAAAAATTACCAGAATTATGTGGTATATTTGGGTAATGCATTTTAAACAATCTGATCATACATAAACTTGTTAAGACACCTTATATGGAAAATAAAAGGTCAACTGGGTAAATTAAAAGGTGAGGGGAACAAAAATAGTAAAAATCACATAGAAAGAAAGTGAAAACCACGCTAGATAATAAATCAGTATTACATGGGTAGGTTAGGGGTAAAATAACTAAAATACTACATATGTTCTACTCACATGCTAAAAATAGCATTCCGATTTTTACTATTTTCTTTGCTGAGCAAACATTGCAAACCAACATGCTAATGCTTTTTAGTGTATTTGTAAATTTGTATTTACTCTGTCAACCTACTCACCGGTTTCTCTAGGTCTACACTCTCTGTAACCATCACCAATATAACCAGCTTTACATGTACAAACACCATTGTGACATGTGGCATCATAATGACATTGTACATGAGAACAAGGATCTATTGTTAGGGTAGTATTAAAATAATTAAAAAAATAGTTTGTTAGTGATGCATATGTAAAACATTTGGTACACATTTATTCTATTTATATGATAGTATTATTAATTTCAAAGTTGATCATCAAAAATAATTTAAAATAAAACTGCATTGTTTCTATTCATTCCCACTGATAAATATTTATCAATTTATGATCGAGATCATGAAGCGATTGATGTTAGACCACCACTGAAAACCTGGAAGCACTGGACGGCTATTTCGTCCTGTTATGGGACCCCTCAGAAGTGAGCATTCACGATCCCGCTTGTGGGATTCGAACCCAGGGACTTCAGTATCACACGCGTACGCTTAACCTCAATGGTGGTCTAACATCAATCGGTTCATGATCTCGATCGAAAACTTACCAATCTCCACAAGTCTATACTGATATATACTAATTTAGATGAAGTTTTGTTGTCTCAGTTGGATGGTTTGATCGTTGAGTTTTCATTGTTCTTCTGAATAAGTTTACGTAGAAGTGAAGTGTTCGAATTTCTCCTCATATGACTCACATCTTATCCTGTCGATCTCTATTATGATTGGTTATTGTTGAGCTTTAACCTGTCATTATCTACCTCCTCATTTTGATTGTATCGCCCTTTGATCTGATTATTGGCTTTATATTTGTCCTTGATTTTTTTGAATGATTAGAACACTTCATTTCTGTATGAAATTTTTGTTGATGATGTTGTTCAGATAAACACTGAATGCTTCACAACTAAATCAACCACCTTAGCTACAAATCTTCTCTACTATTTACAAATTTACATTAGCAAATGTTCGTGGAATTCTTGCAAAGATATCTTCTAACTGAAAATGAATATATTAGTTGTGTGGCAATTGTTTTATGAATGTTAGTATTCAGTCATTAATAGAATCTTAACAGTTACTAAGCACATAATTATGTAATAAGTACTGTAAGAGTAAGAGTATAGTTGCATTATCATTTCATTAATAAAGTGAAAAGTGCATATAAACTCGTTAAACGAAATAATTTCGATTGTATATGTTTAAAGTATAATCAGTCAGAATCATCTTCAGTTTTCGCTCTGATGAACAAAGTAAATTGAGGACACTTTAAAAAGCAGTAATAAATCTTAAAAAGAAACTCAAAAAAACTATTGTACTACTGTGATAAATGCTACTTATGTCACATAAGTAGTATGTAACGCCACTCAGAAGTGGAATGCCTGGCAGCAGAAGATTAGGAAGAACGAATTGAAGAGAACGGGAACAGAGGGTAAATGTTATGGCAATGAAGGAACGATGAAGTTTGAGACAATTAATGGAGGATTCGCAAATAAAGTATTTGCTAATATAGTTTTCACATTTGGTGAAAGAAATTTGTGATTTTGTGCTAAAATGCGATTAGTCGTTCTCACATGTGTTCTCGTTCATTACAATACTACTTTAAAGTTTTATAGAGTTACCACCCTTGAGAAAATAAAGAAAACTCATGCTCAATGAAAGAGCCGTTATCGTTTATCCACAAGGCAGAGTCACATTTGTTTATATTATAACCTATATGTGGAATACCTATATAACCACAAAGTTTTTTCAAAGAGAATGTGTTTTCACTTTGAAATAGGATGTGTATATGTAAAGTGGGTTAGGAAGGATTTTATAATGGATGAAGAACAATGAACTGCCACTTTGTTGACAGCTGTGGATTAACTCTTAAATGTATTAACATGATTGAGGAAGGTAGTAAAGGCTTCAAATTTTAACTAATTACATATTCAGTAAAAGCTTCTTTTTATTGATGTATTTGGCCTACAGTTATATTGCAGAATTTCTCCTTTCCTAACTTTTTCTATAAATGTTTATCATGCATATGAAAGTTCCTGTATTCTGCCTATACTATGAGAATTAAATAACTACTTTGAAAACATATTTTCTTATTTATTAGAAGTATGCGATCTAACCGATGTAATTAAATTTATCTGCCTAAACAATAGATGTTAGTTGGTGAGTTATTTAAGAAAACACTCACTGGCAAAATACGCTCCAAACTTCCTACATTTTTTTTTGCAAATTTCTGGGATATTTCAGTCAAAATATACGTCTTTTAGTAGTCTTACCCACCTACTTGAATACGGCGACAGTCGTAGTAACCATTTCCTTCGAATCCAGTGCGACACTGACAGCTACCATTAATACAATATCCATACTGGTGACATTGAACATAATCACATGGATCTATATCAGAATGATTATTATAAGTTACAAACTAACACTTAAGTGGATGAGTGGTGTTTGAAATGTGCAACTCATGAGCAAATGACACCAAGGTAGTATGGCAATATGCAATGTTACATAGCATTCAAATGAAATTCTAGCATAACTTATCGTGCTATAAAATATTTTATATATTGTTTTTTTGAAGTATTTATTTTTAAAGCAAGGTAAATTAAGTTATATTTTATAATTAAGTAAAATGGATTATGTATAGAGATAGCATATGTTTTTATAACACACCAATTTTCTATCTTATATGATGTCAAGAATATAAACATGCACACATATCTTTTGATAAAGTAGCTGTATGTATAGTCAATCTCCCTGCCATGAATCTATATACAAATAATGAATCCATGCGTGTTAGTGCTTCATCATTTTCTTTTAACTTACCATAATTACGTGGTTTACAAACATGATAACCATCACCATAATAGTCAGGCAGACACTCACAGTTACCATTTCTGCATTTAGCATATGGATGACACCTAACCTCAGAGCATGGATCTTGTATAATAATGTTTATGAAAACAAAAATTTGAACAAAATATAGATTGTATTGTCAACTGATTTTAAATGTTTTATTTGAGAATACGGCGAGCCAATTAACAATAAATTATGCACTAGGGTTGAGACTATTTGAAAGGACGATGACTATGTTTCCTCACATCATCTCTAGCTGTTACTTGAAAACAACCTCAGATCAAAATAATCCAAGGCCTCAGTACATTATTTTTTTTTGTTTAAAAGATTCATGATCACTAAAGGGTCAGAATTTTTATTAACATGGAATATTTTCTCAATAAACCTTAACTGACTAAATAGTGAGGAGCTTTAAACATCATGTGGTTGCAGTTACGAACTAGAGTAGATTAGAGGTACAATGTCTTCCTCTGTAAAAATTTATTTCTGGTACATAAGCTTACACAACTGTTTAAGCTTAGTGAGTGTAAAGTTTCATGTAAATAAGGTTCACTAAGAAAAAACCTTAGTAGTTATCGCTATTCGCAAATCGGAAATGCTGATTGTAGTATTTCAGAAAAAATGTTATATTTTAATTGAATGAGTCATTGATTTTCGTGAACTTTAACCCTGAGATAAAACTAGGCAAGGAGTTATATGCGATCATTGAGAAAGTAAATTTGATCAAAATCATACTTGAAAAACATAATTATAAATTCTAAGTAATCTTAGGAGTTGTAAAACACCAAGTTAGAAAAGTTATCGTATACAACAGATAGATGGAGATGAGTAACTTTGAAACAAACTAAAATCTGGTCAAATTTATCTCTAAAGAATGGAAGTAGAGAAGAAAGGTATCAATTTAAAACTTATAAATTGTAATATGAGAACCCTCAGCAGTGTATATCTACGACCCCGTACACGTAACTCAGATGGAGGACGAAACCGAAGGTCCTGGGCTCAAATTAGGCGTATGAGGTTGTCGATGCGCAGCGCCAAGAAGTCCAATAATAGAATGAAACTGATGTTATTCACTAAACATAGATTATTACTTCAAAGCTCCACTCACCATCCGATAACTCTGGATCTTTTTCGAACTACTTTCTAAGAAATAATCTTCTTAACCATGGTAGGTTAAGCATGTTGATCAGAGATTATTTGTTAGATGTATTATTTAAGTAGATATAATTAACGGTAAACACTTGAATAGTATTAAACTTCTTTTTTTTCGATCTGGATAAATAAGTATTTAGGATATTTATTCATTATAAGGTATATGATCAAAGAAATTTTTGATGCAGAGTTTATAATATTCATGATGTTAGTATGTCATAAAATATATCATTGTACTGAGTACAAACATAAGATGTCAAAAATTGAGTGAAGAAGAATAATATGCACGTCTACCATGTTCAGGATCTTAAAGACAGGTATTCAATAAAAATAGATTGAATAAAACACTTAGAAAATATCTGCATAAATTATTATGTTATACAGTTTAATTTAGGAAGGCATGCAGACGTACCGTGGTAATGCAAAAAATTAAGTGTTTCTACGTCAAATAATAAATAAACTTTAGAATTTAGCATTTGAAATTGTAGTATTTCTTTTAAAAAAAAACAGAATGGGAAAGGGCATAGTCGGAGTTTACGTAAATGCACTGTTTCAAAACACAATAACAAGCTGTGTGAAGAATGAAATCACACGAAAGGAATGAAAAAAAAGGGATAATCAAGGGAAGCTAACTTACCGTAAACTTCAGGCTTACAATCATAATACCCATCACCTTGAAAACCTTCTACACAATGACATTCGTTATTATAACATTGTGCGTTTGGATGACAACGTACTTGAAAACATCGATCTAATAAAATGAGAGATGTTATGTATTCTGGCAAAAATAATCTATCTCTCTCTTTATATATATCACCCCAAGAAAAAAATATTAGGGAGATCTTCGTGACTATTAGTCTCAGATATTGACTATAATGTGTATTATAGAGAGGATTTTTATCGGATATGATAAAAAAGTAACTAAAATCCCCAAGTGAAGAAAAAAGTCTTGATTATGCAAATAAGACATAGATAATATTTAATTACGGATATTGTAATCAGAAGACAAAATTATCAGAACTATGTGATATAGTGACGCAATATGTCACATAGGTCTGATGATTTTGTCTTATTACATTACCCAAATTTATCAAAGGGATTAATTGTTTCACATTTAATGTCGTAAACTCACCTCTTTCTTCATAACATTTGACAACTGGGTCGCCAGTATAACCTGGTGTACAAACGCAAGCACCATCTTGACAGAACGCTTGTTCTCCACACTGAATCCCTTCACATAGATCAACACCACTTGCTATACATATACCATTTTCACAAATCTCATTACGACGACATTTAGAACATGGATCTATAAAATAAACAATCGATTTGGTAAATTTTTTTTCTGCTAAATAGTGGATAAATAAAAACGGATTTTAAAAAGTTTAACTCATGAATCCAGCGTATTTTGAATAACACACTGCGTAACGGTATTATGGAGTTAGGAAATATAAATAATTTACGACTTTGTCTTCGTTTGTTACATAAATTATCTATTTGTTTTTCTTCTAAAAGTAAAAGTGTGGTGTATGCCACTTATGTCTGTCGACATCAGTAGTATGTAACACTAATCAGAAGTGGAATGCGTGGCAACAGAACGTCAAGAATATTTAATTGAGGTAAACAGGAATGTAAACAATTGATGGAAGATGTGCAAATAAAGTATCTAATGTTCTCTACACTGGGACTCCTTGATGATATAAGAACTGCTGTGTCACAAATTCATTCATCTACTGATTTGTAGGCAAAACAAGAAAATAATGAGAATCGAAGGGAAAGTAATTAGATCCTCCTATGGTAAACATAATTTGAGAAAAACATTTGTGGTAAACTTCATATTCACTTCTATAAAAATTTCCTTTACTTGATATAGGGCAGTTAAAGTTTCTGTATTATTATTAATCATGGAAATGTGAGGAGTATATAGTAAAACGTTTATTCGTACTAACCTAAAAAATCGAAAACAAATCAGATACACTATTATGCAAGGCTAATACTCCTGGGTATAAAGTACGAATAAAGTAACCCAGGGAACGTTTATTCGAATCATACAGTTATGTAGATATTTTTCGTGATCTAATGTCTTTTACCATTTTGTTTAACATAAAAAATTAGAATGTTTATAAATTACATTACGGTATTTCGAATACATGCCACTTCAGGGTTAATCATTAGTCAAACTTTACCACCGTCAAGATTCATAATCAAAAGGATCTCAGACAGTAAATAGAATTTGTAGGCAATCAGGAAGAGATTTAAACCCTCTTTTAGTTCTTGCTGGCATCACTAGCTATAAGTATTATTAACCTTAGATATTTCGACAATGAATCATTCACCTTTAGATTAACGTTAATGACGGATTATTGAAAAATGCCTAATTACCATACAAAATAACTCCTATCATATTGTTATTATAAGTAACTTCACTCCATACATTTAACTTGGGATATTTAGTTTATTCAAATATTTCTTGCTACAATCACTGTATTATACAAATACTTCATCTGATTTGATGGTAGATTTTCATTGGAAATAAATAGAAGGATTTCACAAAATATCATAGTTTTTTTTCCAGTTAATATACTACAGCCCACTTATCGTTCGGGAAAATATATCAAATCGAAGACAGAATTCAAAAAAAGGAACAAACCAGATGTTTCAAAATAATAATAACAATGTATTTTCCTGTCCTTAGTTCAATACATTACAACGAAAGGTTTGTTAACCTCAAAGGTAATAATTATATATTCTAAGAAAAGATTACAAATTCTGTACAGACTTCACAAAAGTAAGATTATTTAAGGTGAAACATGACATGATTTGCCTCTAAATATTTCATACATAACTTCTATGAATACTAAAACCTTTAAAATAATATTATACATGAAGTTTTTCTTAAAGGGGCACAATTCATTCATCATAGTATGACTATCTGAAACAAAGGGAACAAATACCCTCACAAATGTGGTTTTAAAAGCATGTTGTTTAATTCAGTGACTTACACATAATCTATTCGAATGATCATAGAGTGTTTCTTAATCTGTTTATCTTTTAATAAATCATCAGGTCATTTTCATTAGTTGAATTAACTAAAATTTACTTTTTAAGCAAACAAAATTAGTTTTACTTAGTACTGTGACCTAATCTGGTTACCATCTTAGTAAAGATTTAACAAAATGACATGAAAAATTTATTGTTTCGCTTATTCAAACACAGTAAGGGATTTAAAAGACTGTTCATATTACGCTTGCATATGCTGACCTATAATTCCAATTTAAACATTTAAAAAGTTCAGAGAAGGGATCTCATTTCAACGAATTTATATATATATATATATATATATATATATATATATATATATATATATATATATATATATATATATATATGAAAATCTTATATTAAAGTATTAGTTTCATGAGGACATATGAACAAGGAATAAATATGATGATGCAATAGAACAATTATGATACTAGATTACGTAATGTGACAATAACAATAAAACTAATGAGCTATCTAGTATAGGGGTTGTGGAGATTATTAAGTTTTTGATTGAGATCATGAACCGATTGATGTTAGACCACCACAATTGAAAACCTGGAAGCACTGGACGGCCGTTTCGTCCTATTGTGGGACTCCCCAGCAGTGCGCATCCACGATCCCGCTCGCGGGACTCGAACCCAGGCCTTCGGTCTTGCGTGCGAACGCTTAACCAACTGGACCACTGAGCCGGCATCCAATGGTGATAGTTTCTAACATCAACCAATCCACGAAATTGCGCGACCAACTTCCGTTGTACTGAGGTAGATACCTGTCTCCACCCGACAAAATTAGCTCCACTGGTCACGGATTCTCACTAGAACTCCGAGAGTTCCCTCACGAAGCTAGTCACTAGTGAGCACATGTTGATTACTAGTATAGGGGTTGTGGAGACTATTAAGTTTTTGATTGAGATCAACGAATTATAATGTGAATACAGTAAGACGATTAAAATGTTTTTGTTACAATAGTTGAAAGTAATTAAAGGTCATATATGTGCACATTTAAGTGAAGTTATATCAGAAACAATTATGAATAAAATCATGAGAATATGAGTCATAAGTATAGGGAGAGGGAATAACAAAATGGAAAAATAATAATAACAGTAATAATAGATTAAAGCCATGGTAACGATAACGATAGAACGTATTTCTTTTGTATGAACAATTCTGGCTTGAGCTAATGGATGGCAAGAGCTTCTGCTATTTTAAGGAGTTGGACACGAAGAAATCTATGTAGATTTGTACGAATTGTATACACAAATTTTAAAATCAACCTGTGAATCGATAGAATGAATAGAGTCGATCAGGTGTCCAAGAATAGAACTTCTAACTGTTCTCCTCCTACCCCACAGGGATATGTTCTCGTATCTGAGTTGAAAGCGAGTGCTGGCTACGGTCTATGTACCTAGCTCCACAAGAGCAGGTGACTTGGTAGATGTATGATATATATATTCAAATGCATACAATTGTGACGTTACCCTTAGTTTGTTACGTCATTCTAGGGACTCTTTCAATTGTTTTGAATAAATAAGGATTATTATCAGAAGGGGTTTGTGGAGATTTTAGAAATTTTCACAGATTGAAATCATGAGTCAGTTGAAGCTAGACCACCATGGAAAACCCGGGAGCACTGGGCGCCCGTTTCGTCCTAGCATGGGACTCCTCAACAGTGCGCCTCCACGATCGCGCACCCCACGGGCTTCGAACCCAGGACCTGCTGGTTTCGAGCGCGAGCACTTAAACATTAGACCACTGAGCCGGCATCCAACGGTGTTAATGTCTAACTTCAACCAATCCACGAAGTTGCGCCACCGTATACTATTGTCTTCAGTGAGCTGATATCTCACAACAGACCTGGTTTTAATCCCGCGGGGTGCGGGATCTTGGATGCGCACTGCTGAGGAGTCCCATACTAGGACGAGATAGCCGTCCAGTGCTTCCAGGTTTTCCATGGTGGTCTAGCTTCAATTGACTCATGATTTCAACCAGTGATTATAGGTATAGTTTGAAAGATATTTTGTGTATGATATATTTTACGTTATTAATGTTGTGGTAACAAAATAAAATGCTTTTTGTTATCTCGTTGAGTAGAAAATTGAATATTTGAAGCCTAACAGTTTAGTGTAAGTCGCTTCTTTAAAAGATAGATAGATGACTGAATAAAATTACTAATTAAAGTGAGGGTTTATGCTGAACCGTGAAACGTCAGAATTTCACTTATGTATAATGAAGAAAACAAGGACACAGAATTGAACATTTTAATTCATTAGCTTCACATCAGCTGTTTAAAACCTATAATATTTTAAAATCAAAATGATCGTGAAGTTTACATACTTATAACAGTAAAATTAAATATGTACCATCATGGTGGAATAGCGATTCCAATGAATGTTCGACTATTTCGTTAAATAACAAAGGAATTATTTTAGCTCGATGATCTCTTGTTATTATATCTGGTGATCTAGGATCTTCTCTCAAAGTTCTTTATGTCTCCAACCACATTACATTTATTCCAACCACTATTTTACCACGATGATACATATTTAACTGTTATCAGTAAGCAAATTTGACGTTAATTTTGGTTCTAAAATATTATAGATTGTAAGCAGCTGATGAGAACTTAATGAAATAAAATGAATTCATGTTATTCTGCTCGACTGCTTGTTCTTGATAACTAAGTCTATGAACATTCATATGCGTCATTTCAGTTTTAATCAGTACACAATACACCCAACGCCAAGTCTGTTCAGTGCTTCCAGGTTTCCATGGTGGTCTAGCTTCAATTGACTCATGATTTCAACCTGTGAAATACTTTTTTATCATAATTATTTCCCTCCTACTTATACTCTTCAGATTTACTAATATGAACTTGTTTTGCAATAAAGAGTCCGTAGGAAAACATTCAGATATACAATGAACACATAAACATTTATTATTACCATAATCACTTACTTATTTTATAAACTAATTAAAAAAGCATACATGAAAACAATACGATGGAAAGATAATAAATTTTGGTATATAATAGACATACAGATGTGTGAAGCAGATGTTGGAGAGACAACTTTCAATAAGTAACTAATGATTTACAGAAATTCCCATGTACAGGGATCTTCTGCTTCATAAAAAAAAATAACGTTCAACATATGTCAGTCTGATTAATAACTTAAACTATACTTTTAAATACATTTTTGGTAGAAACGTATCTTACATATTTTCATATATGCTACTAGTATTAAAATCTAAAGCTCAGTTAAAACATAGATATATAGGGGTTTTCTGTTTTGTATTTAGAGGACGTTAGATAAAATAATTCACAATGTAATAGATTTTTTACTTAAATTGTATTGATGGAAATATAGGTGGATAATTTAAATCATGGATTGATATCACACAAAGAATATAGAGCACTAAACAGATGTTATAATGTAAACTGGTGCTCTTTACAAAATATTGCACATAAACAAACTTTAGACAACTAAGTATTTCAGTGACTATAATATATTCAGACTCTCGAAGCCAGTAGTGTGAATATCTAAATTTCAGATATTACTTGATGATAGATATTAGCATCAACGTGTTTGTTAAATATGCACGATTAATAAAACTGATCTCAAGATAACTTTGATCACGAACTAACACCGGCCGAAAAGCCGCTGAGAATTATTGTAATTTAGACACTGAATTTTTTATTGTTACACTGACCGATGCGTTCCTAAATTAAAATCACTTTCGAATTATTTAAGATCTTGATGAGGTAACCTTTATAAATAATAAAATCAAACAGGAAAAGATGACATTTGTGAAATATATTTTAAGTAAGTCTCTAGCCCGATTTATTTACATAATGCATCATTTAATATGCATTCATATGAAAAGTGTTTTGAAGAAAACAGGTACCCCAGAGTTTCAAACTCTGTTTATCTTTCTCCCTTAACCTTTCCGTTTTTTCTTCGCTGTAGTTTTCGGTGCATATTCCTAAAATACGTCTGATTGGGTGTTTTCGTAAGAAGTCCAATAAAAATGTAGTTAGTATAAAGAGAACGATTGATCTATCAATAGTTGGAAAATGAATTCATGGACTGATGTTAGCCATTGGAGACAGCTGACAACTAGCTGTGCACCAAGATCTTGAATTATTTACGACTCATCAGAAAAGTTCATTTCCAACTTAGGGGGAAATGGTGCTGTCAAGTGAATAAAAATTCTCTCAATCTCAGACTTTATTCGTTAGCTATACAATCTGCTATCGGCCCTTGATAAAGATGAGATGTTTACATTAATTAGTAAATAGTTTTATGTTTATACATTTCTGAGTATTTATCAGATTTTATCGGCCAAGTTCTCGTATGTATATTAGTCTTAGTGACTCGACAACTTCAAGCAAACTTCCAAATTTTTACCTAGTATGATCCCAATCTACTATCACCTTTAACTTTAGTTTGTATACATATTAGGAGACGAAAGTAAATTCTGTTGATCCATCATATCTATATTATTTGAATATATTTACTATGATCATCTATATGGCATGTTCATATATATATATATATATATATATATATATATATATATATATATATATATATATATATATATATATATATATATATATTGTATCGACCAAATCGCAACACTACACGGCATTGTGGAACAATTAGTTGAATGGAATTCATCACTCCACGTATATATGAGATTTCTATTGATTATTAATGAAATTGTTATAATTAAAATAATGCTGATATGAGTTATGATTTAAAAGTTATCCAAAATGTACTCATAAATACGTTTTTCCATAATTTAGACACTGATTCATAACCTTAAATATAGCACCATTAAAAAACTTGGGCGCCACATGACTACTTAATAGAAAAATATCTCATACATATACTTTATGATAAAAATCATACAGAAACAACATTATACTAAATTATAGATGTTTAATATCTTTTTCCATTAAGAGATAAATACATATTGAACTGTTATTTGTTATAGTTAGTTAATTTTACACTTGGATAAATGATGTATTGTAAATGAAAACTCGACTAGATGTATATTAATAAAAAAAGTATTAAAGTGATTAGAACCAATTGTAGAGTTAATCACTTGCATCATGATTACTTTTAGGGTAGTATTAGGTGTATTATTTTATTGTATCATTTAGAATACTTTGTAGAATCATATCTATTCTCTCATTTGTTTCAATAAATATAAATGTAACAGAATGTATGAACTACTATAAATATTTATTGTTTTAACTGATATTTGTAAATTTTATAATGTAAGTGTAATACAGTATTCATTTTATTAGCAGTTAATTACTGAAAGTGTGTGTGTGAGGGGGGGGGTGTAAGGGTAATTTAATGATAAAGTATTACTCCATTATTCATGGTAATAAACGTGGATAATTTAGAACCAATGAAAATTTATTATTTTATGATTTGCAATTATTGAAAGAAAAACTAACAGATTGTAGAGAGAAAAAAAGAAACAAATGGCTACTTTACAACTGTTTAAATGATTTCTCATAGTCAAACATGGTTACTCCAAATGAATTATAACACAACTGTTAATTTGCCTAGAGTTGCATTTCATTGTTTTAGCTTTCAATAGTTCTTTATTAAACGATATTTTTTTAAAATGCGTATAGATTTTTTAACAAAGAAACTAAAAGTCATTCAGTCTTTCAGAAGATGCAATTCGAAATTTTCTAAACACAGCAGAGTGCTTAACATGTATGAGATGAGTATCAATAATACACTTGAATAAAATCTGTTCTATTTTGTTGATGTCATCAAACAGAGAATCAGCGGAATGGAATTCAAAGATTAACAAGTGGTTTATTATTGGGCTTTGCCACTGATTTGGAAGATTGAATAATCTAGTTAAAGGTCAATATCACGTTTATCAGGTGTAAAATACTATTGAAGCTATTACAAATGCATTCATTAATTCTGTGAGACTAATTTTGTGCTACACTAAACCATAACTGGAAAATGTTGTATTCTGAAAGTAGTAATTTTGATGTATTCAACCAAATCTAAGTTATTCATTTGCTTTTGACCATTTTTTTTCTTCAGAAAACTGTCTAATTTTGCATAGTCTGATGAAGTTCTTTCAACTACTTATGATTAAACACGAGTATGACCAAGTATTTTTAGCTTTTCATTACATTTCTACGCTTATTTATACATGTTTTACAATCATAATAAAATTATTACTAATGAATAAGTGATGCATCAGATGACAATACAGAATACCTGAAACTATTTAGAAAGATAGTTACGAATGATTCAAAAGGTAATTGAAATGATGAAGATTGATAAGGTTGTTACAGTGCTCAAAGATATTATTCAAAAAATTAATCGATATATACGACGATAAATTTAAACTATTTATTGACTGATAAGAGACCCTGAAAATTTTGTTCAGTGCAATTTTATTTAACAAATACTTTTGATTAGACTTTGTTGAAACAGTGGAATATGATCGATAGTATGGGATCAGCAGGTAGATGAGTATAATTTTGCATTAGTTACTAATTGGTAATCAATTAGTGTAAAGACTGTGAAGACTAACAAAAAGTATAATAGATCTAAACAGATTTGTAAAATTTACATTTATTTACACTACCTTTTTCATACTATTTTAGGTAAAGTTCCACTGTTTTAACCACTTATCAATTACAAAATCGATCAAATAAGTGAATTATAAACACTTTCAATATCAGTGCTTAGAAATAATTTGAGTCTAACCTGATTAATATTACTTAATAAATATTAATAACAGTATGACAATAATTCTCAGTAAACTGTGAAAACTGAACATGCTGAGGCCTGTATATGCAACAAGTGAGCTACGATATAGGGCATAAAATATCCTATTTTACATAAAAATTCTTTATTAAACAGCTACTATTTTTCCAGCAATTGCACTTTAACAATTTAAGTAATAGTTTTGTTAGTTTGGTAGAATAAGTATTGGTAGATGCATTAAGGTTTTGGGAGAGGATAAAAATGCGCAATGTTTCGTTAAGAGTATATTACATTATTATTAAAGTATATCTTACCACTTTCACAATGGCTAACACCATCTCCTCTGTAGCCAGGTAAGCATTGACAAAACGCTTGATTTGGATCAATACAACGAGCATGGGTATGACAATTGACAGAACCACACTGTACACCGAGATAGTTAGTTACTAAAAAAATATGTATACTAAAATTAACGGTTTTATAAATTATTTCAAGTTGTTACACATTGAATTAATGAATATATCAAGTTTCAATGTCTTAATAAAAATAAGTATAGTAGTATGATTCTAGTATTATGAACTAAATATCTTTGTTTCTTGTAGAATATATCAAAATAAAAAAAAGTTACGTCTAACAACATATGACCGACGATTATGTTCAACAATTAACATAAAATTGAAAGATTTGGAAAGTAGCCACAATTAAAAGAATTTAAACCCATTAAGAAAACAATAAATTCATCATACCGAGCATTTGTCATTTAAAACAGTGAGAATAAAAAACCTACAAAAATACAATCGAACAGATGTTTCTTAATTTAATAGTTGAAATCATGAGCCAATTGAAGCTAGACCACTATGGAAAACCTGCAAGCACTGGACGGCCGTTTTGTCCTATTTTGGAACTCATCAGCAGTGCGCATCCACGATCCCGCCCTGCGGAATTCGAACCCTGCTCGCATGCGAGCGCTTAATCACAAGAACTCTGAGCCGGCATCTAACAATGTTAATGTCTAACTTCAACCAATCTGCGAAGTTGAGCCACATGTCCACCATTGTCTTCAGTGAGTTACTATCTTAATTTGAAAACTTTATCAAATGGAATATTTCTATATGATTGAGTAAAATATCACGTGGTATAAATAAATTAATATATTTGTAATATCCCAATGGGTAGAAAAATTAGATTTTTTGACGTTTCGTGACTTAGTGTAAGCCACTTCTTCAAAGAATAAATAACCTGTTTTTTGATTGATCACACGTAATGTTCTTGTGTTGTTCCTTTGTATTGTTTAAACTTGGATTAATTTTGATTGGGTCATTTGTTCTCTGAAGACGTGGCTTACATTGAGTCACGAAATGTCAGAAGATTTAATTTTTCTACACATTGGGATATTACAAATACATCAATGTATTTATAAAAATCTACACAATGCTCCATTTATTGAAAATTATCAAGTCAAACCTTGGTAATGATACTTATATCATGGGTTATGATCGAAATTTATGGACTGTTTCAAACGACTGGTAGCTATTTGAAACTGTTTAGGAAACAAGTTAAAAATCGACCCTTTAAATTTGAACCTCCATTTTTTTCAACAGTAGTCCGATGAATTATCATTTAGTTCTACTCATGAACCTATATTAGTCAACCACTTTATTGTGTAGATCAAACTCAAAAACATAAAGCTTTAAGCAGAAATAATGAATACTTATTACCGAAATATGAATGATACAGTATAAAGCCGGCAGAATTATTATTTAACGTAAATGATTACAATAAAATAAAAATATCCTAGAGAATAATTCATTTATTTGTTTGTTAATAGTTAACTTACCATCCACCAATGAAGTAGCTTATAACACCAAGTGGAATCCATGAAATAAAATGAATAAACAAGATACAAATTTAAAACAGAAGTATAAGAAAATTCTTTTAAAACAGCTTAGAAATATTATGTTAGAATAAATTATTATTAACTTCTCAACGAAGTAAAATATTTCATCACCTTTCAGAAGATCTAATAAAGGTTTTGTCAGTTAAAAAATATTTTTCTCGCTAACATACTACTGACACTGTTCATCACTGATTTAGCAGTAGTATCACTAGTATTTGATAGCTTCATATTTTGTATCGATTCACCACTTTCAACAAGTTAATGGATAGCTTGACAATGTTTTTTCACTTGCTCAAGTGTATTTCATTTATGTTCGCTTTTTTTGTAAACCACAAGCTTTATTTGATGTATCGGAGTGCAATTGTTTCGATATAAAACTTTAATTTCAGTCGTAAAAAGATATATAGGAAACCGAATAAATCATTTCGGACATTTTGAACAAGAAATGAAAGAGTTATCAATTGCGCTAGAGCGAAAATAATTTTTTATTGATGTCATCTAGGGTAAGGATTTTTAAGGGCCATTTAAGATTTACATGATAGATTTTGAATGAACAGATATTGGTAATGTCAAATGTGTGCACAACATTGTCAATATTGAGATATATATTTTTTGAATTGTAATCAGAGGGATCATAGAGACAGAGACAAATCTGTTAGGGGTTAAAGGTCTACACAGAAAGAAAGAAGGGAAACAGATGCTTGTGAAAGAATAAGGCATGAATAAGATTGTTTGATGTCCAGCCTAGAAAACAATTAATTTCAAACGACTATTGATAATCTACACTTTTATAAAATGTGCGTGGATGATGCCTTTATTATCTGTGACAATAGATATAGTGTGAATCATCCTCTGAAGACATTTAATAACTGCTACCCGGCAATAAATTTCACACGAAGTTGAAAACAAATAAAATATTCTCTTCCTTGATGTAGAGATGACACGAAAACATGACAAAACTCTGAGATCTATCTACAAGAAACTCTTGTGGAATAGCCAGCTTTCAAGTTTTCACAGCGACTTTGAGAATAGTGTCTTCCAGCCGATCAATGCTCATCAATAATCTTAAGGTTAAATGATTCCATTTGACCCATTCTCTGTGTGTTTATCAATTTATCTGTGCATATGGAGCTAGGTATATAGGTTTTTCAAAGAGGCTTTTATTCAAAAAAATCTGAGAACATTAACCGGCTTGGCAAAAAGAGGTGGAAATGGCTCAATAAGAAGTTCAATAATCGAACACCTTGTGAACACAGGTCATTTACTCAAAGCGGATTTCGCGTTCAAAGTCATCTATAAGGTAAATAAAAAGCTGCCAAAGGAAGTTATATTCCATCTTCCTAGTATTGTTGAGTCACTTGATAGACATCTAGAAAAACCAGAGTTAAGTGTCCGAAAGAAACTGGTACAACTTATTCTTCTACTATGGTCTAAATCTCTTGTAAATCTTCTCATTCTTGATACTTCTTTCACAGACATTTGACTCCTAAATGATTTGTCTCTGTGATCCCCCAGATTACAGTTCATCTCTATTTCAACATCTTATCTTATCACATCGACCCTTCCGTTCCCAATTATAATTTCATTATCTATCTTCATGCTCTCAATAACAAAATTATTCTCCTAAAAATATTTCTTAACGAAAAATGAGTGATTTATATGTTGGTTGGAATTACAATGAACATTTTGAACAAGAATTTTCAGTGTATACTCATACTAGTATAGGTAGTAACAAAATACCGGATCCTGTACGCAGTAATTTTAGATGTTTTAAATGTCAAGAAATCGTTTATTTGTACATGGATTGAGCGAAAGATGAAACTTCATTTTTATGCTAACGATTTTAAATTATTTCCGTACATGATAATGCGAAAATACTAAACTATACATCACTTGTTACGATATGCTGAACTTCTAATGTTTTGACATCAGTAGGGCAGCAACAGGTTTACAATTATTTTTTTATCATCGTTCAGTTCTATATCGTATATCAACCAATTCATATTACTTATTCTTGATCAGGAAGTTCTGTAAGTAATTCGACATTCAGAGATAAGTTGTCTAAGGTTCAGCTTGATGGATGATTTGGATAGAGCTTAGTAGTATTTCAATGAACCTACTGTAGAAAATATATTTGCTTTTACCCAGAACTACATTAAAAGTGAAGTTTATTGAACAAGAAATAGGAGTATCATAAATCTTTTTTAGATGTACTGAAAGCACTGAAAAATTTTACGAAATCGAAGACTAATACAGACAGTCATGACAAGTGTCACTAAGGTTACTAACCAATTAGGGTATCTTAACTAAGTCATTCCCTGATTCTGACTAACTACGTTTAGTTTGATTCGACACTTCAAAATTGTCGAAATTCAAACTTCCAAACACAAACCGGGGCATTTTGTCTTATTTTGCTGATTACTGATGTTAGTTTTAATCCCTACTTTACTTAGTTACTAACGCCCGTCACTCCCGATGGAGCATAGGCCACCGACCAGCATTCTCCATTACACTCTGTCACACTCTGCCTTCCTTTCCAGTTCTATCCAATTTTTGTCCATTTTTCTTATTCTGTCTTCATTTCTCGGCGCAATGTGTTCTTTGGTCTTCCTCTTTTCCTTTGGCCTTGAGGATTCCATGTGAGGGCTTGCCATGTGACGCAGTTCGGTGCTTTACTCAATGAGTGTGTGTCCTATCCACTCCTAGCGATTCTTCCTCCACTGGAATCTGGTTTGTTCTCTCCCACAATAGGTCGTTGCTAACAGATCCGAAGTATTCTGCATAGAAAGCTGTTAATGAGCACTTGTATCTTCTGGATGATGGCTTTCGTAGTTCTCCAGGTTTCCGCCTCATACAGTAGAACTATTTTGACATTTGTATTGAAAATTCTAACCTTGGTGTTGGTTGACAATTGTTTTGAGTTCGAGATGTTTTTCAGTTGTAAATATGCTACTCTTGCTTTGCCGATCCGTGCCTTCACATCTGCATCAGATCCACCGTGTTCATCAATCATGCTGCCCACCACATATGTAAAGGTTTTTACATCTTCCAAATGTTATCCGTCAAGTGTGATTGGATTGTTGCATGCTGAGTTGTATTGAAGATTCTTGCTTTTCCCTTTATGTATTTTGAGACCTACTTCTGCTTCTGCTGCTGCTCCACTAGTCGTCTTCTCCTGCATTTGTTGTTGCGTGTGCGGTAGAAGAGGCAGATCGTCTGAGAAGTCTAGATCGTTCAGTTGCATCCTAGCTGTCCACTTTATCCCATGCTTCCCCTCAGATGTTGACGTCTTCATGATCCAGTCGATCACCGGGAGAAAGTGAAAAAGTGAGAGTAAGCAACCATGTCTGACAACGGTCTTTACCTCGAACGAGTTTGTCAAGTGTCCTCCATGCACAATTAGCTTTAATCCATAGAGTACTGTATTCTAGTCGTCAATATTTACCTGAATTAAAATATCACGTTTATAACTGACTGTGCAAGATGTTCCAAAATACATGCGCTTTATATATTTTCTACCGGATTTCGTTTCGCATTAAAAATAGAGATTACATTCCAACTTCCAACTTATATATATCCCAAGATATTAATAAATCCGATTTTTGATATCCTGCTTACATGGTTTTAGTTAATGGTCTGAGGGCTAAGACCCAAAAAATGCATAACTTACCTTGACATGTATTGTCAGGCATTAACTTCAAGCCCTGACCACATTCACATCTATAACTCACGCCCTCTGGTCGACACACTTCACCATGACGATCACACGTTACACAGTCACAAGGACCTGAAATTGCATGAATAGAATTTTATAAAAGTTTAAATAAAACTTATGTGGAAACACATTAAACGTCATAGAGAATCGCATCAAATTTAAACTAACGCAAGATGGATTTATTCAGCTTAGCGGGTCAAAATTATATTACATTACTTTTATAATACGAACATGAGTTTTGATCCAATTGAACTTTTCCGAAAACCGATTTATTCATATAAATAACTTATAGAAAGGAACATCTTAAAATAAATAGTTTTTCTACAGGGCAAACCGCTGCTTATTCTCAGAAACAAATGAGTTACAGTTCCTTCAGTATTCCACCATCATAATTTACGATTAACTGCTGAATCCACACACAATGCTAGACCACTATTGAGACCTTGAGGCACTAGAAGGCCACTTTATCTCTATAGTGGGGCTCCTCAGCAGCTCATATCCAATACCCTGAACTCGGAAGTCGAACCATGGACTCAGTGTCTTGCACAGACGCTTACCTATAGACCACTGAGCATTCAATGATTTGATCTGTAACAATCCATGAGCTTGGTCAAACCTTCATTCGTGCCTTGCGGTGGGTGACAACCTCACACCTGACACGGATTGAACTCTACCGATCCCAGCTTCTCACTAGAACTCCAAGAGTTACATAATAAAGTCAGTTACTAGTGAGCACATGATTGTGATTAGTATGGGGGGATTTGTGAAGAATGTAGTATTTTCACTCCTGAAATTACAAAATAATCTTAGTTAGACTACCTTTAGAAATCGCGATTTCAAGAGTGAAAATACTGAAATATTCGCAAATCCCTTATACTGATATTCTAATCATAGACTACCATCAGGAATCCATGTAAATTTCCATATGTTCAAGGCTTCATCGAATTTCAAACCAATTTGATTGTAAGTCGGAGATGACGTTTACATACTATACAAATACATAGGGAATTACAAGCAAGGGATAGATAATGTACCAAAATTACTGAGAAAATAAATAAGTTTCAAGTATGATATGAGAGCAGGTGATAGACATCCATCTATCTATAAAGTTAAAAATGTTTACAATTGATTAATCACTGAGTAGTGTTATATGTCATGCTTGTCCTGTCTACTACCTCCAATCATTTAACAGTCAAATATGTCACAGGGTTGTCGTTTGTTCAGCCATTGTGGTATTGTATACAAACAGCATGGCAAACGTCTTTTGGAGCCATAGTTATACAAAAATTGAATCTACCTTGGATGTTCGGAAACTATTTATACTTACACCATACCAGTTTGATTATACTAGTTTAATTATAGTATCCAGAATTATATGAGTAACGTCGTTTTTTCTTACTGCCATTGTTTATTTTTATGCTTCCACTTGCTAAGCTTCATCTTTAGTTCTCATACAAGAATCTCAATAGGTTATTATATGATTAAACTGTATGAAAAGTGTTGAGTTAATATATTTCATAGGTCTGTTAAGCTTCGTCTTCTCACTGTACAATATGGTTTAATCCAAGCGACTAATTGTTGTTAATTCCAGTAAACCTTTATTAACTATTTTTGTTGTGGTATAATAATAACATTTGCCTAGTAAGCATTTATTCGTTCTATTCAATGTCATTTATTTTCTAATTTTTATATAAATTTTGATCTAGATGAAGTTTATTAATAGGGTTCAAATGGACATTTTCATATTCAACAATGTCGACATTTTCTCACTACATCTCAGATTTATGCTTTTATATCACATCACACAGAGACACTGGTAACATTGGTGTATAATATCCATTTATGTTAGCCTAGATGTGAAATTACATCAACTTATCATTGGATAGATTTTTTCGTGAAAATTTCATGGCAATATCTGTGATTAGATTTGTAAACGGTCACATCAGATATTATACTTTAAGTACTTGTAATGAAGTTGGTGAAAGTGGACAGAAGTTAAATCACGAACACTATGACATTGTGCAAAACTTTTTTTATAACACAACTAAAACTATATTAATTAAAGCATACTTGCTTTAACAAAGAATTTTATTTAAACTTACTTGGTTCTGTAGCTAATAATAAAGGTTCATCTACACAGAACAAATTGCATGTGCCATCTGGTGATGAACAATCCTCACTACAGTAACCACGATCTTTGAGACGAATATAATACGATTTATCCCTAGGTATAGAGCTGACTTGTTTGAGCAAGCAACTTTCTGACTCAGCAACAGCAGACCAGCTTACATTAATTTCTTCAGGAAAATTACTTATTTCATTTGAGTCACGATGCTCAACAATAAATTTAACAGTTTGCTCTGGAAATACAACACGGCCATGATCATCAATTTTATAATTAGCGTAATACGTTTTATCTGGCTTATCAGAAGCACTATAAGCCTCTATATAAGACTGATCGAGTAGGTTTAAACTTTCTGTACTGAACGCCTCTAACTGTATTACACCATTGGCGTATGCTCCTGTTGTGAAATCGTGTAGCTCAAGTACGGCTTGGATTGTAAATTTCCCAACTCTTTCAATATCAAACTGGAATAACACTTTGAAAGGACGTTGCAATCCATTTCCTAACGTGAAAAGATTATAAACACGTTCACGTTTCGGAATATTTTCACAAGGACTAGAAACCATTGAATTTAAAATATGAAATACAGGTGTAATTAAACGCATAGTTGAATATATTCTGTCGTTTGTTCGGCCACCACGAATTCCGCTAGAACTGCGTCTTAGTGAACCATGTTGAATATCCAGATAGATAAGCAGAGGTGAACTGGTATTCTCAATACCAAAGCGTGTGGTTAGGGAACCAGAAAAAGAAAATTTATGATCATTGACTGAAATATAAAGAGCGAAGGAAACATATATTATACAGTGTATAAACATTTATCATGAATTTGTAATGTACAAAGCAAAACCTACTTATGTATGACATGAACATTACTTCATAATATATATTTACATATTTTGTCTTGCTAGTGTGTATTTTTTTACGATTAGTTTACTACAAAATGTTCCTAGGTAACGAGATGAGTAATAAGGATACCATAAGACAAACTACATTGTACAATAAAGACATGATGTAGGTTTTATGGTTGATAACTTAGTGTTAAGAGTTATTGATATACTCAGAAGTCTGATAAATCTAAACTACGACTGACCCATCCAAAGATCTTATATACATATAAATTTGAAACTAATCAAGTAGTAACTAAAAACAGCTTTCCAGTTAATTATTGTACTATAATATTCGAAATGCTAAGCTTATATAACATTGTAGAAGTTTGATAAAGTCCAATCCTATGTCGATAGTAAACTTCTTTGACAAACTTATGTAAATTTTTAAATTTAAATAAAAGTCAACGAGAATAACTAGTAACTAGCATTCAGAAGAAATATTCATTTACACGCTAATATATAAAGAATACTGATAGGTTTACATCATTTAATAAAAATGGTGAACACGTTCAGTTGCTTGACCAATAAACAGAAGTCTGGAGCTATTTCTAAAAGGCTAAGCAGAGAGGGAATAAATGAAATGACTATCAGTGTTAATTCATTCAACAAATTCAAGAATACGCATGGTATAGCTTCGATAGATCCACATTTACAATGATGGTGGAAACAAATACATTTTATTGTTACCGAAATCAGTGAGATATTATTCTTCAATTAACATTAATCTTAACTCCAGATATCCACTAGTTGTCCGAGAATCGTATATTCAAAATGAGCGATTTAGGCATATTCACTAATATCCACAAGTCAGAGGGTTCAAAAATGTAGACTATGATCAATGAGCCAAATAATAGAACACTATATGAAATAATTTAAGCTAGTTAACTGAAAAACGTGACCCAGTAGGGTTGGATTGTAGTAACTGATTTCCTTGCACTTTTCATACATTATCAGAACTATTGATGTTAAGATCAATATAATTTACGAAAATATTTGCTAGTTTTTGTCACAGATACATCAAAGCATTGTAGAAATCTAGGGTAGTTAATTAAATTCTGACTGTGTATCCTAATTTTTACGAGTAGTAAGTGATTTGCAAACTTCATCGAAAATTTTGAGATTTCACCTTTTCATTTGAGATTATATTTATTTAACCAAAATCTACTTCAGCTGTGTTAAGAGTTGGAAGTTTAAAGGGTGGTTACTTTAACGATGGACTTTTACCTGACAGTTGTTAATTCGAAACCTCTTGGCTCAAAATTATTATGATGTCATGAAAATAGACGTCAGAGAAGTTATAGGCTAAAGTAAAATAGTTGTCTGACGTGATGAGTAGACAAAATTAAATTTGGTTACATTGTGAGTTTTGTTCAACATAGCATTTGTTTTTAAGTCAATATAATGGTTATTTGTTTTACTGATAGGGTGATATTTTACCCACTGTATGATAGATTTATTTCAATGTGGTATTTATTCAACCGGGTCAGTTGTGAGATAGCAACTCATTGATGACAATGGTGTGTGTCGCTCAATTTCGTGGATTAATTGAAATTAGAGATTGACACCGTTGGATGCCGGCTAGCTCAGTGGCTAAGCGCTCGCGCGCGAGACTGATAGGTCCTGGGTTCGAATCCCGCGAGCGGTATCGTGAATGCGCAATGCCGAGAGGTTTAACAATAGGACGAAACGGCCGCCCAGTGCTTCCAGGTTTTCCATGGTGGTCTAGCTTCAATTGACTCGTGATTCCAACTATTGATATAAATGAATGTATTTCCGACTAGGGTTGTTGCGTTTTGAAGGGGTTAATTATTCACTCGTACCAGTCTTTTGTGTTCATATTTTACGTCTCGGAGATTTTAGTGTTTCCTCATTTTCAAGTGTAATAGGGAGACGAGGATATAAAAAATATCTATCAATTTGTGCATGGTTTAATTACCTTTACAGCTGATGTCGGCTTAAGATTTAAAGAAACACTATCATGTCCATTTCACGAGGTCACTTGAGTTTTCCAAATGCGTATACAAGTTTTTAAACATAGATAGTTCAAGGAATAAAATTTATATCGAAAACCTACCAGTCAATCAGTCATAAACCTCATCAATCTCGGGTAGGGAGTGAAGTACTTTGCCTTCAATATAATTCTTAATGTGGTAAATCAAGTTATTTCATCACGTTCCGATAATACTTTCAGATTTTCACATTAGAAAACTACCTTACAGGTATTTTAATACAAAGATTTGAAAACAAGTCTAATTGGAAGACTTGTTCATTTAGATTTGACTACCGAGTAATGATATGAATATCAGCGCAAATTTTGATCACTACTTTGCTATTTCGAAAAATTATTAATATCACACAATCAGATTAATTGGTATGTAAACTTAAACATATAGTTATAATTACAGACCAACTTTGCATTACATAACAAAATGCATATATATATATATTTTTTTTTCAGTAACAAGTCTTTCTAACCTTCGGACCAACACTTGGCATCTCCTGCACCGTAAAATCCATCACTGCATACACAGCAGGCAGAGTTGTCAACTCGATAGCATTCTGTGTTATGACTATTACATTCACTAACAGCATCACATTTCACCAAACTGTTTGAAAACGTTTCATTCACGGATTTGTATTCTCCCTTATTATCGATTATATCTTCTTCACCATCATCGTCATCACCCAACGGGTGTATAGTGACTGGTACAATGAGAGCTAATGTAAAATAAACCAGCATGTCATGATATTATCATAAACTCATCATTTATGAATAAACAAAAGCATTAGGTATTAGTTGGTGAATAAAGTAAACCATGTAGAAAATCAATTTATAGCCGACGAAAGTAGGGACGCATCCTAGTATTAGAAATAATGAACACAGTACTTAGTAAATTATAATAAATTTGTCATAAAATCAATCTCATAGGATTTTTGTGCACCGCTATAAATGAACCAAAATGATTCAAATAGAATTCCATTTCAAATGAATTTCTCTGCTTATATTTACAGTTGTTATGATGAATTAATTAGTTTAAATATACATTCACCATAACAGAATGATAAAAGTATAGCAACTATCCTACAACCAATTTTGATGATGGTTAATTTTGGTTAAGCCCTTTTATTAACTTACTTAACAAATAATATCATTTGAACAGGAACAGTTCGCATATTTCCTTGTATCGTTATGATCGCTAGAGGACATAACAGACTAGCTAAAATGTTGATTGCTTAAGTATCACTCAATGACTCATCTTCCTCCTTACTTACTTACGCCTGTTACTCCTCGTGAAGGAGCATAGGCCACTCACCAGCATTCTCCATCCAACCTTGTCCTGGGCAATCCTTTCCAGCTCCTTCCAGTTGTTATTCATCCTTTTCATATCTGCTTTTATTTACCGACGTAATATGTTCTCCGGCCTTCCTCTTTTCCGCTTCCCTTCAGGATTCCAAGTTAGGGCTTGTCTCGTGACGCAGTTTGACGATTTGTGTAATATATGTCCTATCCATTTCCATCGTCTTTTCCTAATTTCTTCTTCAGCTGGAAACTGGTTTATTCTCTCCCACAAAAGGCTGTTGCTGATGGTATCCGGCCAATGGATGTTAAGTATCTTGCGTAGACAGCTATTGATAAATACTTGCACCTTCTTGATGGTTGTTGTAGTTCTCCAAGTTTCAGCTCCGTTCAGTAGAACTGCCTTGACGTTGGTATTAAAGATTCTCACTTTGATATTGGTTGAAAGTTGTTTTGAGTTCCATATATTCACCAATTGTTCTTCAATTCATCCTCCTCCCTATGTATATCTGTACTCAAATCCTATTATTAGCCTTTGCCTTGCTGTGCCCTTATTTAATTTGACCATAAATCTGCCAATGTGATTGCTCATATATACTTATTCACCTTTCCGCTTCAAATTCGTTCGATGTGCTTATAGCGTTGTGATATGCGTTATCCCCTAATAAATTGTAGTTGCCGCTTCTTATTGCCTTCTAATTTTAATCACCGTTGAGATTTATATTATAACGGTTATCGAACTGATCGATTAACAAAGCAAAGCCACTACAAATTCGAATTCCAGCAATTTACATACATTAGTTGAGCATGACAAATCGAAATCCGTTTTTTTAAAAAATTTTACTTAATAAGTGGTGCTATGGTTATTCGATTAGTATAATTTTTTTCATCATAATCATTTCTTCATTTCGTATTTGCGAATTATCAGCTATTTTCGGTGGCCTATTCTCCATTGGGGGTAATAGGCGTAAGTAAATAATTTATTATCTTTTCATTAATGGTTATCATTAAAAAATTCCTATTTATGAAAAGATTTACAATAACCACTGAAATATTGTTCTTTTTAGAACAACAGTCTTTCTAATGAACCATAATGTGAGTTCATTTTGATAGTGTTGAGATTTTATTAGTATAAAATTTTGTAAAATTAGAAATTGGTAATTCCGTTGGAAGAATACTGTTAAGAAATAAAGTTGGACACAGATATGACGTAATTATATACGTTCTTATGTTATTTTGATTAATTTCTAGTCCTTTATCGTATGCAGAATGAGAAGTGATTTCATCGTTTGGTATATATCCTAGAAAAATATCTCCTAGTTATTTACGAAAGAGATTAGGGTTCACAATTATAATAGACTTAGGAGTTTAAGAGAACAGATAAAATTGGTGCACATGTTGTTATAATGAAATTACAATATTTACTCACGTTCATGTATCTCCTGCCTTTCCTCATCTCCATCATACCGACCCAAAGGATAGTAAGTTTGTGTCGTAATTCTGTCTGTGGGTGTGTACTCTTTATTATCAACAACAAATTGATTACTCTCATGATAAAAGTTATCCACAGTTTCATTCTCTGGTAGAATATTCACTTCATTTTGATCAATCGGATCAACACCTGAGAATTCAGTTTCATCTCTTAGGATATTCCATGCAGCTTTCGGTACATTTTCAGTCATTCCATAACTATAGTCATTTGATGAGACGTTAAGATCATAGTTTTCAAAGCTTTCCAAAGCTCTTTTAAAACTCTGTGTTCTATCAATCGGCTCTTCTGATCTATTGTCAATGTTTTCATTTTTAATGACGACCGTATCAGATGGTGTTTCATTATTTGACTTATGTGAATGAAGTGAACCCTCACAAACACTTGTCAAAGATGTAACAAATTCACTGGCAACTGCACTTAAATTCTTAACATTTATTTTAGCTATATTTTCCGATTTGTATAAAGGAACAAGCCATTCTCCATGTAGAGCTATGTTTGTTTCACTATGATGAAAAAAAAGATAAAAGGTTAATAATTCTGTTTAGTGAAACATGAATAATTTAAGATACATTTCTCATCAAAACCATTTCTGAAATGTGGAATTAAAATATGGAAGATTAAATAGAAGAGTTAGTTTTCATTTATTAAACAAGGAAGTATACAACTGGGACCGAATAACCATCAAGCTCTTATTATCTTCAATGTTTCTCCATCAGCTTATAGTATCAAACCACTCCACATAACAACAATAATAAATTTCTTCATAGTGAGTATTTTGTCTAGCTAAGTGTTATTTTCAACATAAGTAATAAATTTTACAGAAAAATAACGATTTACATAGTTTTGTAAATTTTCATACAAAAAGTGTATTAACCAGAATCGTACTTAAGCATTAACAAAATTTCCTAGTTATTATGAAAATCCTTTAAACTATCCAGTTACTGAAGGACCTTAAAAATTATACATTTACTGTTAAATATTTTAATGTATTACTTACGTTAACCATATATTTGGTTCTACAGCTTGAGAACTTCTTGGCAACTGATAACCTCCAAAAGGTCTCATAAATATACCAGATTCAGGTGGTAAAGCTAGATTCTCTGCGACATTATTTTCATTCCACTCAATTTTTATGTATTGCATGAAAGCGTAAGAACGTATTCCATTAGAAATTATTATCATTCCATACGTATTAGCCTGTTAAGTTAAAAAAAAACCATAACTCAAAGCTAATTCAATACCATTAAACTTTTTAAATACGATTACACAACTAGTGAAAATTGTTTATAAGAAGTAATAAATGGCTTTAAGATTAGTCATTTAACAACATCTCTATCTGTTTAAAGATATGAAATGGTAGAGACTTATTTTTATATCACATGTACAAGTACAACTGACAGTGTATTTCATGCACAGCTTTTAAAGATTATTTTATTTTCTAAACGACATTATGTCATATCACATCAACAGAAAAAGGTTTTAGTGAAAGAGTACAAGCAGAAAACGTAGATATGTACCACACAAACAAATGTTTATGTACATTTAAAAGAAACTATATGGCTCTATAAATTTATTCTTGCTATTCTTACCATAAGTGTTTGGTATGTAGCACGGAAAAGTGTTATATGAACTAATTCTGAATGTATTATTTACCTAGAATCTATTAAGTTGATCAACTGTTAGAATATGTTTTCAATTTCAAATGAATTTATTAGGTGTGTCTTGTTTTTTAAGCTTCAATATAACTTCAATTATATCTTCGTAACTGATGTGATAATTTGCTTCTATTCCACCTTCTATAGATCATTAGTTTTCTAATATTAATTGCTTTAAATCTATTTACGTGATCTAAAAACATTTCTAGATTCTAGTGATTTTGAGCGACTTTTTATAATTAAGCAAATGTCTTCGTTTAACTATTCTGTTTATGATTTAATTGATCTCTTTTCTCTTGGTTGGTAGTTCAAATTTGTCAGCTTACTTGAACTAGCTATGATTCTTAATGGAAATTCGATAGTAGGAGCTCAACATTTGAAGATTTACTGTGCTAAAATTATATTTATATCAATAACATCTTATTTGCATCACTTAAAAATCGTACGTAGAAGAAGAATAAATGTTATTACACTTGAAATATACTGCTTTTGTGCCAAAGTTTTTCAGTGGTCCTTAAACCATCAAACTTATATAACATTCTGTTATAATGAAAATTAAGATATTCTGGGGTTACAGATCTGTTAATTTTTTCAATGGTATCGTTATCTGACCTTCACAGTGATGTTTGTGTGATGTGATATTTACGGTCAATTAGAGATTTTTCATTTCACACTCTTATATTATTCCACGTTGTAAATGTTGTGTGCAGTCAAGGTTTGCTGATCGGAGTATTTTTAAAGGCAATTTAATATAACTTCATCTAAAATAAACACTTAAAATATTACTCTATTGATCAATATTGAATGAATTACCAGATATTGAGCAATTTGCGACACATTCACAGGGTTTCAAAATAGATACCTTTGAAATAATAGCAGAATCATTGTCTAATACACTGATGACGTTTTTGCTCAACAAGATCTTGGAAGTTTACTTACAATAATCTTTGAGCATGCTTTCTCTAGCTTAGAGTTTCTATCTTTCCAAGCCCCTACTGCATACAGTTTGTCGAGTCCTACAGATCCTTTTGTAACAACACTGAACTTCCAATAGAGGACCTTCAAAGTCAGCATAAATTGTTTCGAAGTCATTAAAAATTTAATTGCTAATAAATAGAGTCATACTGAATGATACTAATTCATAAATAACTCATTAAAATAAAATCACAGAAAAAATTACTTTCTCGTTGATTAGGTAAGCGTTTGTCATGTTTTCCCACAGTATATGTACAATATACTGAGCTTTTAATTCAGATTCTTCGATATATGATAAATGTATAAACTTTATTAGACGATCTATTTGCATTCTCTCTACACATGGTAGTTTTGAAGGTGATAGTAAATCGATTTCCCTAAATACAAGAAGAAATATATTTTTATGCGAAATAAAAGTTAATTTAAAATTTATATTATGCGTATAAATGTAGGACTGAATTGAAACAAACTAAAGTTTGAATTTTCTAATGTTTAAGGCTTCCAAAACTCCTATATTAGCCTCAAAAGCTACTCTAAAGGTAATCCTAAGTGATATTTCAATCATTTGTTTTGCTAACAAAGAGCATGGTTTTTTTCTTCCTGCTTTTAACAGAGAATTTTATTGCCTGTTAATTCTAAAAGCATTTGGGTTCATGTTTACCATAGTTGATCGGATTGTCCGATCACTTCCTGTTTATTTAATGTAATGTTATTTATGAAACTTCGAAGCCCAAGTTCAATCACGAGCTTAGTTTTGGCAATGATAACCAGTTTAGAAGTATAGTGTGTCTTCCAGATAGCTGTTTTAGGTTATTGTTACTAACTTCTACTATTTGATTTTCCTCAGTCTTGTAAAATGATGTAAAATGTATTCATATAAGCGGAAGTAAGAAGGCCTTTAGATGTTAGACGAATTTTTATCTAATTTATAAACTTTTATGGATATCAGTTCAATCTAAGTTTTTTGGCCACCATTTACTTATCTCTTTCAAGCATATCCTTAGTGGATTTTGTTTGAGAAGCACCTTACCAAATGATGCTTACACTAACATGGACACAAACTGTAAACTTTTAAGGTGTGAGCGATCCATATGTATTTCTTATAAACTGATAGTGTTAGATTTCCTTATAATTTCGAACCAGAATATATCTAATGACAGCTTGGATATTTAAACGGTTGAATACGTTATTTTTGAATCACAGTGCACATTCAATATCGTATATCATCATTTCCATTAATAATAACTGCCCTAAAACCACCTTCAACAGAACATTTAGTACAGTTTAACTCAATTGCAAAGGTGATTTAGGTGTTAGTAAAACCAACTGCTAAAACTATAGCATATAGACATATACTTCCTATATTTAATATTTGGAAATTTAATTTAAAGCACTTACGTGACACTAATTCTTCCACATTTTCCATTATTCACTGAACTGAAAATGCTTAAATATCGTCCATCAAAATCTTGTAATCGTTGATTTGTGATACTCGTATTGACAGGATAATGTGATGGCAAATTATCATCAGAAATGCTATCTAGTGCTAGGAGACCATTTTTACGGATCTGGTAAAAGAATAATTAAGTATACAAATTCTAATAATTTAAATTTTCCAGTGTTTTATGTATAACATTGCATCTTTTAATGTTTTGCTATCGTCTTTACAGATGTAAGAATAAGAGCCTGATTATTTGTCTAACATTATTTTCAATAACTGTCTATGTTGAAAGAATAAATAGTCACAAATAATCAATGTATTTCATGTGATCACATTTTGATGGTGAGCAAAATGAAAACATATTAAGTTTTGAAATACGAAAGTTTTGAAAGCTCATAAACATTGCTACTCAAAGATCTGTTAATGTCTAGTTACTCATTTGTTTCTAGACAAGGGATAAGAAATTGAAGTAAAAATTAGTTCTGAAATTAAATCTTCATTCTGCTTAATGTATCCTGTGAGCTGTTCAGCACAGTAAGACGAGTCTTCTGTTATGGTGTTTGAGATCATATAGTTTATAATCATGGAAACAGTGTCTACGTTTATGATGAGTCAAAACCAAAGCTTGTGTATAACTTATCCAATAGTGAAAAATATTTCTACATACGTATAAATATTTAAATAGATAGAGTCATTGAAACACAGTTAGCATTTTCGAATAAAGTTTATATCACTGATGTGTGAATATCGTTTAAGCAAATTTCTGAATATTTTAGGGAGAGTTTTAAGTAATGAGATGGTGATCTTTATGCGTGACTGTAAGAACAATTAAAATATATGTGTAGTGGTAGCTCAACTGTTGAAATCTTCGGCTTTCAATTATCAGGTACCTGGTTCGAACTGCGCTTTACTTACTTAGGTTTGAACGTTCAGGTAATATCGCTAGCCCTCACACAGCTAATATTAATTAAATCACAACATATTAACTGGTATTCCATAGCTCAATTACACTGATTTAAACGTAGTATGTTGATCATTGTTTTTAATTCTTCTCTCATTCCGCTTCAAGGATTTCATAATCGAAACATCTAAAACAATTAACTTTCCCGAAATGTTTGCTCGAAAGTTTACGACTATCGAACAATTCAAATTCTTCACTAAATTATCCAACATAAAACCAATTAACTTGAAAATATTTGTCAGGAATTTTTTTAATAAAATCAGAAATTTTCAAAGTTGCAAGGTGAGAAGCAATAATTCAGTCTTGGAATTGTATAAGAAAATGGTAATTTAATTGTACTTCCCACCATAGCCTTTAATTAAAATATATAATCTTGTCAAGGTAATCAGAACGGTCAGTATAGTTTACAGAACATACTAACTTGTCATTTTCCCGAGTTCGCTTCACAAGCTATGCAGTGAAAAGGTTATACTCATAATACACTTAAACAATGGAATCATTCCTACCTTCCCTTCAAAGATGTTCTCAATTGATTAACTTCAATACATTTGCATCTTGGATCTCCTCTACGATTCCAAACATTGTCGTCATACCAAATGTTTGCTAATAAGTGGTATAAGAAATCCAACCATTAAACTTAACATCATTTTTCCCCGAGCAAGTTAAACATTTGCTTTTGGTACAGTCTTTAGCCAACCAGATGTAAATGTAAACAAATCAAGTTCAAAAGTCTAAATTATCCAAGCCACCTGAACTTACGATGAAAAGCACTTCATAGTGTTTAGCAACAGAAAGAACTATGCGTTTGTTAATCAACAACTGTTGTGAACCGACTTTAAATTTCATTAGTTCCAAATGAAATATACCGATAGTGTTACGAATATAAATTAATTCAGTAATTATCAGCGTTAGACTGTTGTACACAATTACACACATACTCGTGAAATGCAAAAAGAAGTTTGAAATAGCTTATATTTTCAACTACGATTTATCATAGGATAAGTCTTAAACATTGATTTGTAACATCATTATAGGTAATGATAAACCTCTTTTTTTCTTGTTATTCCGGCTTAAAATCTAATTTCCTTAGTGAAAAAAATAGTAATTACAATGTCTTAGTTACTATTTCTACCCAATGTTGACCTTTTCTTACACGTATATGTTTAAAAAGTCACCAATCTACTGTATTTTCACCATATTGTATTTTTTTGATTGACGTACCTATAAATCTTATATTTCGGTAACAGTTGTTTGAGCTACCGGAGAATTATCGAATAGATACTTTGGAATATTTCAGGATTTTAAGTTACATTTTCTTGTGAAAATGTTATTTAAAGGATTTCGGTGACGATATAGTGAAGAAAAAAACACTATGGAAAGTTTAATATGGGCAAAACGTGTGGTGAATCTTTAATAAGTCAATATTTAAAATGAAGGGATATATCATTTTTAAATTAAATAAATAAGCTACCATTCTGTTCTATCCGTTTATATTCAGAATTAAATTATTTAAAGGTTTTCTATTTTCTTTAAAGTGAAACTGATCTTATAAATTTGTAGTGACCTACTTTAATAGAAACAATTAATATTATAACCAATTGTACCAGTGATTGTTTTACTGAACTTGTTTGTTTAACTGTACTAAAGACATTCTTTCTTCCGTTGATTGTGACCTTGCACGGATTCGGTTACGCTCAGTAACCGCACTTGTAACCTGGCACGATCCCGGTATTTTTTCGATACCACGAGATCGCCAACGAATACATCTCGACTATAGCTATCAATTGCCTTCTGATATTTGGCTTACGGGGGATCTTGTCGGTTAACTGGCACGTAGTCTTCCTGTGGTGGTGATCATAGTCAACCGCGACTCGACCCCACGCTACAAATTAACGATGGTTAATGTTAAGTGTATAGTTTTTTTAAAGAGTTGTAAACTTCATAAAGAACTTATGTAATCCGGAGCCTTTTGGGCACTTCCATTAAAAATAATAAGACATAATTATTGTTGTGTACTTGCATAAATATATATATAGACAGTTTGTGTTTTCAAGAATAGTACACAATAATAAAATGAACTTTGAATATTGTTTAATTCACCTTGTTATTCCAACTGAGACTGTTACATACATTTTGGCGCACACCTAGTATAACAACAAATTGTGATTAGATTTTGTTATCCGGTTAAATATTTGTCCAGTGATATGGTTTTATTTACATACTTGTCTAATCTTCCGATTGGAATCAGTAATTATTATTACATTAGTTTAGTAAAAATATAGATGCCAGTTTTTAAAGTAGACGCGCTCGTCTAAGATATACTATATATCTTCATTACCTGTTTGCGAATGGGATCAATTGGTGTATTATCGATAATACATTTGTACTTTGACAGTTTAATACATACTGTCTAAGTAAATTATGTCATCTTTTAAAATCACTTTACAAACAAGTGGCTTTTGTTCAGATGGCCATTTAATACTATGAGACATAAACTTTTAGCATAATTTATAATCATTTGTTTATAAGGTCTATATATATATATATATATATATATCCATACTCATTTTACCATTAATTACAAAGACTGATTCAACGTAAATTTATTAATGAATCTAAGCAAGTTTTCATTAAAGCTGGTTTGCTGAAATCTAAATGTTATTGTGGCCCTTTTTTTCCTAAATATTCAATCATTTAAGTTAGAGTTGCATTTTCTGCAGTAATAAAAAATATTACCAGTTCATTTGTCGATTAAAAACTTTCTGTTATTAGTAAAACATATGAGATCATTTAGTAACAAGACAGATTACAGAAGAACTTTAGTATTACAGAAAATTAGACCCCAAAACTAATTAACTTTCTATATGAGTGATAATAGTTAACAAATAAATTAGTAAAGTAAAACTGATTGTTTCATTACAGTCAATGCTCAACTAAGTAGTAAAACTCAATAAAGCTACCTTTTCAATTGCCATTTATAAGTCCTACTTTTGAAAATATCAAATTGTTTAACATTAGATATACTATCAGAAGGAGTTTGTGGAGATTTTAGAAATTTCACAGATTGAAATCATGAGTCAATTGAAGCTAGAACACCATGGAAAACCTGGAAGCACTGGACGGCCGTTTCGTCCTAGTATGGGACTCCTCAACAGTGCACGTCCACGACCCCCCCTCGTGGAATTCGAAACCAGGACCTATCAGTCTCGCGCGCGAACGCTTAACCACAAGACCACTGAGCTGGTTGGTATCCAGTGGTGCTAATGTCTAACTTCAACTAACCCACGAAGTTGAGCCACCGTACACCATTGTCTTCAGTGAGCTGACATCTGACAACAGACCTGGTTGAACTCCACTGGTAACGGCTTCTCACTAGAACTCCAGGAGTATCTCTTGAAGTCAGTCACTAGTGAGCACATGATGATTATTACCAGGGGGTCTAGAGGTCTAAGCGTTCGCGCTGGGTTCGGATCTTGTTGGTCGGGATCACAGATGCACACTGCTGAGGAGTCCCGTACTAGGACGAAACGGCCATCCACTGCTTCCAGGTTTTCCATGGTGGTCTAGCTTCAATCGACTCATGATTTCAAACTGTGAAATTAGATATACTCTCAAGAAAATTGAATTCAGGGTTATTATTTGTAATAACTACAAAACTGGAATTGAATTTTTCTTAACCATTTTTTTGACTCTTAATAATAAGATTCAATTACCAAACAATCATTCTTTCGGGTGATTGATTTCATTTAATGAAGAAAATAGATATTAATGAATGACACCAACTTTTGTATCCTTAACTATTTGGTACAATTTTTGTATCTAATGCTTCAAATTCATAATAAGTGAATAATTTTTTTTAACTTAACAATCTGTTAAAGTAATTTGTATTCATTTTTATAATTATAAACGTGAAAACTAGAAATATACTTATTTTGATTATTTTTCAGTAGTCTAACTACTAAGACAGATGTTAACACCTGTTATGTAAAAGCTTAATTAGTGTTGTGATGGAGACAAGCAGTAATTACTCATTGTGTACAATGCTTAAAATAATCAATCTACAAGATGTGATGGTTACAAATAATATTTAATTTGTCTATGACGAATGATTAAAGGAAATATTCAGATAAATTAAGTAAATAGGATTTTTATTTATGGTAAGTTTGCAAAAAAAACTATATTAGTACTAAATGGAAGTGAATGTACTCAGTATCCTGACGTTATACTGAAAAACTACCTAATCACTTAGAAATGTATCTAGGACTTAATAGATTATATGTTCAGTATTCGAGGTAAAGAATAACTTACCAATAAATTATGAATAAACTAGAAACATTTACGGTTCTGATATGTTATAATATTTTAAACAAATTACTGTTAGAATACTGAAGAGTAATTTCTAACTTGCACATCTAATATTATCATACTTATCAGAATAGTAAAAAAAAGCAATATATGCAGAGGGGAATAATCTTGTATGTCAATAGAATTAATTGGTTTCAAACACTTTAAAAAGGTAGCTCATCATATATTCCGGTGAAATGAATCTGTGTGTTTAATTCTTTGAAACAATGAGAAACAACCACGATGATCTAACTAGTAAACTTTCTTTACTTTCTACTTTTTATTTTCCTCTTAGTGTTGAGATGGTGTAGAAGGTTTGTAGGTCAGATGGATGAGTTAGATGGAGTTTTGTTCGCCGAGCTGGACTGTTTAGTCATGGAGTTATCACTGTTCTTCCGAACAGCATCATCAGCACAAACTTCAAGTAGAAGCAAAGTGTTCGAATTTTTCCACATTTGACTCACAGCTTGTTCTGTCAACCTCGATCCTTGTCTTGATTGTATCTCTTAAATTAAAGACAGACAATGACAGGTTAAAGACCAACAATAACTAACCAGGTTCAAGGTCGACAGTACAAGCTATGAGTCAAATGTGGAAATATTCGAACACTTCACTTCTACTTAGAGTTTGTGCTGATGATGTTGTTCAGAAGAACAATGAATACTCCATGACCAAACATTCCAGCTCAGAGAACAAAATTCCCCCTGAGCCTCCTAGTGTCTTTTGATATATTGTTATAATATAATATAGTCTGGAGAAATATGTATTCAGAAGTATTCCATTCGAAAACAAATTATTTTTAGGGGCTATACCCTCCTAAACAATATCGTGACAGGAAATTTAGTTAACCATTCATTATTGCATGTTTTGAAGAAGGTTTATCTCTGAAAGTTTAGTGCAGTTAAATATGTTTGAACAGTTTGTCATTAGTAATGCACAAATTTAAATAATTTAGCCAATCTGAGCGATATTAAATTTGAAATCTTTCTGAACTACGTAATAGATGATCGCAACAAACCTAAAACTCTTTAGTATTTTTCTTTTAGATGAAATTCGCCTTTGTTACATATTAAACGATTCCGAAGTTACAAACTATCTTTATTCTTCACGTATTAAACTAGGTTTAATATATATACATAATTCCAATAACTAGCTTCTAAATTATCATGTGCCAACTTAATAATAAAAGGTTAGTAAAAGATAAAACAAAATTCTGTACTGAATAAATGAATGATAGATAACAGTGGGATATAGGACGCGCATCTCTTCCTATTTAGAGCTCCTCATCTGGATATACTCACAGCCCGACGTTGATTTTCACGCATAAACTGAAGCCTAGTACTTAGCATTTCAAACACCCAACGCATTGTCCTACGAACTAGATAGTTCGAATGGTCGGTAACTTGATAAACTGGTATGATATTTGTTGGATTGCTAGAAGTCAGGATTATTCCATAGTTACTAACCATGAACCTCGACCAGATGGTCAGAAGGGTTCACTCAGGATTCACTGCTTACTTACTTACGCCTGTTACTCCTAATGGAGTATAGGCCGCCGACTAGCATTCTCCAACCCACTCTGTCATGGGCCTTCTTTTCTAATTCCATCCAATTCTTGTTCATTTTTCTCATGTCTATCTCCATTTCCCGGCGTAATGTGTCCTTTGGTCTTCTTCCTTTCCTTTGGCCTTGAGGATTTCATGTGAGGGCTTGTCTTGTGACGCAGTTAGGTGCTTTCCTCAATATGTGTCCTATCCACTTCTAGCGCTTCTTCCTAATTTCTTCCTCCGCTGGAATCTGGTCTGTTCTTTCCCACAGTTGGTTGTTGCTAATAGTGTCCGGATTCACAAATGTCAACAAAGACTGACCAAATTTGAATCAAGAGTATCAACAATCGTATATTCTCAAACCTTTCTGGCAGCAACATAATGCTGGACAGTTATTTCATTGTATTGATCAAGTATTTTAAGCGTCATAATTCAAAACTTTGGATTGAAATCATTATCATCATTATCGCTGGTGAATGGGTAATAAGAAGAATTACTATCAAATTAAAACAGCATATCTCATATCTTAGCGTTTCCTAACTTAAGTTAGTCTACTAAACACTCAAAAGTAACCTTATATCATACCTTTAGTACTAATTATAAGATTAACAAACATGATGAGTTTTTTAGGTGATTTAAAATAGAAAAAAATAATTATTATTAAACTGATATTCAAATATTATAGACATTATCTTCTTTTCTAAAAATGACAATGACTTACAGTGATTTTTTTAATTAGTGTTTCATATATTGGGATCGGATATTGTAATTCATAGGTGAAATGATCTTCATCAAATCCTTTTGAATAATCATATATTTTAGTATGTAAATTATCATTTTGTGGTATGAATTGAAAATATGGATTTAGTTGAGTTAACCCATTCTGAACATCATATAATAATATTAACAGAATAATGTATATACAATTTGCATAAATTTTTCCTATTAGGTTTTGCATTTCTGAAATAAACTCAAAATAATCCGATAACGTAGATAAACTTTCAATAGACAATCATTCTAATAATGGTCAGTACTGTCTACCAATGCCTTTTGTGGTTATATATATTTTGTGTATTTATGTGTTGCACAAAGCATGTGTAACTACACTTGTATTAATCTAAACATATAGACATGTATGTCTACAGCCAATGTATAACCTTTGTTAGTCTATAATTATGTGCACTAATGTAGTGAATGATTTTCCTCTCTGATGATTAGTTTACTTTATTCACATCTGGACACAACAAAAGCAATAGTGTATACAATACAATCTTATTTGATTTTACACAGAAATTTTTACCTTATAAAAAAGGTCAAGTATAAAATAGGGTTATTTTTTACATGTGGAAAAGCCCAAACTTACCTTTACCTAAAGTGATTTTAAAAGTAAAACCAATTACTTTATACTATCTCACTGTTAAGAATAAGCCTTGTAGGTAATAAATATTATTCTTAATAGATAGTTACTTACTTACTTACTTACGCCTGTTACTCCTAATTGAGCGTAGGCCGCCGACCAGCATTCTCCATTACACTCTGTCACACTCTGACCTCCTTTCCAGTTCTATACAATTTTTGTTCATTTTTCTCATGTCTGTCTTCATTTCTCCGCACAATGTGTTCTTTGGTCTTCCTCTTTTCCTTTGACCTTCAAGATTCCATGTGAGGGCTTGCCATGTGACGCAGTTCGGTGCTTTACTCAATGAGTGTGTGTGTCCTATCCACTCCTAGCGATTCTTCCTCCACTGGAATCTGGTTTGTTCTCTCCCACAATATGTTGTTGCTGATAGTGTTTGTCTAACGGATTCGAATTATTTTGCATAGAAATCTGTTAATGAGCACTTGTATCTTCTGGATGATGGCTTCCGTAGTTCTCCAGGTTTCCGCCTCATACAGTAGAACTATTTTGACATTTGTATTGAAAATTCTAACCTTGGTGTTGGTTGACAATTGTTTTGAGTTCGAGATGTTCTTCAGTTGTAAATATGCTACTCTTGCTTTGCCGATCCGTGCCTTCACATCTGCATCAGATCCACCGTGTTCATCAATCATGCTGCCCACCACATATGTAAAGGTTTTTACATCTTCCAAATGATATCCGTCAAGTGTGATTGGATTGTTGCATGTAGAGTTGTATTGAAGATTCTTGCTTTTCCCTTTATGTATTTTGAGAGCTACTTCTGCTTCTGCTTCTGCTGCTGCTGAGGCTGCTGCTCCACTGGTCGTCTTCTCCTGCATTTGTTGTTGTGTGTGCGGTAGAAGAGGCAGATTGTCTGAGAAGTCTAGATCGTTCAGTTGCATTTTAGCTGTCCGCTTTATCCTATGCTTCCCTTCAGATGTTGATGTCTTCATCTGATATTAATAGATAATAATACTTAATAAAATAATGAAGTTGATTTCCATATATCTATCGACTGGTTACTTTTCATTCTAGAAAAAACTTTCAATTGTTTATACTTTGTAGGTATACTTCAGCAAAACTAAACAAACTATTGAACGAAATGATACAATTTAGTTATCTTTATGTATATTGTTTATTTAAAGAAGAAATATGAATTATATTAATAAGAAAACCATCTTTTGAATGATAGTGTATACCTAATGTCTTACTTTATTTGTTATGATCAGAAAAAAATTCATTTAAGTAACCAAAAAAAGAAAACAATTACGAATTCACTAGTACACTTATCAACTAAATAAGTCATTTGTATGATGGATAAATTCAAGCAAAAATCAATGTTTAGTTAGATGATTGTAACCAACAGAAAGCAATTATATTATAGAAATCCAATATAGAAAATGAAACTATTCTAAAAAGTTATATTTTCTTCTTTTTTTTCTACTTTTGTATAAAAATAGAACTAAGTAGATGTTCATTTCTGAGACTATATTCACTTACTTTTTAAAAAAGAGAGTAAAATTCCCAAGATTAAGATAACCTAGGTGATAACATTGTTTGACATTCTGGTTTAGAGAGTGAATTTCATTTTCGTATGAATATAACCTTCTTTTATGAAGGGTATCAGGGAGTTTTAATGATATTCAATACAGTTTGTGTCAGAATATAGTAGAATGTTAAACTTTCATATCAACATTACTCTGTATATTTATAGTTTCACTTAGTCTTAGAAATTATACAAGAGTTATTGAAAATCCTATGACAATGAACAATCTTAAAAATACTACAACTTGTAAATCATTTTGAATATAACATATTATGTATTTTGATATCATAAAAACAGAGGCATACAAAGTTTCGCCTAAAAAAATACATAGAATTTTAATATCAGAAGGGCTTTTTGTGTATTTTATAGTAGTTTTAGTAGTAGTACTGCTGAAGAGTCTCACAGTGGGACGAAACGGCCATTCAGTACTTCTACTTTTTCCATGGCGGTCTAGCTTCAATTGACTCATAATCTCAACTACAAAATACATAGAATGTTGTTAGCATAAATTTATCTACCAAAATATTTTAGGTGTAAATTGTATTATTTCTCCAAGAGATTGGAAAACGATTTCTTTATTTGAATCTTAATTGTTATAAATTTTTACTAGGAATCATTCAAAGGAAATCAGTTTTCTACATTCCTTTCAGCCTTTTAAAATATCACATAGAAAGCTTACCGATATGAGACACTCCAATGTTTATTTCTATTTATTTCAAAAAACTGAACAGTAAAAGGTTATTCTGGACCTCTCAATTGTGATTAGGTGGTTGAAACGTGGTTTTTAGTCGTCCCCATACCTAGTTTCGTGCATTCGCTGGTCATCAGGAATAGTTACCTGTAATCTTGGAGTAGCTTGTGATCCTTGATGGGTTTAATGTCAAACCATTCAGTTTCATTTTCTGAAACATTACCACTGAGCTACCCAAACCTTGACTGACCTATGGGGCTGAGTTACTATAACTGAATAATCATTATCGATCAACACTAGAGGATTACTCAAAAATGGTGTCGGTCATTATTCAGTGATCGGTTGACTGGATTGACTGTTGATTAAATTACTTCAATGTGAATTTCTGTAACACATATTTTGCACAATACACTATTATTGTAGTATGTAATGAATTCCTATCACTGATAATCGTTTTCTTTATAATTTTATATTCTTTTCTTCTAGCGACTTTATTTGATGCACATCATTAGAAACACTACTTAATCGGTTAAAATTTACAGTAACCAAAGGTCAGTAGGGATTTTTTAGATTTATTAGGTTACATTTTTCATCCATTTCAGACTTATTTATTACAATATAATAAAACCATTGTAGTTTATGCTTGAATCTAAGCACTGTATTATTTTGTATTTAATTTTGATGAAACGTATCAAAAAACGATATTAATAGATTTCAATGGTTAAGATCATGAGTCAGTTGAAGCTAGACCACCATGGAAAACCTGGAAACACTGGACTCATGATCTTAACCATTGAAATTACTACAATCTCCACAAAAAACCCATCTGATATTAATAGATTTGTAAATCGGTATACCATAACCACAGAAATAAAAAATATTGTTCAATGTAATTATCAGCTATAATCTTACTTAATCGCTCAAATATGGATTTATGTATAGATTTATTTTATGAGCTACCATAGCACAACAGTTATTCCATTAAGTTCGATAATACAAAATACTTGAGAATTTATACGTTCTTCAAAACTGTACAGTAGATACCATGATAGTTTAAGTTTCAGTTTGTAAAGGATAGGGAGCTAGGTGGCCTGTGTTAGTCCTGGCAATGATAGTCTCTCAGTCGATCCAACTTTCTATTGAAAAAGTCGACAGATAGAAATTTAATCACGTGTTGATTTAATTGATTACATTTAACGGGAAAGTCAATAATCAGCTTACAAGTAATTTTTCCTGGACTTGTGAACTTTTTGGAGTGTCCTTGTAAATTTCCTGTTCTGGAAGACTAGAAAAATGAGGGCGTATCAGATGGAAATTTATCACTAAGTAATTTAAAAGCTGTGATCAAGTCGCCTCTGGTTCTTCAATATGAAATAGGTTTGCTTAGCCAGTCGAGCATCAGACGGGAGCTTTTCTATTGCGGAAATCAGCTTAATAACGGTTCTTTCAACCTTTTCCAAACTCTCACTGTCTCTTTTTAGGCAGGTATTAGCCGCTTGTACCCAGTACCCCAGCTTAGGATGCACGAATACTGCATACAAAGTCAAAAATTGTTTAGCATAGACATGACTAATGGCCCTACGTATTGATCATAGGGTTATAAAACCTTTGGCGGCTATCGCACCGCAGTCTGCAATAGTTTTTAAGTCTTTGCTAACGATGACTCTTAAGTCATTGTATGTCTGGACAACAGTGATAACTTCTGAAATTTAAATCTTTCAATAAATCATAATTTTTTAAGTAACTGAATTTTTCATACGACAAAAGTCTAAACAGTATTTACAACATCGTACTTCCAGTATTTAGTACGGTGTGTTTTTCTGAAAACGGTACGAAGAATTTCTTAACTGAATCAAACATTCTAATGTGACTATTAGCTAATATTTCATTGATTTAGAAATGACCAAATATATATCATAACTAATTAAGTAACCAATAATCAATCCATATCAACTTTAACTAATAATTAGAACCCTATATAATATTGATATAAAGTTTATTTGAAGGACTAAAATTAATTTACAATGACTAAATAACCAAGTATTTAAAATAAATAAATCATCTCAATTTTATATCATTCTGTGTTTGTGACAGATAAACTAAACAACTGAATAATTAAAAATCCTATGCAAATATATGTAGTTACGGTGTGTGTGTTTTTTTAAAAATAAAATATCCGGGAAAAAGATTAGGTAAGACTTAATGAACACTTTATCGTCAACGTTAAAACTTCGAATGTTAAGATTTGGTCTATGCCCATCTACTATTTTGGGTGGCAACATGGCGTTGAAAATAGTGAGGATACGTCATTCAAACATGGCT